GTGTGGGAATGGCAATCTCAATCAACTCTTCTGGCAACTCGGGCGTGTTATCCTCGACAATGACGATGCCGCCGACCAAAGCCGACTGAAAAAAAAAAAAGGGGAGAAAAGGGTTGCAAAACAACACAACAAAAAGTCAGCAAGCCATTCACCACCACAACCGCAGGAATCACAACCAGTGCCAGCGTCCCAGCGTACCGCGCTCCCCCAAGCATCTTCCCTGCTGCTGCCCATGGCATCTCCATCACCGCCACGTCCGCCACGTCCGCCACGAGCAGCCCGGCCGACCGCGAGACGGCAGCGTCCAAGCCAAACACTCCTGCGGCTTCTGCTGCTGCTGACGCTGCTACCGCTGCTACCGCAACTACTGCTACCGCCACTGCCACTGCGACTTCTGCGACGAATGGAGCTGCACCTCGCACGTTCATCCCGCTGGGCTTGGGCGGTGCTGGCAGTGGCTCGGACTTTAGCAAGCTCAAGGTCTCGTCGCTCAACATTCTGGCAGCGCGGACGCAGGCCATTCTCGATGAGCTCGAGCAGACGGACGCCGCAATGACTGAGCGGAAGCGATCCTCGCACAGCTCGCCAGCCATTCAGCCAGCGCTCGCAGTGAGTGCCAGCCTCAAGCTCGCTGCAGCGACGTCGGCCGCATCCTCACCAAACCTCGCCTCGAACAAGCCCGCCGGCGCAGCCAACTCGAGCAACCCAACCGTACCAGCAGCACATTCTCGGCGTGTGGATGCGCTTGCTGCGTCGTCGGGCTCAGGCACTCCTCTCAGTTCTGCGGGCTCATCGGAGAACATTTGCGACGACGACTCGTCCTCGGACGACGAAGGCCCGTTGGTGCGTTACGAGGCGTATTGCCGGGGTGTTGGTTTTTTCATTCGCTCACTCTTCTTGGTTGTTGTTGTTGTTGTTGCTTTGGCTTTGTAGGAACCCGAGGAGGAAGCCAAGGTAACGATCGCAGCGCAAAAAAATCACCAATTCTCACAATGTTGAAACGGAATTGCTCATCCCTCAGGTGTTTTTGTTGTTGTGGTTGCTGTTGCTGTCGCTGCTGCTGTTGCCTGATACCCCTCCAGATCCTGCGCAAACGGTGGCTCATCGTACAAGAGATTGTGCAAACAGAACGGACGTAAGTACACCAGTCGATTGGTGACAGTACTGACAGTTGTTTCTGGTATGAGAAGTTCACATGGCTTGTGCGTGTTTCCCTGTGGATTTGTTGGCTGACTTCCAGTTACGTGCAAACGCTGAAGCTGATTACCGAGGTTTGTCGCACACTGCTTGACACCATTCGTGACGGTCGGCGCTTCTTCGGCTGGTTGTTCTCACACGGATTTTTTTTTCGCTTGGAACCGAGCGCAGGTCTTCTTGGACGGACTGGTCAAGGCCAACAAGGAGAAAAACATTGTGCCCGTGCCAGTGATTATTTCTATCTTCTCCAACGTGAGCGACTTGCTGACGCTCAACTCGCAATTGCTGGCCGAGCTTGAAACACGAGTCACAGAAGACCAGCAATCGCCACCGCGGATTGGCGATGTTTTTCTGCGCTTTGCCCCATTCCTCAAGATGTACACATCGTACATTCGCAACTTTGATGGAGCCATTTCGGCCGTGGATGAATGGACGAAAAAATCGACAGCGTTTGCAAACCTTGTCAAGCAATGCGAAGCCAACCCAGCTTGTCGCAACTTGATGCTCAAGGCGTGTCTGCTGGAACCCGTGCAGCGCATTCCTCGTTACAAATTGCTCCTGGGAGACTACCTCAAGAAGACCCGGAAGGGCGATCCTGATCGTGCCGATTCGAAAGGCGAGTTTTTTAAAAGCTGGCGTCTCACCCTGGCCAGAGAATGGTGAAGAATAATGAGGTGTGTCTCGGGTGCTCACGTTTCGGCTGCTTGCTTCAACATGGAACAGTGGCCGTGAAGGTGATTGCCAGTGTCGCCTTGCATGTGAACGAAAGTATTCGACAACAGCAAAACTTCCACAAGCTGGTGGAAATCCAATCGTCGCTCGTGGGTCAACCGCTCAATCTCGTCGTTCTAGGTCGTGTCCTCATCCGCGAGGGCAAGCTTCGGAAGATGTGTCGCAAAGGTTTGAAGCCGCGAGTTTTGTTCTTGGTAAGGGCTGTGTTTGCGAGTCCATTTCGCTTTTGTGTGTCTGTGTGTGTGTGCTGTGCCAAAAAGCTCACCAGCAGCGCCATCTTCTCTATCTCTGGAATCCAGTTTAATGACTTGCTGTTGCACGTCAGTCCGCAGCCATCAACTGGCGCCCCGTTGTACGCCCTGCACCTGGCCCTCCCCTTGAACAAGATGAAGGTTCGCTCGATCGAGAACGAAGCTCAGGAGCACGCATTCCAGATTCTCAGTCAAAAGAAGTCGTTCACGCTTCAAGCAAAGAGCGCTGAAGAGAAGGCCGCTTGGGTCAAGGTGTGTGTTGCTGGCGGGAAACCATTGGTTGGTTGTTTGCAGGATTCTGCCTTTTTTTTTGCGCGCGTGTTGCTGATCTCTGGTCCGTCTTGCTGCTCTAGGACATCACCACGGCCATGGAAGCGCTCGAGGAACGCACTCGAAATCCCGGTGGTACGAACAGCGGTTTGATTCCCATTCCCAACGCTAGCACCCCGGACAATGGTGGCAGAGAAGGCCAGTCGGCAGATAAGGGCGGCAGCTTGATGGGCATTGGCTTGCAGGACGTTGTGGGCGCTACAGAAGCCCCTGTCTGGGTGCCTGACTCTGGCGCAACCATGTGCATGGAGTGCGCGGCAGAATTTAACATTGTCCGCCGTCGCCACCATTGTCGCAACTGCGGTCGCGTCTTTTGTTCCACTTGCACTTCCTACTCTGTCATGCTGTCGTACCGTGACAACAAACCTTCGCGTGTCTGCCGCGAGTGCTACGTGAAGATTTCCCCGCAGGCAGGTGGCACTGCCCGCGCAGTTTCGCCGAATCCAGATACGCCCGATTTTGCTCCCGACACGTCTCTGGCTCCGTTTGGTCTCGGTACAGGCGCGATGGCCTCGCCGCAAGATCCGGACGAAGAGGATGGGATCGCATCTCCGCACGCTTTGCGTCGGCAGAAAACACGAAAAGTCGTGGCCAATTCGTCCTTGATTGAACCGGCAGCCGGCTTGACCCAGCCGAGCAACTCCACGTTGGCAGGGTTCCTGACCAAGCAAGGCGCGATTCGCAAAAACTGGAAGCGGCGATGGTTTGTTCTCCGCAACCTTTGCCTCTACTACTACAAGGCACCCGAGGTAAGTGTAGTTGCATGGGTGTGTTTTGCAAAGTGGGAGGAGGGTGATGAATGATGGTGGTGGTTGGGGTTAAAAGCAGTCGTTGTAGTTGTTTGATTCACTGACGAAACATGATTGTCTTGTTTTTTTGTTTTTGTTGTTGCTTTTGTTCTGCTCAAAATTAGGATGTGGTTGCGCTCGGCATGATTCCACTGCCATCTTACAAGGTCGCTGTGACTGAGAGCGCAGATGGCATTGATCGTGATTTTACTTTCAAGATTCATCACAATGGAATGCGCACCTTCTTCTTCCAAGCTGAAACCAAGGAGGACGTCGAGCGCTGGATGACGGCGTTAGAGATGGCGAGCCTTGGCATTGATTCTGCCACTGGGCAGCAGTCCGCACTGCCGCTTCTGGAATCTGCGATCGATGATGATGATGCTGATGATTAGAGCATGCTTTGGAGTGCGTTGTGGATCAATGGTGAAGTTCAGATGAAAAGTTCGTTTGAGTGCGTTGTGTGTGTTTGATGCTATGCCTGTATTGTTGAACATTATTTCTGGTTGGTTGCATGCTTGATCATGTTTTGTGAGAAGAGTGAGATACAGTAAATCTGAGTTTGTTTGGTTGGTTTGACATGTTCAGTCTTTTTTGTTTTGCTTTCTGTTTGACTGTTCAAACCATCATCATGGTCCGCGTCGCTGTGCTGGGTGCTGGATGCATCGGAAATTACGTGATTGGCTCGCTTGTCTATGGGTCGCTTCAAAGTCCACCTGGCGAGCAGATCGAGGTGAAACGCTTTGGAATTGGCGAACGAAAGTGATTGATGGCTTGCTTTGCTCAGCCTTTGAGTTTGTCGGAATCGCAGGCAATCCTCGTTGGTCGTGATCGCCTCAAGAAAGCCGTGGCAGAGCGCAACGGACTGGCCTTGTCGAGCTATCTGCAGCGCGCAGATCAGGCTCCGCTCCAGGTGCCATTAAAGCGGTCGGGACAGGCCGGGATTTCAGTCATCACCGACATTCAGCTCCTCGTGCGCGAGCACCTGGATGCCGTCTTCATTGCAGTCAAGCTCGCAGATACTGCTGCTCTGATCCCCGTGCTGAAGCAGCTTCCAACAAGCGTGCAGGTGAGATGAGTGCGGAAGCGGCGAAACGTCGGATTTTCCCGCTCAGCTCAGTTGGCGGATTTATGGATATGGACGATGCAACGTTGCCATACGACATCCCAACTGTGACTATACGATGGGAGCGCAATGAGAGAATAACAAGCCTTTCATTTGGTTGGTTGCTCTGGAATGATTTTTTGGCGCTACAGATCATCACGTTGCAAAACGGCGTCCAAGGCATCGCTCAGCTGCAAGAAATGCTACCCGAGCATGTGATTGTTGCGGGCAGTGTGCCGTTCAATGTCCGAGAGAGCGGGCCTGCTGCCTACCATCAAGGATCGTCGGGAGCGCTGTGCTTTGAACAAACGTTGGACCCGAGACTCCGGGCTGCGTTTGCTCGCGCACCGCCTGGCGTGGCCAACCCAAACTACTACGACCGGTCTGGCATTATGAGCATCCTTTACGGCAAGCTCGTCATCAATCTGAACAACTCTCTGAATGCACTGACCGGCATTCCTCTGCGCGACCAGTTCCTGAGCAAGAGTCTCCGCCGCATCCTTAGCTTTATGCAAACCGAGGCCTTGGCTGTTCTCGCTGCTGCCCGTATTCCCACAAAGGCATTTGTGCCCGTCCCCTTGTGGGTCGTGCCGTGGGTGCTCTGTCTCCCGGATTGGCTCTTTCCAATCGTCTCGGCGACATCAATCAATATTGATCCCACCGCCCGAAGCTCCATGGTGAGTGAATTGGGGAATGGGTTGTGGCTGGCATTCCCTGGGTTTGCAAGAGGAAATCAAACAGATAGGATGGTAGATTGGATGGATGGTGCTCTCGAATTGCTGAACTCATTTTTTTGTTTTGTTTTGTTTTTTCTGTTTGCTTGGATGGACTGCGGTTTGTTTATTTGTTTGTTTGTTTCCTTTCTACCGGATTGACTAGTATGACGACCTCACTTTACATCGCAAGACTGAGTTGTCCTTTTTGAATGGAGAAATCCAGCGACTCGCTCGATTGCATGGCATCGCAACACCTGTCATTGACAAGATTTCAGAGCTTGTTTGCGCTGCCGAAGCCGCCAACGCGGGCTCGCCGCAAATGTCCAGCGATACCCTGGTTGCAGAGTTGCGAGTAGTAGCTCCAGGCAAATTTTGATATTGCGACTTTTTGCTCAGCTGTGGTACCTCTATGTGATGCACGTGTGAATAAAGTTGTCGACTTGTGTTTTGTTGCAGAGCATGATGGAGGGTTTGGGAATCGGGGGGAGATGGGATGCAGAATGTGCACAGCGCCAAGTCGCGTCGGCGAATAATCCTCTGTCTTTCAGAGAGGCAAACACCAGAATCCGCGGCTCTCCGCTCACCGGCAATCCCGTGAAATCGTTGGAATATTATTTTACTGCAACATGCATACCAGGCGGCTCGGCTTAAACACCGATCTGGTGTGGATGGCTTGACTCGAAAGTTGGCGAACAATAGTGTCGTGTGCTGGCAGAATACTGGATCCTCCGTGCCGCATTCGTTGCTGGGACTTTTTATTGTAGAAAATATAATAAGACAAGATTTACAAGGTTTCCGTGACGAGGAGTTTGAGAATTCGGCAAGTCAGACTCGATCAATCAGCTTGAAAGCAAGTGTAAGTTGCGACCACGCACCCCAACCACCGCCGAAAGTGCTCTCACGCGCCAGCCCGATTCCAAACAAACCACCATGCGCCAGACATTTGAAGTAAACAAAATAATCATGTTTCGAGTTGCATGCTCGGAAAGAAAGGCCTGTCGGCGCGAAATGGACGAGGTGAGATGCTGGATTTTCGAGATGTGACGCCTGTGGCAGCTCGCTCTCTTCATAAACAAAGCAGAAGTGACAAATTGAATGTTATGATACCTGCAAACACCACGAGCAAGTCCACCAACCAAAAACTGGATTCGCCGTCGATTTGCTTCGCGGACGATTTGGATCGAGAGCGCATTGGCCCACCAGCATTCTCAATAGCATAGGGCTGTTGGGTGAGCGGTTAAGCCGGTTGACTAGAAAGGTCTTTGTAATGAAGATCCTAATTATCAACTCCGATTTTCGGGCAGAGGTTCGAGTCCTCTACAGTCCGCGCTTTTTTTTTTGCTTTTTCAGGTTTTTTTTTTCTATTCGTTTGCGTCTTCTTTTTGTGCCTCTCCCTTTCACACATGATTGACTCTTGTTTGGTGTGGACACGTTGTCAATGCTCTGTTTGCTGGAATCGCAGCAGCATCAACACTTGAACTCTCACAGCCACAATCCCGAATCAAAAGTCATTTTGCCCACCGAGTCAAACATCAACACGGGGCTGTTGGGTGAGCGGTTAAGCCGGTTGACTAGAATGGTCTTCTCAACGAAGATCCTGATTATCAACTCCGATTTTCGGGCAGAGGTTCGAGTCCTCTACAGTCCGTTGATTTTTTTGATTTTTCTGTTGCTTTTTTTTTTTTTTTTCAGTCCTTCCGTCCTCCTGCTTCTTTTTTTTTTCAACCAGCTTTCACTCACATTACACCCATCAACTACAAAAAGAAAAAGCATTCAAACGAAGTTGCATGACGCTCGGAGCTGGGCAAAAACAAAAAAAACCCCTTCAATCCAAAAAAAAAAAAAATCGCACTCGACAGGACTCGAACCTGTGCCCGAAACTCGGATTTGATTTCGAGTCAAACGTAAGAATTGACATTAACCACTCTACCACGAGTGCGCTTTGATGACGACGCGGCTGGCCAATTGCTTACTCGATTAAATCCGCACATTCATCCGAAATTGCAAGACGTTCTCATTTCTTCGCGACCTGGCAAGACCCCGCCGTTTCATTGATTCAACGGTATTGGACGGTTTTCCACTGCCAAACCAGGCCACCCACCAATGCGGATGACAGTCCCACTCTTTGTGCACAATTTTAGCCATGGAACAGTACAAGCACGATTTCATCAAGCTGGCGCTCGAGTACGGCGTGCTCAAGTTTGGTCGCTTTGAGCTCAAGTCTGGCCGCATCAGGTATGTGACTACTCTTGGACCGCGGTGGAGGCAGAGGCAGAGTTGAGCGGGTGCAGGGAAGGCAAGGGAATCAACGAGCGTGCGATCGCTGTGGACTGTACAATGAACTCGCCGACACAAGGTGCTATCACCAACCCCCCTTCCCTGTGAACCCGCGAGTCGCATCCATCCACCCATCCATCCACTACTCCCCCCCCCATCGAAATTGCGGGATGCTCTGCACGCCGTGCTGCATCAGTAGACAATGACAGAAGGCGCACCTGGACAACGCAATCAGCTCACTCTGCTCATTCTCTGCAACAGCCCGTACTTTTTCAATGCTGGCCTGTTCAACACGGCCAAGGCACTCGCGCAGTTGGGCCGCGTGTACGCCTCCGCCATTGCCGACGCACAAAAGCGCGACGGCCTCCAGTTTGACGTGCTGTTCGGCCCGGCATACAAGGGCATCCCGCTGGCTGCGACCACCGCCGTTGCCCTGGTCGAGCACCACGACCAAGACACGCGCTTCTCCTTCAACCGGAAAGAGAAGAAGGACCACGGCGAGGGCGGCGTCATTGTGGGCAGCCCGCTGGTCGGCCGCATTCTCGTTGTCGACGACGTGATTACCGCCGGCACGGCCATCCGCGAGTCGGTCGACATTATCAAGCACGCAGGAGCCTCGTTTGTCGGAGTTGTCATTGCGCTTGACCGCCAAGAGCGCGGCAAGGGCGAGCTGTCCGCCATCCAGGAAGTCCAGAACGAGTTTGGCGTCAAGGTGGTCAGCGTCGTCACCCTGGGCGACCTGATTGACTTCCTCAAGGCACAACAAGCAAGCGGCAACGGCGTTGCGTACGAGGGACTCACCCCCGAGACACTCGCGGCCGTCGAGGCGTACCGTGCCGAGTACGGCGTGAAGCTTTGAAAAGCTTTTGAGATATTTTTTTGTTTGTTTTCGAGCCTTTTTGTTGCGTTTCCAATATAATCCTATACATCTATTTCAACGCTACAAACAAGAAGTAGTATCAATCGAGCTAGCAAAGCTGCGTGGAAGAGCAACGCGCACTTTTGTTCTCTCAACGAAGCTGCTGAAAAAACCACTGCTTCTTGTTGCTTTAAGATTTTTATTATCTGAATGGTGAGCAACATGACAACGTATTTCATCCGCTCCAAGTTGCAAAGTGTCTATGTTCAAATTTCACAAGGAATAGCAAAAGTTGTACTGCACAAGTAATCTATCGTATACGCATTCGCCCCGCCAACTTTCACGCACTCGTGGTAGAGTGGTTAATGTAAATTCTTACGTTTGACTCGAAATCAAATCCGAGTTTCGGGCACAGGTTCGAGTCCTGTCGAGTGCGATTTTTTTTTCTTTCTGTTTTTTTTTTTTTTTTTTTTTTTTTTTGCATCCCACGCCTCGAACTTTGAGGACCTTTCCCCATTCTTACAACATACATCTCACCACATCACAAGTACACAACCGAACGCCTTTTGTCTCCTTTTGTCTCATCGATTTGGCTCAGTCTTCAAATTCAGTCCATCGACGCTCTTTGCTTTTTCGTCTGCCTCCTCAGTCCGCCGTTTCGCCCTTGTTAACACATCCATGTTTGTCGATTTGTGTGTTTCTGCACCTGCGACACAGTCCGATCGGCTGCAGTTCCGCCAGCACTTGACGTCGTGTGCGTAGACTCGAGTTGACACATGCTTCTGTCGCAGAGAGCACTCCTCACTCACTTCCAGCACTTGCATCGCACCTTTTGAATTACCACAGTTGGCTATGGCGCAGTGGCATACAACCAGCGCTTTGCAGGGCGCATCGCCGTTGGCAAGAACGTTCCTCCACCCCCGTTTGTCCCTGCTGCTGCCGACGGAGTGCACGCACCAAGTAGTTCAAGTAGTACACCCACGTCCAATGCTGCTGCTGCTGCTGCGGCCAGCAACATAGCCTCAAGTCGCACTCGCTGGACTGCTGCAATCGCCGACCGACTCAAACAGACGCCAACTTCATCCATGCTGGAGCTGTCTCGCCTCACTGTGGTGATTGCCGACCAGCAAGATTGGGCAGGATATGTACGGTGCATTGCGTTTTTGTTTTGCTTGACTGGCTCGATAAGGGGGATTGCAATGAGCGACAGGACCAACTTTGACTCGCTGCACTTTGACTTGCTGCGTGCAGTGCACCAACTACCAGCAAGTCCTCAAAAACTACGACATTCTGGCCGTTCAACCGGAAACGGAAAAGCTGTTGCAGCAGTGCCTGCAGTCCAGCGAGGTGGACATTATCACGCTTGACATGTCCAAGCGAACACCGTTTTTCATCAAGCATAGCATGGCGCGCGTTGCCCTTGAACAAGGGATTGTATTCGAGGTACGTGTAGCTGCCGTCAGTGAGCACTCGTCCAGGCCATAGCATGGCTTGCGACATGTGTGCTTCCTTTCTTTTTCGGTGCGTTGGGTTTTGGAAGCTAACCCACATTTCCCCCCCCCAAACCCTGTGCTCACAGCTCTTGTACACGGACGCCATCCGCAACTCTGAATCGCGTCGCTCGCTGATATTAAACGCACTATCCTTGATCCGGGCAACGAAAGGCCGAAACGTGATTCTCTCCAGCGGCGCGCAAAAACCGATCGAGCTGCGCTCACCTTACGACGTGATGAATCTTGGTCTCCTTTTCGGACTCACCCACGAGCGTTCGCGCAATTGCTTGACATCCCTACCCCGCGGCGTTCTGTACCATGCCGAAACACGACTCACGACTGGTCTCTCTGCTGTTCGCATCACTCCGCTCGCAGCAACCGCCGCGAAAGCCGACAAAGCTGGTTCCAAAAATGCTCCCTCCAGCAACGCTGCTGCTACCATGAAACCACTTGCCAACACTACTGCAGCCAAAGGCAAGCGACCTATCAGGAGCACTTCTGCAAGCGGTGATGATGACGACGACGAAGACGAGGATGAAGACGTCAGCGACGACGAGGATGACGATGATGATGATGACACTGACCAAACTCCGATGAAGCTATGATGCCGAGCGCAATTACGGCTTTTACTATGGAATTATTATATTTTTGCAATAATTAACAAAACATTCTCAAGTAAAACACGAGTTCCCAGCACCTCGTTAAAACCTTGCGTGCCTCAGACTGGCCAGCTTGCGGAGTTCTGTATCCCATTCGTCTTCATCCTCAGCGCTAGAATCAAACCAAGAGAAGAAAAAAAACACAATGCAATAGCAGTGTCAACGATGAGAATCACATTTACTCACGCAAAACCACACTCTCTCCGTTTTGCTCACCTCGTCAACGTTGCAATAGCTGCATCCGTTATCGCCGCAACTTGACTCGCGCCACCCAGCGATCCAGCATGCTGGGACTGCTCTTGTTGCTGTTGTTCCAGCATGGTCGCGACGTGTGCTTGCGCGAGCTGCAGCACCAGCGCCTTGTCCAAACGCGCACACTTGAACAGTGCCTCTGTGACAAGGCCCGTGTGTTCAACGCGCCACCGGCTGGCTTGAATGAGCCCGTGCAGCAACGTCGTGACGAGAAGCCCGAGGGTGCTCAGCTGGGAGGAGTCGCTTGCGACAGAGTTGGCAATGGTAGGGCTCACGACGACCTGGCACACATTGCCAGCAGCAGCCATCAAGGAGGCCATCTGGTTGGCCACGGCGATCATGACGCTTGGCGAAATCAGGGAGCTGCTGCTCTGCTTGAGCATGGACGATTGCGTGCCATATTGCGAATCCACCGCAATCTGGACGAGATCCAACAATGGACCCACAAATTGCAAGACTTCCAGGGTGAGCTGACGGTCGTCGACAGCCAGAGCCGCAAAGCCCAGCCGAATGGCTGCAAGGAGGGCATTGAACTGTGCCACCCCTTCCACGACGCCGCTGCAAAGCACGTACACACAAAGCCGAGAGTCGAGAATGCACCGCGTGACGAGACGCAGCGTTTTGATGACAGCCTGCGCGTCCGACAGCATGGCCGCATCGCCGACTCGAGGAATCGACGCAACAATGTGGACGACGCGGTCGACAAGACTCGCGAGAGCGTCCAGCAACTCGGTCGGACCCTCGCTCATCATCCCCGGATCGACCAGCGCATCTGTGAACGACGGCACCGTCGCCACAAGCTCCATGACAAGGTCAAGCACGCAGTCCATCGGACACCACAGATGGCTCGCGAGCATTTGCGCAGCAATTGGATTGAGCGCGTCACCAAATTGCTGCTGCGCCTCAAGCAGACTGGCCTGCAGTGGGTTGGCAAGCACTTCCGCCAGCTTGCGCGCAATCACACTGACAAACAGCAAGCGACGCGCCTGGAGCGCCTTGAGCGCAGCAATCAAGCACCGGCACGCCTTTGTGACAAGCTTCTCAGCGGCCGTAATCGACAGCAAGGACGACGACACGAGCTGCGTCCCAAACGCCGCCGTCACCACGCGGCGATTCTCGCTCAGCGAAGGTAGCGCCACGTGAATGATTTGCAACAAGAGCGGCCAGCTTTCGGTCAGCACAGGAATGCACGGATGACTTGCGCTGCTGAGAAGAGTGGAGGACACTGGCGCACTTTCTTTAAACACGGCTTTGAGGCGACTCAGCAACACTGCCATGTCCTCGTGGGACGGCGCCTGCTGGTCGTCGATACCGGCACCCTTCGTTGTCGCTTCTTGCACATGGGAAAGACTACCATTCTCGTCATCGTCATCATCATCATCAAGGACGACGACACTGTTGTTTGGGATCCGGTTGTGTGCCTGTTGATGGCGTTGCTGTTGCTGTCGCTGTGTTCGCCGCCCAATGAGACGGGTGCTGCGCACATCTCCCGTGAGGATTGGATGCTGCGCAATCTGCCCAATGATGGCACTGGAAATACTTGCAAACAACTGCGAGCACAGCTCGTTGTTGCCAGCGGCACTTCCTTGTCCAGCCGCAGCGACCGAAATGACGGCCTTGACCAGTTGCACCACGCTTCGAGGATCCATGGCCATGGTGATTTCGGTCGAGTCAATGACCTGCATGAGGACTTCGACAAACGATAGCAAGCTGCGCTTTTGCTCAGAGCAGCCAATGCTAATCTTGGCGATGCAGTTGGCAGCCAGCGACGTGACGACGCTGTTCTCGCGCTGCAGCACAAAGCGGATGAGTGTTTGCATGAGTCCAGCAAGCAATTCGTCCGGTAGATTACGCGCAATCCACGTTTTCAGCGCAGCAAACAAGCGCAAGATGGTCGTGTACAGGGCCACGTCGACGCCAGCAGCCCCGACGGACTGGACGTTGTTCAATAAAGCAACGCAGGATTGCACGAGCGAGTCCAACGGCACGGGATTGCGCTTGAAGGAGAGGTGCGGTGCCAGGCCTGCAAGGCCGTACAAGGCAGCCTCCACCCAAGAGCAACCAGCAAGCAAAATTGGGCGACCGGCATCGCTGGTGGCAAACGGTGAGGAATACGGGACTGGCGTAGAGGTCGCCGCAAGCAGCAACTGCACCGAGAAGGCACTGGATGAGGTAATGGAGGGCACCAGCTGTGCCGGCTCGTTCTGGCCAGAGTGGCTGGCGCGGCTCGCATCGTCAAGCAGGAAAGTGGCGTCGACATGTTGGGCGAGCAAATGCATCAAATGCAAGCAGCAGGTGTCTGCGTCGACCACAGAGCGCGTGACAAAGGACATGAGATCTTGCGCGTCAATTCGAAACTCCCGGAACGAGGATGACGGGTCGAGGAGCTCTCGCGCTGTGCCGACTGCTCGCTTTTCCATTGCAGAGGCTGGGTCGACCGAGTCGTCTTCCTCGACCAAAGGATCGGCTGACGCCATGTGTGAGACCAACGACGTGAGGAGAAAGCCAAGGCGGGGAAGCAACAGGCGGTCTGCGCGGCTGGAAACTGCATCGGCGAGCTGATGCCAAAAGGCAAAGGTCAAACTGGCGGCTTCCGAGTCTGGATGAAAGCTGCACTCGAGGACGGCATCGACCAACGCGGTTGCCGACGCAAACTGCCATTCCTCCAGCACATCGCCAATTTCATCCACAGCAACGACGCTAGAGTCTGGTTGATTGGCGACGCTGCCAGTGTACGTGGCAATAGAGCTAAGCATGTCAATGTAGCTATCCGCAGCACCGGCGAGAATGCGAATCACCGCATTGCTCATGTCTCCATCGTCTTCAGCCACGGATTCGCGGTAAAGGTCGACGAGGCGGAGGATGCGCGGAAGCAGCTCAGCGACCCACGGACGGTATCGAGCCACATGGCTCGTAGCCGAGCAGAGGGCTTTGATGGTATCGCTGGCGGGATCGAGAAGCTCTGGATGCTGCTGCAGGATGGCAAACGGGAAGGCAAATGCGGGAAACGCGGTGAAGAGGGATTGGTCCAGCGTGTACGGGGAAGGCAGCTTGCACAGCTGCAGCCACAAGCGCAAGCAAGTAAGTGTTGCGGTGGCCAACTCTCCGCCAACAGACAGCGAGCGAACAATCGAGCCCAGGGTGGCTGCCAAAGGCGTGGGCATGATGCTCTCCGCTGGCTGCGACGCAACCGCGGCAGAGATGGCCAACGCGAGCGTGCCCAGCGATGCAGTCTTCCCCAGCAGCACCATCACCTCTGGGAAGGCCACTGTAAGGGCTTCGGTGGCCGCAGATCGCACGTGATCGGGAAGCGCCGTGTTCATGGGTGACGCCTCTTCAGCAATCTTGATGAGCAAATCGACCATGCACGGCGCAGAGAGGAGCTGATCGAGGAGTGCAGTGGAAACAGACTCATCCAACGAGCCCAGACGTTGCTGTGCAATGTAAACGGGGTCGACTAGAAAGCCCGCGGTTTCGATCGTCTGCAGGAACGAATCCTGAAGCATGTCCGAGCCAAAGTCTCGCAGCAGCGACTCTAGCACGGCAGTGACGTTACCGCTCGCAATGGCACAGTCGGCCAACGCAACCAATAGCTGAGTGCGAACCGTGGATGGGCCATTTCGATAGAGCCCGACCAATTGTGCCAAGTTTTGCGTGATCATGTTGAGGGCGTCTGGGGCAATTCCAGCAGCTTGCAGCCGTACCTTGAATGGAGATGCCCAAGCCACCGCCAAATCCAAATCCAAATCCAAAAACACAAAACCAAGACCACGTACATTGTTGCGCAATGAGTGAGTAACACTATGCCAAAACAAATGGACGTGGACAACAGATCCATCTCAGAATCAAAAACCACAACCCCCCTCTCCACCTTCTCAATCAGCAAAAATGCACGATCGACCACCATTTCTTTTTGTACCTTGTTCTTCAACATTTGAGCAGCAGTTACGCACATGTAAGCCTCAACACCCATGTTGATCGAGCGCAGCCGCGCAAGCGCAGCCGACACTGAGCTTGGCTGAGCGGCGGAGGCTGACGACGCGGATGATGCGCTGTCGACCACCGCTGCGAGAATCTGCAGAAAGTGAGGTGCATACGCCTGTAGCAGTGACACGCAGGACGACCACGCAGCGTCGTTGGCTTGGAACTGGGCGAGGTAGCCGAGGGCGCGCTCGAGCTCCATTGCAGACGATCCAGCCGCCTGCTGCGGTCCAAGCCCAGCCAACGGTGCTGGCGATGCCGAGCTGGACGTATGTGCAACTCGATTGCGCAGGGCACCACCCGAGAAGGCAATCTCGAGGGCCGCGCGGAACTCGGCGTCCACGAGAGCCAACGCTGCGCCGTCCATCCCTCTCGTTCGTCTGGTATCTGTCTGTATGTCAAACTTGAGTGGAGTGGCAAAAAAATACAAAAAGAGTAGGACAAGAAAAAAAAAACCCCACAGACTGATTGTCTGAGTTGATGCGATTCAATGCAGAACAAGTGAACAAGAAGAAGAAGAAGAAGCAGCTCAACCCAGGGTGATCATTGTGCCAATCGCTCCAACCGATTCCCCCAAGTATCGATGGGCATAGCATGCAATAACCGTGCCATCATGCCATGCTTGTTATGTTGCGCATCTCAGCCAGTCTTTGATTTCATTTCTGAGTTTGTTCGTTTTCCGTTCTGCCTCGAGGTCGTCTCGAACCCGCACTCTCACTCGTTGACGCACCCTTACACACACACACACACATACATACGCAGCAAAGCATGTTTGCCTTGTCACAGACGGTGGCGCAGAACGGCTTGATACCGTTTGGCAGCACGGCTGTGCCATACATTGCATGTGCTGAGATTACATTGCAGCAATCAGGAGCAGTATCACCGTCACCATTGGGGCCATACAGTCACCCGTCCAAGCGATCGCAGTCGCATACATCGGTGAGCACTGCAGCGCGGCCAGAGCAGCACCCCGACGACGACGACGACGACGACGACGACGACGACAACGACAACGACGGCAGCGGCAAGGACGCTTTGACAGGTCGCAGCATTGCCGCTACGTCGGACACGGCGCGCGATGCACACGCCGCACAGGCAAGACAAGGCTCGCCACGAAGCGAAACTACAGCCCCCGCCAGGCTGGACGACGAGGACGAGGAGGAAGCCGTCGCAGCATCATCGCGTCCAGCTCGACTGGCTGCTGCAGTCCCGACCGTGTCGCTGGTGGCTGCAGGCTCGCTCGCGCCACCTCGACTCGTGCCAATCAGACTCGACCTTGAAATCGAAGGAATCAAGCTGCAAGACGTGTTCACTTGGGATCTCGGTGGTACGTGCTCTACATCACTAACTGAAGCGATTTCCCGCCAATTCTTTGATTCTTGGTCCTCACACTCACTCTGCTGTTGCTTGGAATCATCTCCAATGACTCTCACGGAATCCATTTTCTTTTTACCTCCCCTGTGGTCGCGCATTGTCGCAGAAACGCAAACAACACCGCGACGCTTTGCTGAACTGCTCTGCGCCGAGCTTCGCTTGCCAACTCCCACCTTCGTCCCTGCCATTGAATCTGCGGTTCAGCAACAGCTCTTGGAATTTGCTGCTCTACCAATGCCTGATGTCGGCGGAGACCATCGCATCATGATTAAGGTATGTGGCATGAAGCATAACGTTTTTTTTTTTTTTTTGGTTTGCTTTGCCAACAATGCTAACTTTTGGCTTGCCATTCGATTTACGCCCCTGTTGTGTCGTCGAGCAGCTGAGCATACACATTGGCAGCATTTCGCTACGAGACCAGTTCGAGTGGCAAACTAGCCCCTGGCTGAACGATCCAGAGGCGTTCGCCGTCAATTACTGCGCCGAGCTGGCTCTCGGTGGCGAGTTTATTTCGGCTGTTGCCCACAGCATTCGTGAACAATTAGTCGGTCACGCTCGGTTGCTGATGCACGGTGGCCAAAAAGGAGATGCTGGTAGGTGATGTTGGATTTTTGGAAGCCACTCCCGTCCATTGTTTTTGTCTCAACGATTTTTTTGTGTGTCTTTTTGTTGCCGCAGCGATCGCCCAGGGTCTAGTGCCTCCAATCAACGTTGTCTTCCGGCCAACAACACTGCTTAACGACTGGTCACCGCAAATAGAAATGCTATCGGAAACAGAAATGATGCGATTACGGCAGAATACCGAGCGCGAAACGCGGTACGGAGCTCGAGCGTGCTAATATTGAAGCAGCTCGTTTGTTGTGTGTTTGTTGCCAGTGTGTGGATGGCAAGCGACACGCACCTTGCAGCATATAGCATCCCCCACAATTGAAAACTTATGCTTCGACTTTGTGCTTTTTGACTTTGCTGCTCACACCACCCACAGACGGATACGACGTTTGCAGAAAAAGCCCACTTCGGGTCACGAAGCTCAGCAGCCTACATTTTCCAGCACTCTGCCTCGCACACAGGCTGACATTGACGCTTTTCGGGAGCCGGTCGACGAGGACACTGTCTTTACACGCAGTGGGCGCCTGACTGGCCCTTCTCGGAATCGGGCCGGATACACTGGGTTCCGAAGCAAGCGCGGTTGAGCAAAAGTGCTTGTTAACACTGTCATGCTCCACCATAGCGTGCCCACGACGAGCGTTACCGTTGTTGTTGGCAGGAACTGAAAATTCCATGCCGAACAACTCAAGGTCTCACAGTTACAAATTCTACTTGTTGTGTTTCGCCTATCATTAGAGCACATTGAGCAATACACCATTCCTCATGAACACTCTTGCAATGTCTGTGACAACAGCGAGTTTTGCATTGTTTGTTGATAAAGTCTGAAAAACGTCATAAAACTTGGTTTGAATACTTAATAATTTCTCGTGACAAGACTAAAATGGGACCCTCAACACCACAAGAAGCAATAGCAATACTAAAGATATGAAACAACAAGCAAACAACAAACTACCGAAAAAGAAAACAAAACGCTAAGTGGTAGCGCCAAACAAACAGATTACTCGCCCACATCATCATCGCCATCGCCAAGCGAGCGAAGAATCAAGAACGAGGCAGCAAGGGTGCCAGTGCCAATCAAGTCGCCGACAGAGGTGAGGTATGGCAAAACAACATTGTCCGGATCCATGCCCCATCGTATAACGGCGTGGACCAGCCAGTGGGAGAAGGAAATCATGATGCCAAGCTACGTGTAGTTTGAAAAAATCGATGCAGAGGGAGGCGCAAAAGGACACGAAGGTGAGAGAAGGCAAGCTAGAAAAAAAACAAACAAAAAAACGACAACAACAAATGACATACCTGCACCAGTGAGCAGACAATGTAGCCAGTAATGAAAAACAGCGTGATTGACGTGTGGCCGGCACCAAACATGCGAATCACCCACAAAAAGGCCAGTTGCAGAGGAATCACGAGCGTCATCAGGACAATGACAATCTTCCGTTCTGTCGCTGCGTGCGCGGTTCGGCCCAAGTTCAAATTGGTAGATAGACGGCTTGCATGGATGGCAACAATGTTACCACCGATGCCACACAGCATTGGCACGAGAGCGGCTAGGCCAGGGAAATCATCGATCTGTCGCTCAAGAATAACACCGCCACCACTATCACAAGGATGGTCCACAAGGTCACATCCAAGCCAGATACGGTGTGTGCGTGTATCAGGATAGGGAACGGGGGGAGGTTTCGAGAAACGATGAGACGAATCAATGATCACATTAAAGTCAGCCACACCCGCCATATGACTCGCAAAATGCTCAAAATCTGAAGTCCCCGTGCTCACCTGCTAATCAGCATGGCAACAAGAATCGGAGACCAGCCTGTCCGAAGAACTGTGGCAATGGACTGATCACGCTTTGCCATGGCGATAAAGAGGGGCAGACTCAGCACCAAGGAAGCGATGAGCAAGGACGCGACCACAAGGGAGGTTGTCTCATCTAGAATTCCAGACCGCCAAAAGTCACTCCAAGTGAGTTGTGCACGAACAACAACCCACAAAAACGCAGCCAGGATCAAATCACACACCTAGAACCGTCACCATGAACTGCCCAACAAGAGCGAGAATGGCAAGAGTCACAAGATCGCCAAGAGAGGCAGCAATGGGCGTTGCAACATTGGTCGGATTGATGCTGCACTGGCGGCTCATCACAATGATGCCAGTCATGATGACGCCCAGAACCAAGCTGGACAGGAAGCCGGTGACCATGCTGCAGACAAACAGCAACACAGTGTGGAAGGCGCTCAAGTCGCCATTCAGCAAAACGCCAAACACCACGGCATAACCGGCCGCAACAGCGCCGACGACAATGGCCTGTGTCAAAACGAGAGCGAGATTGCTAAGTGCAAATCTCCAGCGGGTGGATGGGTCGTCAAGTTTGCCTCCTTCAGCCTAGATGTCAGCCAAAAAGCCATGCACACGAGATGGACGGCAACCATATGAGTGTCGCAAAAACGAGGTCCAATTGCGAGCGCCAGCATCAACAAAACGAACCGAAGACAAAAAATTAGAAAAGTTGCTCCTAAAAAAACTTACCGCTGTCGAAAGGCGGCAAGCAAGCGTCATCTCGAGATTGCCCTTGAGCCCAAGCAGCGCAGGTACAAGGATGAACATTTCAGAGAATCGCTGAAACACATCCCAGTGCTGCACACGATCGAGGAGAATTCCGGCCGAGACAAGACCAAACCCGGCAATCACAAGCGCGGGGACAATCTGGAAGATGAAGACCCACAGACCGCCATCGTGCTCTTGCAAAGGATCGTCGCTCGTGCCATCCGAGAGCCCGTGCGGGAGGTGAATGACATGGCGGCGGGGCGACAGCGGCGGCTGGACCGGATTGTCCGGGTTGTCGCCACCACCACGAATGGTCGAGTGCAGCGCGTCCTTTGGCTGCAGCAACCCTTCATGCTGCTCTTGGTACTCTTGAAAGTGGCTCTCGAAGGACGCGTCTCGTCCAACAAGCTGCTCGCGTTTGTGGTTGGTGGCCAGCGAATTCGAGGAGCCCATCATCTCGAGGTGGATGCTGTCAACGGCGCCGCCGTTCGTCCGTGGTGCGCCACCCGTTCTGCCGTCCGTGTACGGACTTGCACTGACGAATGCTCTTGCGTCTGCCGCGTGCCCACTGCTGTACGAATGGATTCCAGTCCCAGCGCCCCAGTCTGCCGCCGAACCACCAGCGTTTCCAGCTCCAAAGCCGCCGCTGCTGCTGCTGCTGCTGCCGTGGTCATGCCGGCGGTCGCTGGTCTCGTCTGCAGTGCCAAGTCGCTGGTACCCATGTGTCGCCACAGTCAACCGCGCGAACGGATTGAGGCGCTTTTGCCACGGCCGCACCGACCCTGCCACCGCTGTATTATGGTCGTCGTCGTTGTCGTCGTTGTCGTCGTTGTCAACCTGTTCGAGCATCGTCGAGTCTGACAATCCGCGCGCGTCCTTCGCTGAATGTGCCTGCTGCCTGTGTGCTGATAGTGTGGTTGTTGCTATTGGTGTTGCTGGCTGCTGCTTCGGCCGTGTTGATGTTGTTGTTGCTGGCAGATCGGTTACGTCCTCAACTCCCAGCCCCAGATCGTAGTCGTCGTCCGCTGCAGACGGGTTGTTGTCCGCTCGCGATGCTGCTCTGCTGCTGCTGCCGCTGCTACTGGCACTGAGCTCGGCATCTATCATGCGCAACAAGTGGTCGCTGCTGCTGGGTGACGTTGACCCCGACGAGTGTGTGGTTGTGCGAGGAGGAGGAGGAGGATTGTTGCTCGCACTGCTCGGACTGCTACTGCTCGGGCTGCCGTTGTCGCTGCTCACACTGGCCCAATGGCTACTACTGTGGTGCGGCTCTCGGCTGCTGCTGGGACTGGCGTGCCGCGCACTGCCATCCACCGCGAGCATCCCCCCCCCAAAAAGAAAAAGATTGAAAAAAAGCCAGAAATAAATAAAAAAAAAACTGAAAAAATCTAAGAAATGAAAAAAAAAAAAAAACAAAAAAAAATCACAAAGCAAAGAAATCAAGAGAAGGAAGATCGAAGCAGCAACAACAACACCAACAATGAACGGCTCGTTGAACGGATTGCGTCTGCAATACAACACTAAAACACCAATTCGAACAGAAAGACGAGCAACAAAGACAAACATCAAAGATTCGAAAAAGAGAGGCTGAATGCGCCCCAATCCGTCGTCAAGTAGACGACGCACCCCAATCCGTCGAACAGACAACAACAACAACAACAACAACAACAACAACAACAACAACAACAACAACAACAACAACAACAACAACAACGCAACAACGGTTTTCGCAACGCTAGCGACATTCCCTGATTGCTTGGCCAGGCGAACAATGAGCGCCCTCACCTTGCTCACTGTGCCATGTTTCAGAGCATGCTCGCGAGCAGGCCGGCAAGGCTGTAAGGAAAGTAGTCGCCCTCGACCTCGATAAGCACGCCTTCGTCAAGGAGGTGGCGGAGCGTTCGAGGCAGCGGCGCTTGCAGATCCGACGCGACTTTGAGATGGTCTTGAAGCTTTTTCCAGAGTGCATCGATCTCTATCTCGTCGACCGGCAGAAAGCGGGAAGGCCAGTCTACGCTCTGAATCTGGCTCGGAATTGCCTTGAGAACCTTCATGTCGACAAGCTCTTCTAACAGCTCCTTGTTCTTGTCAATGAGCTTGTCCAAGATCGCCGTGAGGAGTGGACGAGCGCACTTGTGGTACTGATGAGGGCCATCCTCCAACTGCTCCAGGTCGACCTCCGGCATCGGATGTTTCGCATCGGAGAGATGAACGTGAAGAGAACGAATGTTGGTTCCCGCCAAGTAGAGGAGGTGGCGCTGGTTGACAAGAGTGCTGGGGCAAAGTTTCGTTTGACTTAAAATGGAAGCCACAAGCGACTCGTCGAGAGGCGATGGCGAAGGAATGCGAACGAGAGAAAATTTGGTGCTGTTGAGGTTCGGCCATCCATCACGGAAGCCATCTTTGCGACGACCACAGATGAGATCCGGCAGAGAAGAAGACGAGCCGCACAGGACCACCGCGACACGTCCACTGGTGCTGTTGCCCAATGCTTGCAATCCAGCGAGCGTTGAACGAAAAGGGGCGTCACTGGCATGACGATAGCCCTCATCCAGCTCATCGATGATGAGGAGCACCCTGAGGTTCAAATCCCACAACTGGTCGAGCAGGACGTTGTGTGCACACCTGTTGTCGCACTGCCGCAGTACCTCATCAGGGGCGCCCAGCAAAGAATGCGCCATGGCGATGATTCAGCGCATGATTTGGATTCGCGGCACCAGTGTAGTTGATGTAGACTGGAAGAACACTCGGCCATTGATGAAACCCATGCACGTCTCAGACTTGCCGATGCCTCTCGCACCAACAAGCGTGCGAGTCGCGGTGCGGCCATTCGACCTGCGGCCATTCGACCCGAAATGAGCACCATTGCTGAGCTGAACAGCCAACTTGGTAAGGAATTCAAGTATTTCGAAGAGGTGCGGGGCGAAGCCGCGTACCTCGTTCACGGTAACTGCACTCGCCGACGGGATAGTCAGTGGGGTACCTTGTGGCAGCGTGCGAGTTACAAAAATTCCACCTTCCACACGCCGTGCGATCTCTTCACGCTTGTACAAGGGCACAGAAACTGCCAGAGTCGCAGGTGGGGAGATCGTTCGGGTTTCTGGCAGCGCAACCATTCCAGAAGCAGCCGGCGCTGAGCTCACAGGACCGAGAAACCTGGGACTTGTTGTGGAGGGAGCTGAAGAATCGACCGTCAGCGCGGTGATTGCAGTACTCACAGGCGCCTGAATCGGACTAAGAATGGACGAAATTAAAGGTGCCGCGATGGTCGCGGGCACAGCCGAGACAGCCGTGGCAACGACGGTTGCGGCGAAACCGCCGCCACCGAAGTTCCCAGTCGTGTACCAGAGGTCTAAGGTCGTGGCTCAATAACTCTTTTATTTATTCACTATTTTAAAGCAGGGTGGCCGACTTCAAACAACATGTTCCTACTTTGGGATGTCATCATAGTCATCATCATAATCATCATCATAGTCATCATCATAATCATCATCATACCCCTCGACAGCAAGGTCGGAGCGCAGTTGTTGAAGCTCCTGCTCTTTGGCGGCAAGCTCCTGCTCTTTGGCGGCAATCATCTGATCTTTGGCAGCGAGCATCTGTTCTTTGGCAGCGAGCATCTGGTCTTTGGTAGCGAGCATCTGGTCTTTGGCAGCCAACTCCAGGTTTTTGGCAGCCAGCTCGGAGCGGAATCGCAGAGTTTCAGTCGGAAGAGTGACTGAAGTTTGAGACTCGGTGTATTTCCGAGCACGAACAGCAGTCCGCTGGCTGTTCAGTGAAGTTTGAAACTCGGTGTACTCCTGAGCACGAGAAACAGTCCGCTGGCTGTCCAGCTCCCTACTCGCAAACCGATTTTCGCCACAACAAGTGAATGGTTTGCTTTTCAACTGACTTCATACGACAATTCAATAAACATGCAAAGTCCTACTTCAGCTTGCAAGTGGTATTGCCCGATCGCCGGAGCGCAGAGACTCCAACCTCGGTCAAGTAATTCTGAGGCAAGCTGGTGTTGTCGGTTACATGGTCAGACTGTGGCATGAGTCCAACGACCGTCAGAGAAGCATGAAGAAGCAATCGACACTTACTAGATTTCGGTCAGCGTTCTGTTCACTTTGAGTGCCTCAGCAATCGCGCTCGCTCCACCATCGCCAATCTGATTGTAGTTCAGACTGTCCGTCCCCTCCGTACGTGAGCACTCGATATGCCATGGGCTGGATCCCTCAACTATGTTCTCGTGAAAGTGAGATGACTCACCGGAGCTTAGACAGCCTCTTGTTTGCTTTGAGTGCCTCTGCAATCGCCCTCGCTCCATCATCCTTGGTCAGACTGTGGCATGAGTCCAACGACCGTCAGAGAAGCATGAAGAAGCAATCGACACTTACTAGATCAAGGGAGACGACGTACGAGAGCTCAGTCAGCGTTGTGTTCACTTTGAGTGCTTCAGCAATTGCCTGCGCTCCGGCGTCGCCAATCTGATTGTCGTACAGACTGTCCGGTGACTTGCATCATTCAGAAAGACCGTTGCTGGAGCATTCACAGTGCATCGGTTGAAAGTGAGACGACTTACTTGAGGTAAGTCAAGCTCATGTTCACTTTGAGTGTCTCGGCAATCGCGCGCGCTCCAGCATCGCCAATCTGATTTTGGCCCAGACTGTCCATCGCCTCCATCAGTGAGCATTTTGACTACCCTCTGTTGAAATCACCCACTCGAATGCATCAGTGATTGCAAAATGACTTACTGGAGCCAGTTCAGCGTCGTGTTGACTTTGAGTGTCTCAGCAATTGCGCGCGCTCCAGCGTCGCCGAGCTGATTCTCTCGCAGACTGTGCGTCCCCTCCATCAATGAGCCACTTTGAATACCCTGCTTGTGACGACCCATTCACACGCATCAGTGATTGCGAAATGACTTACTTGAGATCGTTCAGCGTCCTGTTCACTTTGAGCGCCTCGGCAATCGCCCACGCTTCATCCTCGCCAATCTGACTGCAATCCATGCTGTCATCCATATCGTCAATATGCGCGTTTGCCACACTGTCCAATAACCTCGGCTTTTTCTCTTACTCGAGCGCTTTGCACGCATTCTCGACTTTGTCAAACAACTCGCGTTGTCTCTCGCTCATATTCTGGCACGACAGCATTGCAAGAGCGTTCAATCAAGGTATATCTAACGATAAAAACAAAGACTGCGCCCTTTTCCACTCAAAGCTGACGTTTCGATTCTTCTTGGACCAAAACGCAACGTCGAACATTCGACTCTCGACAAAGTACAGTACAGTATTCAATCAGGCAATCACCATGCACATAGAAGCGAATCCGACAAGCGCCTACCGTATCAAGTTGGCTGTGCGATCTTTTGTGACCTGCCTGAGCGTTCAAATGCTGCAGATCAACGATTTGCGCTGGGTTGGCGATCACAACAACGCAAAATGTTCCCCGTGCTTCTAGTCAGTATATTCTGACTTTTTTCTCCTCAAAGTCGAAACTCGATGGTTGGTTTTCTGCCGTTTTTGTTGTTTTGCGGTGTATTCGCCTTTTGTTTGTTGTCTTGCTGTGTTTTGCGAGCCTTTTCTTTTTGTTGGTGATCTTGTTTGGTTTTCGATGATGTTCACTTTGATCTTCTTATTTTTTGTTTGATTGTCTTGTTGTTTGTCTGATTATTCTTGAAGCAAACAACCCTTCCAATCTGCACTGAGAACAGCTCCATTCCGGAGCAATTGCAACAACCACCGATCGACCTTTTCGAATTTCACGACTTTTCGCTCGCTTGAAATCAAAAACCCAATGATACGGTAAAATCAAAGTACAAATGAATTTACAAGCATAACAAATCAATTACAAACACGGTGCAACGGCAAGAGATCGTCGAGCCCGGGGGAGCAAGACGAACCATCTGCTGTGCGGCGCTTAGGCCGGACTGCTCGGAGTGGTGGCCGCAGCATCGCTACTACGCGCCAGACTGCCACTCGCAGTGTTGCTGCTACTACTACTACTACTACTACTCGAAACAGCCGCGGGGGACGCCTCCACTGGCTTTGGCTTCCACGGCCCGGCGGGAATGAATTTGGGATCAATGTTCACATGCGATCCGTCACAGTACGGCGGCGTCGCTGTCTGCTTGCATCCGCAAAGCCACAGCGTCTCAGCCTGCGCAGGGACAAACTTGAGGCTTTTGCGGCGGTGCTCTTCGGGCAGCTGCTCGTTGAACTTTTTGTGGATGCCGTCGCACAGCGGCTGCTTGTTGGAGTGGCCGCAGGTGCACCACGAGTAAGTCTTGCCAGCGACCACGTCAATCGGAAAGGGCTCGGCTTGGGCCACAACGGTGCCTGGTGCCGGGCGAATCGCATACGCCGCTCGGGACGCCAGCGAGCTGATGGCGCGGCACGCGACAGAACGGAGCATTTCGAAACACACAGAGAAACTCAAAAAGACTGAGAATGCGCAAAAAAAAAAAAAAAAAAAAATAGTGTAATCGAATGGACGAAAAAGCAAACGACATCAGAGACGGGAACGATGGAACACCAAACAACACATACACACAAGAACAACGATAGATAGGCGATTGGGAGCGGTCGAGAAACAGGAGTGTTTGTTACACCTTCGTGTAACCCGAGTTGCCGCACGAGAAGACAAACTTGAAACCATCCTACACGCGGGTGATCAAACAACAAAACATAGAGCCAGTCAGTGACTCGATGGGATGGCGAAAAGGCAAGCCCTGCGCGCCTTCCTTACCTTGATCAAGCCGGGAACTTCTCGCCAGAAGGCAATGTTGGGAATAGCATCGGTGCCAGTCGCACCACCTCGTCGCTTGATCAGCACACCGACAACCAGGTAGACAAACACCGACGGGAAGAAGCTGCGCAAATTTCCAATGAATGTGAGCGCTTGTGTTTGTTGGACGGACACCAAGAACGAAAGGAAATCATTACATTGCGAGAAGAATCGAACCACCGCTGATACCGCCGCCTTCACTCGCAACGGGGCAAACACCAGGGCACGCGCATTGATGAGAAAGCGTGACAACCTATTTGCAGAGGCAAGGTCGAGCAAGGTTAGCACTCTGATTGGAAACAGCCAGAGAGAATCGAGCAAGCCATACCCATGTCAAGCTACTCTTGGTCAAGGTCATTGAGGGCGCTCCGGTAATGCTCTTGTCGCAGTTCAGATGGAGTCGGGAGGATGTGGCGGTATCACCAGAAAAATCGACCTGAAAAAATCGTAGCACATCTGTGAGTCAAGCAGCTTCTTGGAGCACTCGCTGGGTTTCGGGGCGTGGCAGGGGGGGGGGGGGCAAATACCACCAAAACAGGGACGTACATTGAGGCCTGCAACATTCGTCAGAGTCGTTGCGATGGCTGCGCCAGTCGACAAGCACATCTGAATTCCAGAGGACGAAAGGTGAGCGCATGTCCATCTAAACCACCACCATCACACAACCGAACGACAGGAGATACACACAATAGCATCCTTTTTGCAGGCTGGGATGGGACTGCTGCCAAGGTTGGGGCAAAAGTTGTAATAGACGTAATAGGTGATGGAACCGTCTTGGAACGGCCCAACCCTGAGCGGAGTGGATTGACGGAGGCCCGCAATGTCAATGATTTCGTTTGTGGACGTAGTGTACTTGCACTGCTGCAGGTCGAACGAGTCGGCGGCAGCGAGTGTGACGATCGCGGCCAGCACCACGAGCAACGTTGGTGCCAATCGAGCCATCATCATCATCGTTTGTCACGGTCTGGTTTTCAAGCAAGTCAATCAGTCAGAGCCAGAAACCAAGCAAATGCAAGACGAGCAGAGAGCCGACCGCTCCAAACAAGACAAGGTCTCAATAGGGAAACAGCGAGGAGCGAGAGTGACATGAGGAGAAATGGAAAATGGAAACCAAGTGAAACCGAATTTAAAAAGAAATAATAACAAAAGAAACGTGTGGCTGGCGAAAGGGGGTGGGGATCAGGAGATGGACGTGGAGGAAGAATGATGAAGAAGACAAACAAAGATGAAAGAGACATGGCAAACGATCGAACGAGCGAGGTGCTGCAGAGGAATGAATGAAGGGCTGGGAAAAAAAAAAAAGAAGAAAAAAAAAAGAGCGAAATTAAAGAAAGTCACAGTCACGAGTAGCCACGCACGTTGTGTGGTGCAGACAGACAGGGTCTCCAGACAGACTTGGCGGGCTGTTGCTAGTGATGGGATGGGTGCAACGAATGAAGCGGCAGCGGTTGTGGACGAGAATCACCAACGGAGAAAAAGCAACCAAAAAGCACGAGCGAGAGCCAAGAAAAAAAAAAAAAAAAAAAAGCCCCAGCCAACCAATGCGAACCAACCTGGAAAAGGAGAAAGACTGAGAAGCGCAAAGACTGGATGGAAATGGCAGGTAGAGCCAAGATCTACGAAAACGATTGCACAGAAAACTACAGAGAAAGGCTCCAGGGACTAGGGTGATGACTGCGATTCAGCCATCGCACAAACCGCTCGCGCTGTGGCTTTCCATTCCCTTTCAGCATCGTCCGTTGCCTCCAAAAACGTTCAGTGACGACGTACGACGATCGTCAATTACAAATCAAAGCCGTTATGGCATGGAGGGGACTGCGATCGCGGTGGATTACCGATTTCCACCAGCAAAAAGCAAACCCACAATCGAGCAGGAGGCAAAATGAGAATCCCGTTTCTTTGTGAATGTCGCCTCACTCGCTCACACCCTCCCCTCTTTGCCTCATCGTCCTCCTCCCGTGCTCGCGTGCACTCGCTCGCCCGTGCACCACACGAAATCATTGACTCGGCATCTCACGCCTGGAGTTTCGACAGAACTTATTCGCGCTACGTCTTTTTCTTAGCGCGACAGTGTCGAAACTCGCTTAAGGGCGCTAGTTCAATTTTTAAAACTTCTCGTGTGCTGTATGCGCGCGAGCTGTCTCTTTCCTCTCAACCGCCTCTTCGACTCGACAACACGAATGAAAACCTTACTTGATCCTCCTTTTTGACGATCGTGCATATCCCCATCAGATGTCCACTTTTGCCCAAACCTAAAAAATCGACTTCTCAACGTTCAAACTTTCCACGCTTGAGCAAACTACTGTACTCCATTGATTGTACAACTCCCACACACACAAAAAGCCAACCTCTCTCTTTCTCTCACACTCACTTTACGGCGTGTCTCGGAACTGACGGAACGCGGGATCGCAGTCCAACAACTCCCAAAGCGGCTCGATCAAGGCGATCGCCACGTCCACGGACTGCGTCGTGGTGGTGCTTGCAGAGACAGAGAGCTGGTCTTCTGTCGCGAGAAAGTACGCGAGCCCGTCAATCAGTGAAATGGGCGAGAACGGCGTGGAAACGAGCGTGGGCGGAATGGGCGCAGAGTCCGCCCCGACATCGAAATCAAGCTGCGGATACATGTCAAACTTGTTCCACTGAGACACCATAAAGCCGCCGTTGAGCGGCCTGAAATGCTGGGCAATCCGCCGCTTGTCCGACTGGACACTCATCCAGCGCAGTGTGTCAACTGCTTCTTGCTTGGTCATCTGCCGCATCGCATCGTGGATTGTCGCGGCGACCGCAGAGAGCGGCGCAGTCGCGAAGGAATCGGCCGGGTAGGTGAACACGGCGCAGGACACGGCGTTCGGAAAGTAGCGCGCAGGCAGACCGAGGCGGCCTCGCAAGTTGAACGGCGACAAAAAGTCCGTGGAGAGCTGCGAGGGATCGGCGCCTCTGCTCTTTGCGTACTGGACACGAGCGACATGTGTGCGCTGGTAGAGGTGAGCGGCAAGCACGTCGAAGGTGGAAAGCCACTGTTGGCCAAATTCCGCAGCCGTCAAAGTGGCGTGGGCCTTCAAGCGCTCAAGCTCGCGGCCAGAGAAGCGGAGGATGCGACCCACCACAGGAGGCGGCGGCACTGCAGGGGTAGAAGTTTCGGCTTCAGTGCCACCACTGGTGGCAGCGGTTGCGGCGGTTGCGGCGGGTGCAAGCAGGTGGTAGGCGGTTGGAAGTCGAGCGCCGCTTGCCGCTCGTCGTCCGAAAGCCCTGCCATTGACAAGTAAGATCGGATGGTGGGCTGATGCTTGAGATGGGGAATCTCCAAAGGCAGTACACGTCGCTGCCGGTACAGTTCTGCCAGGTCTCGGAGCAGCTGGAAGCAGCCATCCGCATCCGTCACGCAATGGCGCACTCGCACGCCCAACGCCACGCTGCCGCACGCAAAGCGAGTGTGCTGCAGTGTAAAGATGTGATCGCCACAGCCATCGTCGTCCCACGGGTTGAACGCACCCAAGAGCGCGTTTCCGCCGTCGGGGAGCTCGGTCACCACCAGTGGTTGCGTAACGCCCCCGCACGTGTCAGGAAGCCGCGCATCGCAGGTCGCCACGCGGAACTCCATGCCAGCGCCGAGCTGCACCACTTCAACCGTGTTGTCTGCCTTGTTCATCTGGAGGCGGCCGGTCAGGTGCGGATAGTAGTCGAGCAGTCTGCTCAGCGCGAATTGGAGCCTGTCCACCTCGAGCAGACCGGGCGCTGCGGCCGGGGAGGTCGGACGGTACACCAGCACGACAGCCACAGGAATAAAAGGCAGCGCCAACTGATCGAGCGGGCCCAGCTTGAAGACGGGCGACTCCCCCAGCGCAGGGAGCGAGACTGCTGGATTGGAGCACGTTACTACGGCCTTTGACACAATGTGGACGGGCGACAGGGCATTGGCCGTCGCGCCGGGGTGTTGCTGCGCAGGGTTGGTCATCTGTCGTAGTACTACTAATAATAGTGGTGGTAGTGAGGCAGGTGAGGTTGGCGATGGTGGTGCTGCGATTTCAGGTTCAGACGCAAACAAGACAACCCAGCGACTGACAATGCTCACACACACACACACACACACTGGTGACTGCGCGACTTGGCAAATAAAAAGATGAGTGATGCTCGCCCGCTTTTGTTCTTATTTTGGCCGTAGTACAACAAGAAACACAAGTTGGTGTCTGAATTCATTCACGAGCAATTGCAATGGTGATTTCCACTTGAAGCCGGCGAGACGACTTGTACTGTATTCACTGCATGTTGTACTAGCTCAATATACGCAAATTCAACCCATCTCCACTGGTCCACCCGATTCCAAGTCATTTCCAAGTCGATCTCTGAACTTTGCCCATTACCTTGCCCCCTCCCGCTCTCACCCAGCCCTCCATCCACTTTCCCCAAATTCAACAAGCACATTGACTCAAACCTTCCTACACAAAACAAAACAAAACAACGCCGCTGAATCAAACACAGATCCAAATACAATCAACTCTCTCAGTCCTTTAGCTTTCGTCCCTTACTTTTTGACCTTTTTTTGATGAATCCGTCCGGTGGCGGTGCCGGTGGCGCGTCCGCTTCTGGTGGCCATCCTCACCTGTCCACAGCCTCACTGAGTGCCTTTGGTGGCGGCGGTGGCCCCGTGGTCGGCGGCACAATGCATCCCAATCCAACCGGCAGCCTTCAGAACTTTGCCTCGCAGGCGAACACAGCGGGCAGCGCATCGCCAGGAAGCATCTCGTCCGGCAACGCGGGCCACAACGCATCGTCGTCGTCCATCTCGACCATGGCCAGCGCGGCGACGACGGCGCAGATCACGGGCGGCACGGCGTCTGCTGGCGCTTCCATTGCAAGCGGCCTCGGCCAGTATCCAGGGTCGCAGGGGCTCGGCAGCGCGTCGTCGCACGCGTCGTCGTTCTCCACAGCCAGCAGTGGCAACAGTCTGGCTGCCGCGGGGCAGGGAAGCTCACCCGCACCAGCAGCAGGACTGACGCTGGGCGCTTCCGGTCCGATCTCGGCCGCCACAACCAGCACGCTCCTCCACCCGACTGTTCCCATGTCCAGCTTCGACTTGATGCGCCGTCTCGCGATGGCCGATCCCAAGCGCGCGGCGGTGATTGCAGCCACTCCAGTCTCCCCGCTCCGGCCTGGCGCTAATGCCGAGCAGCACTTGTACGCCCAAGCTAACGCCTCGCTGCCAATGACGATGGTGTGCACCGTCAACGGTCCCATCAACTCGTTTAGCACAAGTCCGGACGGAACCATGGTCGCCGTGGCTGGTCGCGACGGTAAGGCGATGTGCCCAAATTTTTGCTTTCAAACTTTTGTCCTTGTTGCTGTTTGGTGTCGAGGTTTCCATTTATTCTCCCATCCTCTGGGAGGGTCATCATACTTGCTCACCCCGTTACGTTATTGATACCATCTTGTTTTTGGAACAGTGCTGAAAGTCCTCAGCATGTCGAGCGACCGGTGTGAAGAAGTGTACAACATGCGCTCCGGCACGCGCGTCACACTCAATTACAGCAGCATTGACGTGTGCTGGCATCCTCTCGAAAGCTACAAGAACATAATGGCAACGGCCGCTACCAATGGAGCCGTTGTGCTTTGGGACATTACGCACGCAGTCAGCCGATCGAGCCGCGTCCTCACCGAGCACACACGCACTGTCAACCGCGTCACGTTCCACCCTTCCGACCCACATCTCCTCTTGAGCGGCTCGCAAGACGGCTCTGTGAAAGTCTGGGACACGCGAAATACCACAAAATCCGCCATCACGTTCGACGGGCGCTCGGAAAGCATCCGCGACATTCAGTTCAATCCATTCGACCACAACCTGTTTGCGACTGCGTCAGAAACGGGTCTTGTGCAGCTATGGGACATGCGAAAGCACGAATCTTGCGAGCGGCGCATTTCCAGCCACCACGGCCCGGCCTTTACAGGTGCGATTGCTGTTGTTGCCTTCTTTTTTTTTTTTTGGTTTGTTGTTGCGCTACTTTTCCTTTTTTTCGAGAAATGTTGATTCTTTTCCTTCTTTGTTTGTTGCCTCATTTGCCCCATATCTTGGCTCACTCCCACTCTCTTGATCCAACCGTCTAGTCGACTGGCATCCGGAAGATCGTTACGTCCTTGCTACTGGTGGCCGCGACAAGACCATCAAAGTTTGGGAGTTGTCGGGCAAGCCGCACACTTTTGCCAACATCCAGACCATTGCTGCCGTTACACGCGTCGCCTGGCGTCCTGGTTTCCGATGGCAACTTGCTAGCGCGGCCCTGTTGACGGAAAATAGCATCCACTTGTGGGATTTGCACCGTCCGTCTTTGCCTGTCGCATCCTTCCAAGAGCACCGCGATGCCGTCACCAGGATTGCGTGGCGCAACTCGTCCTCCTTTTTGTCGTCAGCCAAAGACTCGACCCTCATCGTGCACAGTTTCCGCGACGCCGTCTATCCGGCAGACTCTGTCAACCCGGTGAGCTTGTCGTGGAGTCCGCGGGGCGATCTTGGGTTTGTTTCCGTCCGTGAGCGCGACGTCCTCCAAGCCGGCGCGCCGCTGCCAATCATTGCCTCAATGGGACCTCATCACGTCCTAACCGGCAGTCAGATTGCAGCGCGAGACACGCCCCACCCCAGTGGCGCCAACCCCCCTTTCGTGTCCCAGCTGTTCAACTCTGCCGGTGGCGAGTACAGTCCGTTCATCTGTCGACCAAAGCAGAATCGCCGCGGCCGTGCTGTTGTCCAAGATCCCGCCGTGCGGATTGCTTCCGGTGGTCTTGCCACCCCTTCATCCAATCATGTCGCCACTGCCGATTCGTTGGCCACATCCTTGTCCCGGACAGAGCGCGCAATGACAGCAATGTCAGTCTCGTCCGGTACGACGCCCGGCGCTGCGTCTGCTGAATTCAAGGTAGGCATTTTTGAATGCTAAGTGATTGTGGGTGATGGGCAAGAAACAAACAATTGCAATTATAACAAACCACGTCTTTTGTTGAAACTGCGAACTGCTGCTCACCTTTGTCTGTTCTCTGCCACAGTTCCCTGATTACGTGGCGGCCATTTCGAATGGAGAGACCGCACCCAATAGCGCTCTTGATTCAGCCCGCCGTTCCGGGACTGTTTCGCCGTTTTCGCCTGCCTCAGTCTTGAGCTCTGGCGTGATGTCGCCGCGAGATGGCCTCCGCGCCGCAGTTGGTGCCAAGGCTGCTGACGTGGGGCCGCCGGCATTAAGTGTCAGCTCTTTACTGCTTGGGTTTGATGAGCGCGTCTTCCAGTACTTGGCCAACCATTACAAGTTGCACGGCGAGCCAGTGGGCAAACTGTGCGAGCACAACGCCGGCGTGGCGAATGCGTGCCATCAAGTTCAAGTCGCGCAGTCCTGGCAAATTCTCAAGCTGTTTTTCGCAACGGAGGTCCCTGTTGCACCCGCGATCGCCTCGGAAGACCTGCACGCACATCCAAACGATTCATCCTTCCTACGACCAGCCTCAGCGGTCGACAATGATGATCCTCATCGCAACTTTAACATGATAGACCAAGGTAAGGCTTTTGCCGTCAGCGGGTTTTTTTTGCTGTTGTTATTGGCGACATTCTTCTTGCTGATCCGGTCTTTGGGTTGATTTGTTGTTTTGCAGAACCAGTTGGCTTTTCCCTTCCAATTGTATCCGATCAGCAAATGGTGCACGAACTAATGGCCGACAGTAGCAATAACTGGGTTTTGCAAAATGTTCGTGGCGAGCCTGGTTGTTCTTGCAATGTTGTGTTTTGACTGGAGTGGCCGCCCGATTGTTTCCTCACTCAACCTGTTCTGCAACACCTCTGCATCCGTTCTACGTCGAACAGGAGGTGATTGAGCGCCTTACACCCATTTCTAGTCGACCGTCAAGTCCGACCTCAAAGCATTCGCTTTCCCGGCCAATGTCGCCCACCCTGTAAGCAAATCCGCTGTTGGAATTGGACGCTTTTGTTTCAACGTTTTACGTTTCACCCTGAGTGACTGACTCAATGATCGACACTTTTGCAGTGGGATGAATGGCCAGAGTTCCAGCGCCGCAAAGTCACGCGAAGGGATTACGCCAGATCCTGCGAGCACCAGTGCGCTCGGGACATACTCTGGTGTACCAAACGGCGCTAAGAGCACCACCCTCCTCGGAGGCTGGAACCACCAACCCATGGTGGTTGCACTTCTGCACTACTATGCCGAGCGTGTAAGTCAACCTTCAAGCGAAAAAGCTTTGTGATGCGCTTCGAGGAATGTTTGTTGATTCACCTCCTTTATTTCTTTTGGTTGTTTGAACAACACGCAACAACCTCCACCACCACCACCACCACCACCACCACCACCACCACCACCACCACCACCACCACCACCACCACCACCACAGGGAGACGTTCAAACTGCCGTCACCATGCTCACAGTCCTGAATACCGTGCTAGCGGAAGATGCCGTCCCCAGCAACACTCAGGAGCAGTGGTACATTGCTTACATTGACTTGCTGCATCGCTTCGAGCTATACTCGATTGCAGCTGATGTGATGAGGAGCAGCACCAACACAACTGTGCAAGGCTTGAATCAGGTAAGCACTTTCTGTTTTTTTTTTTTGATCGTTTTCTTTGTTGTTCAGCTACAAACAACTTGATTCTCAACTTGGTGCTCTTACACACGCCCTTTGTCTTTGTGACAGGACACCACGACTGTTCATACTAGCTGCAGCAACTGCAAAAAGCCATTGTTCAAGTCTGGTTGGGTGTGCGACCGATGCCTGAAGCTCACCAACAGCTGCTCAGTGTGGTACGGTATCTGGCTCTTTCTGTGTGCACATGTGCTCCACCGTGCAACAGTGTGGTTGGCCAACTCAACGTTGGGATGGGCATCTTTTTTTCTTTTCTGTGTTTCGCAGCCATCAAACGGTCAAAGGGCTCTACGTCTGGTGCCAAGGTTGCGGCCACGGCGGTCATATTACGCACATGCAGGATTGGTTTTCCAAGCACACACTCTGTCCTGCCGGGTGCTTGCACCACTGCGAGTTTATTTGATTTGTTTGTTCTGAATGCAACTCTCCAGATTGTCAAAAGTGGATTCATGGAACGAAGCAAAGTGCAGAATTATCGAACAACAGGTGGCAGCACACAAAACACACAACACCAAGACAGAATCACAGCGAAAGAATCAAGCGACGATGGGGAACAAAAAGAAAAGTAGGACAAACACAAACAAATCACAAAAAATCAAAATAGAGCCAATACTCGCTCACAAGATCGTGCACTTTTTCTTTCCACCGCTGGTTTTGGTGCTGGAGGCATGGCTAGCTTTGTGCTTTTGAATAACGCGGAGGAGATCGTAAAAGGCCTTTTCAACATTGTGTTTGCTCTTGGCCGACGTCTCGATGTATGCAGCTCGCCACTCGGCTGCCCTGCGCTGAGCTTCATCTGACGAGACTTTGCGCTTGTCTTCCAAATCGCACTATAGGCAAGGAAAAGAAAAGAAAAAGGGGAGTCGGAGTAAGTTGGTAGCAAAATCAACAACAGACACGTTGAGAACACTGAACATGCACAGCACTCAACTTGCCCCGAACAAGCAGCAGCAGCACAATACCCTTTCCCCCCCCCCTTTTTTGGTTGATTTCTTACCTTGTTGCCCACCAAAATGATGGGTGTTTCGTTGCCCTGTGCGGTTTCATTGTTTTCAAGAACTCGCAGGATTTGGTCGCGGAAGTGGGTGGTTTCGTCAAACGATTCGCGCTCAGCCAGCGAGAAGACAATCAAAAAGCCCTCGCCGCTGCGAAAGTAGTTGTCACGGATGGCTGCATAGTCTTCCTGGCCAGCCGTGTCGAGAATATCAATCTGGCATTCTTGGCCGTCGACGCTGACCTTCTTTCGGTACGAGTCAGCCTTGGTCGGTTCGTAATCCTCGACGAACTGTTGAGAAAGCAGCAGCGTGTAACGTGGCAAGTTGGTCAGTGAAGCCGCACACCAACCAGACAACAATCAACCGACAAAGTAGGTGCAAAGGTTTGGCGTCGCATCCGAATTCGCAAACACAAGCAGTGGGAGTGGAACGGAGGCGAGCTGTTTCATGTTGCAAAGCAAGCACTGCAGTGGAGCTATCGCAACTCGGCACCAAACAGCCATCACCCAGACGATGACACATAAAAAAAAACCCGATGCAATGGAAACGAATGTCATAAACAAAAGTGAAAAAGCGAAAGAAGACGAACAAAGTCCAAAAAAAGAGTGTCCAGCCAACCATGCATCACACAAACGCACACACACACACACACACACACACACACACACACACACACACACACACACACACACACACACACACACACACACACAAATGATGTGATTGAGACAGCCAGCGTAGTTCAAAACCAAGTGGTACTTTGAGCCTCTCATCGTTCATCACCATCATCTGAACGGGGAATAAAAATAAAAATAAAAAAAAAAAAAAGAAAAAAAAGGGCCACAACAATCGCATCGCTTGAACGCTGCAGTCATCGCTGGGAGGTCATGACACGTTCGTTGAATGGTAGCAATGGTAAGGCAGACGAGAGGCACAGGTGGGAGGGCGAGATGGGCGGATGGTGCGAGGCAGAGAGCTGTTGCAAAGAAAACAACTGGGAAAAGAGCAAAAAAAAAAAAAAAAAAAAAGGCCAGCCGAACAAAACGACATACAACTGTGCCTGCTCGTCAAAGGAAGAGGACTCGGAGGAGGACGGGCAAAGTGAAGGCACTGGCGTCGAATAAAAGCAGACAAGTGCTCCCAAACACAGGACCCCAGCACCCCAGCACCAGCCAACCCCACACAGGCCAGCGCTGCGATCGAACGCCACAGCGGAAAGGACTCGGCTCAAGGCTATGACACACTCAAACGGACGTCACTGCTGCCAGCGGCGCGATCGGTTCAGGCCAAGCCGCCGGATCTGGCGTCCTGCAGCAAGCCAGCACGCCTCCAAACACCCGCTGTCAAGGCCTGACGAGCCTGCGCGAGGTTTACTTTGGGAAAAGCTCAACACTTTAGGAGGAAGTTTTTTTTTTTTTTTTTTTTTTTTTTTTCCAATTCCTCGTCAGCGAGCGCGACGTCAATCCTCCGCATCGCAGGGCGGCCTCCCAGCCCAGTCGTCGTCGTGAATGCAATCGCATGCACAAGGAACTGCAGAGACGGGATCCCCAAAACCACCCGCTCCACGCGCTCTCGTGACGGCGGTGCTGGAGCGCCTCTGATTTCTTGCTGCGGTCTTCTTTTTTTTTTTTTTTTTTTTTTTTGTTTCCTTCCACTGAGTTTCGCAAACCACACTCAGTTCGCAGAGCAGTCGTCGCTGCAGTGGCTGCCTCACAGAACTCCTGCTGCAGCTATTGCCCAGCCCCCCAGAAAGCACTTGCCCGAAGGTGCCCACTGGTGACAGAGGCCGCCCCCAACGCCAAACACGATTGCTTATTGAATGTTGTGGGCTCTTTTCTTTTTTTTTTTTTCTTCTCTTTCGTTCTTCCTTGCCGTTTGCCTACTTGTCTGATGCGTTTCCGTTGTCTTACCTCGCCATACATGAACTGGAGTGTGAGTGCTGACTTGCCGACACCGCCGGCGCCGACCATAATCACTTTGTGAAGTGGCAACGCCTTGTTCTCCTTGACCATGGTCGAATCTCGATTGAGCCAAAATAACTGAAAAAAGACTGAGCGCGAGCTTAGCTCGACAAGTCAGGGTCAGCCTCTCAGATGCTCACACCGACGTAGATCTATGACTGGGATGTAGAAAGGAGGGCATATCGAGGACTTTCATTTTGCGGAACAATGAATTGCATTTTGCGCTTTTTCGAGCTTTCGAGCCTTCAAAGCTCGCTTCAAGCATTCGCGCAGCTCGCACACACCCAGGCACCCTCAGCCGTGCTGGGAAGACCAACACAGGTGTGGTGAAACCAAAGATGACACACATCGCAATCGAGCATGTTGGAGACGCCATCCCAAACCAGGTTGCAAACCATGCACGGCGCGTCAAGCTCGTCTTCGGTGAAATTCACAAAACCAAAGCCATCCAATAGATGGGCGGGCTGCTCGTCAGCCATGCCAGTACGGTTTTCGGCAGCTGCGAGAGAGGCGGAAAGCCCCTGGGCGAGGTCAAAGTCGTCGTCGTCGTCGGCGGCAACTTCGGACATGTCTTGCGTGCGCGCCATTCGCTGGGCCTCTTTGGCAAGCAACATGGCCTTCCGACTTCCGTTGGGTGCTTTTCGACGAGCAGCGGGAATGCTCCCCGGCTGTTCGGCTGCGGCTTTCGCCCGTTTCATGCGCCGGTAGGCAATGTTTGTCAGACGAACCATACGCACGCCCAAGCCCATACTCGTGCGCAGGCCCACTCCAGGGCCCAGTGGTACCGTGGTTGGTGATGCTGCGGCTGGAGTGGCGCCTGGCGACGAGGACCCTTCGTCCAATCGTGCCCGTTTTGGTTGCAAGACCGCGTCGTTGGCGCTGTCGTCCGAGTCTGTTGTCGAGTCTGGTCGGTTGGCGTACTCTGCTATTTGAAGTTCAAGGTCGCTCAATTTGTATCTGAAGGTGAGAAGCGGGAGGGGGGGGGCGGAAATGTCAGAAGGCGGAGGATGTCGCGGAATCAGTTATCAAGCGACAGAGCAAAGAGCCAGCCAAGACACGCACAATGCAAGGCAAGCATCGCAGGGCATTGCTTCATCATCGCAAGGAGAGTTACCGTAGCCGAATCAGCTCTTCTTTCTTTTCCTCCAAGGAGACTAACAGCGAACTCAAGCTCATCGTCGTGGCAGCAGCAGGTGTCAACTCGGCCACGACCGCGGTCAAATCAATTGCCTTCCAAACCTCTTCTGGCAGTTCATACCTATCGAGATTGCAAATCGACGTGAGAGCAGAATAGGGCGAATCATCCCAAAAGCCGAATCACCAGGCTGGCACTCCATCAGTTTGCACAACCTGCATGCACTCACTTTTGTCTATTGATCTCTATCCGACGAAGAATCTCGTCTCGAGAGGGCTTTGCTCCAGTGTTGATAATGACACCATGCCGGCGAGTAGCATTCAAGATTCGCGCGTTTTCCAGTCCAATCCTGTTGAAAGTTGTGTCATATTCGAACCCACCCCCGCCAAACATGTGTGCATACATGCAAACAATAGCCAAAAACATTCACGAGTAGTGGATGAGTGATTGCACCTGCGATTCTGCTGCTCGCGTCTGCTTACACGGTCGGATCCATGTGCAGGCCGGCAAACTCGGCGGTCGATTGCTGACCCAAGATACGTTGCGTTTGTGACGACAGCTGTGCGACCGTCTTACCCTGCAGACAGCCGCTGCGGACAGAAGAGAGAGAGAGAGAGAGAGAGAGAGAGAGCGAATTGAGTGAAACAGCAAAGCGCGCACCAGAACAGAACGCTCACGCTTGGGGGTTTGCACCTTCGCACAATGTCCGACCATTGGCCCATGCCAAACTTCATCAATGCTTTGCACAGAATCTGCGAGTCGCGTGCCTCCCATCCTGCGAGCATCAGAACAAGCACAAGCGACGAACGTGAACTGAGTGTTTTTTTGCGCGGTTTTTTTCGTTTTGGCGCCAAAAACTGCAAGGCTGTCTTCTCGGTGCAGTCTGGCTTTGCCAGCACAGCAAGGCCGACGCTACATTGTGACAAACCTGGTGACAACGACACATTATAGAGCGAGCTGCTCGCGTTACTGCGAACGACCAGCGATCGCATCCGACTGTTGAAACAACGAGACTGCGAGAGAGACTGAGCTCCCGTATGTGTACCGTTCTCGCATCTCCGCTTTTGGTGCCTTTGAATTTTATTTTGATTCTGGCTGGTTTTGGCGTTTACCACACGAATTCGCGACTCGTCCAACTGACACAATTCGCGAGACAGAGGAGAGGGGTCCTTTGATAGCGTTTTCATTGGAGTGTTTTTTCCAACCAATAATTCGCCTTCTTCCCCACTCCCCACCCCATTGTGTCGCTTCGTGATGACTGATACGTGCGCTTCCCCATCCATCCATCTCGAATTTCCCCCCTTTCACTCGATCGGATCGTTGTTGACGTGGCTCATTCGACTTTTTTTTTTTTTTTTTTTTTTTTTTTTTTTTTTTTTTTTTTTTTTTTCTTACTGATTTTTCCAATTCCAATCGTTTTTCCTCTCATTTCTTTCGTTTCGTTTTGTCGATTCTGCACAACCCAACCACACCATGTCTGGCGACGAAGCGTCTTCTTACAACAACCCGAACGAGGTCTGGCTGCACGGCAAGGGCGCTTGGCTCGCGTACATCCTGCTGCTGGTCGTCCTGCGACTCGCGTTCGCGTCCGTCCCGTTCCTCTCGGTTCCCGTCTCCTTCACCCTGACCAACGTCGTTCACAACATGGTGAGTTTCTTTGTTCAAGTCGTTTGAAGTCCATTCAGTTCGATTCGCTTCCCTTTCCCTTCATATCCAGCTTGGTCTGGAAGAAGTGCAATGGAGACGTGGCCCTTTTTTTTTTTTTTTTTTTTTTTTTTTTTTTGATTTATTGAATGTATTTCGGAGCTTTGAAGCTGCTGCTAGTGGAAGGAGGCTGGAGAGTCAGCCAAGATGTGCCTTGCTTTCGCTAGGGTGACTGGGAGTCAAATGGGGTGCAGGGAATCGGCGAAGATCGTGTTAAACGGGGCTTTTTGGGAAAGTCGCGGCACAGCAAAGGCTCTCTCTGCTCATCACAGCCCCTCAGCCACTGGGGATCAGTAGAGATGGCGAGTGGCAGAGTGATGCTGACGTCGATGCCAGTGCAAGCGTTGTGGGCATGGATCCGATGGAACTGCACAAAAATGTCGAGCGTTTGTCATCACTTTGATTCGTCCCGCCGTCTGATCGTTGATGACCGGGCATAGGGTGATGATGGAAACTAGAATCATGGTGATTTTGGTGGTCGTGCTTGTGTATCTCAGTGCTATTGGGACTAGTGGCACCAGGGATGTGGTGTCATTCTGCAATGATCCTTCGCACTCACCTCATCTCTCGATCACGCCAAAATCGATCTGCCCTGTGACTCTACAGCTGTCGTTCTACCTGTTCCATCTGATGCGAGGAACTCCATTCGTATCTGCGGATCAGGGCGAGTCGGCTCGTCTGACCCAATGGGAGCAGATTGATGCTGGCGCGCAATTCACCAACACGCGCAAGTTCCTGGCTGCCATCCCGATCGTGCTGTACGTGACACGAGCTCTTGTGTGCAAAGCCTGCCGAGCGGCTCGTTTGCAGTACTCATCTCCCTCTCTTGATTTTCTTGGTGTGTTTGTTTTCTGTTGTTGCAGGTTTTTGTTGACAAGCCACTACACCGAGTACGATCCCGTCCTCTTTGCCATCAACTTTGTGTCGCTGTGCATTGTCATGGTTGCCAAGCTGCCCCAGATGCACAAGGTCCGGTTATTCTGGTTTTTCGGACGCAAGTTTGTCGACCACGAAAAGTAAAAATTCGCAGCAAAATCCATCTTTGCACGGCCCCCCCTTGCTGTTGATGTTCTACGTTGCACTCTCGCCGATACCATACTAGTGTGCATGTATTCAGTCGTTGTGTGCACGCGTTTGTGCCAAACAATTCGTATTTGTTGTGACTCGCGTTGTTACGAAACTATTGTCTTGTTTCTGTGTTTCATGTTCATTGATGTAGTACGAAATAGCTCATCGCCTTCATTTTTCGGACAAAGCCATTTTAGCACAAGAGCGCAAAAACCCCTCCATTCAAGAGAGACAGACAAACAGACACTGTAATTGATGGAAAATAAAAATACAAGTCGAGCAAAACCAAATACCAGAGTCACTTTTTGCTGCTCGAGCGATCTCGATTCCGGCCGTCTCGCCCCGAGTCGCGACTCGAATGGCGAGATGAATCTTTGCTGGATGAGTGCCTGTCGCTTGAGCTCAAAGCTCGATCGTGATCATGGCGGCTGCTGCTGCTGCTGCTGCTCGAATTTCCGTGGCTGCTCGAATCGTTGTCGCTCCTTGTACGGTCCTTGGAGGAAGAGGAGGACGAGTCGGATCGATGGCTATGACTGCGGTCGCGATCGCGCTCAGAATCGCGACGACTGCTGGAACTGGAGCGGTCGCTCTTGGAGTTGCGGCTAGAGTCTTCGTCATCGCGCTCTCGCCTCGACTCGGATCCATCGCGCTCCCGCCGTGAGTCTTTCGACGACGATCGCTCGCGGTCATCCCGACTCGAGGTTCGACGCGACTCGCGGCTCGAATCTCGGCGCCCATCCTCGTCTCGGCCGCTTCGCTCGTGCGACTCGCGGTCTGCTCTCTGCTCGGAATCGTCGCGCTCGACATCTCGACTTGAGCTTCGGTGTCGATCGCGCTCTCTGTGCTCAGGGGACGAAGACCGCTCGCGTTTTCTGTTGCAAAAATAGGGTTTGGCACAAAAAACCGACAAACAACAACAACCGAAAAAAAAAAAAAAATGAGCCATCAGCAAAAAATATCACAGTTTCCACTTCCAACAATTTATTTGCACTCCTTCATGTCTAACCTGGGGTGGTCCGATCCGTCTTCATCGTCATTGCGTCGCCGACGACGATCTTCGGAATCGCCGCCACGGGTTCCGCGGGTTTGATTCTTTTGCTGTAGTTGCTGCTGGTAGCGCATTTGCTGCGCAACCCACGGTGGAATGCCTGGGTACCGCGGTCCTCCAGGTACCATCCCGGGTGGTGGAGGCATGCCAAACGGCGGCGGCCGGAAGCCTGGCGGGACCATGAACGGCGGAGGGAATGGCATGCCACCGGGGCGCGGCATAAATCCAACTGGCATTGGCATGAATGGGGTGGGGTGGAAGCCTGGTGGGAATGCTTGCATGGCGGCAGCTGGGTAGGATGGGTGAGATTCCGCATTTGGTGCCGGTGAACGTGAGCGTGAACCAGAGCGCGAGTGTGAACCAGAGCGCGAGCGCGAACGACCTCTTGGTGATTCAGGCGAATCATTGTCGTTGCCATCTTGTTGCGGCGAGCACGGGGAGCGTGGTGAGCGTGGTGAGCGTGGTGAACGCGGTGAACGCGGTGAACGTGAATCGGAGTCGGCCATGGGAGAAGCAGGAGCAGATGTCGAAGCTGCATCTCCCGCGGTCACAGAGTCGGAGGAATGGACAGCGACTTCAGATTCGGCGACTTCCTTGGCTTCAACAGCCATGGGTTGTGGCGCCTCCGCCCTTTCGGCAGGAACACTCGCGTTCAATGGCTCGGCCTTGGCGGGAGGTGCAGCCAGTTGTGCAGGCAGCGGTGCAGGCAGCGGTGCGGAGAACATTGGAGCAAGAAAGTCTGCATCAAGCTCTGTCGGAGCGTTCACAGATGGGTGTGCTGGGGCGGATGCCGGGGCTGTGGCCAGCGGTGCAGGAGGGACAGGCACCTCGACAGTTTTGCCGGCTTGGAAGAGCGCAATTTGACGTCGCAGTTTCTGGTTTGGCGCGACATCGTCCTGGCTGACGTCTTGCTTGCACATGAAGCAATGAAAGTGTTCAGATATGTGGTTCCGGATGCCTGCAAGGGGGGGGTGATTCGTGTGCCATTGGTTTTTTTGATTGATTTAGGAAAGCACAAGATGCAGATTGTGTGGTTTTCGAATTGGAACAAAGTAAGCAATTCCAGCAGTAGCGGTAGCAGCAGCAGCAGCCCCTCAACTCTTGGTCAAGGAACATAAGCAAATCCACAAATGTTTGTACCCTCTCGCTCGCCCCTTTCAACTTACACGAATCACAAAACGTCGTCGAGCAGCAATCAACAGAGACAGCGTTGTCCATGATCTGGGTGCAAATAGGGCAGCGAAGTTCTTCAGGCACGTCGTCAGGAAGTGCGCTGGGTGCACTTGCAGCGAGCTGGCGTTCAAACAAGTCACTGCAACAGGAAAGGCAAAAAACAAAAACCCAAATCCAAGACACAAAGACCAAGATTAGCAGCAAATCCCTGTAGAATGTAAATTGGCTGCACAGCAATCTCAGTATTCCTAACAATGGACACGTACTCGTTCACAGTGGTAATAACAAACGTGCCATCGGCAGCCAACAGGGCACCAGGATTCGCCTCCACCGTTGTCGTTTGCAGGAAACTTTTGGGGATGCCAGTCGCACGCTTTGCCTTTGGCTGGTCGTACAGAGGGTCACCGTTCGTCGGGCAGTACTGAATAAAGTGACCTATCCAAGCAAGCACACAAAGGAGAATGCCATGTTTTCCCCCCAAGCATTGTTGAGCGATTGCACCAGAACAAGAAGGTAGACCCAGAACAACAAGCGGAGGGTTCGGCATAGAGTGAGTGTGTAAAGAACGGTCAACAAAGAAAAGCATCACCAAAGGAAGCCAGAAGAAAAAAAAAACCCCTCGTAGCAAGAATCGCCGTCGCATCCACGTCCAAGACAACAATCACCGCCTCTCCCTTGTTTCTGCCAGGACAGAAACCAAAGAGCAAGAAAGACCAAGCCTAAACCCCCTGCTCATCGGAAGGAAAGACGGTAAAAAACAACAACAACAACAACAGCCAAAGACGACAAGCAAATCCAAAGACACGATTCATTGGGATTGCAGAAGCACGACGCTGAAGACGAACACCACAGTGGGACAGCAGTGGGGTTGGCGAGACAAGGGCAAAGCGCCAACCCCAACGACAGCAGCAAGAATTCACAAGAGAAGCGCAATCACCTGCATATCCACATCGGTTGCAAACGTAGGTCTCGGGTGGGCGATCCATGGGTCCTGGCATGCGGAAGCCAGGCCGAGCGCCAAAGCGCGGGCCCCCAGCGACGCCTCCGCCTGGGGCGTGGAAGGTTGGTCGATGGCCGCCCATTTCGGACGCCGCCAGCGGTCGGTTGGCCGCCGCGGCCAGTGCGGCAGCATTGAACGTTGCTCCCGACAGTGAGCTCATCGCCTTGATTCGCTCGTCTTCTGTAGCATTCGGGTTGTGCAAGCTGGCTGTCGCGGCCGCAGCAGCCTTCATGCTCTGTGCTTGAGCGGCAGCAGCCACGGCGGGTTTGATCTCGTACCAGTTTCGCTGTGTGGTTGCTGGAATTCGCTTGACTTCGACGGACGTGTTTCTTGCCACGAGTGCGGACTCGTTCGTGTATGCTACAAGTGCAAGATTGACGATGAGAGTGGAGCATGAGTGAACAGGAAACCAGACAACGCAGCAAATGGTTCCTTGTGTTACCTTGCTTTGTCTGTGCGTCAATCACCTCGAGGTCTTCGTTCTGGCCCAGCTTGCTCTGCGTGATGATGGCGCGCTTGAGCTCGAGCAGCGTGATGCCGACGCCGTCAAACTTGACGGTCGAGCTGTCTGTGCGCGTCTTGAACTTGAAGTAGATGACCGACATGATAATGAAGATGATGATGCGAGGGGGGGGGGCTTTGGAGGGACGGCCAATCAAGCGCGATTCACAAGAAGGGCAACTGGGTTGTCTGTGTGTGGTTGGTGGTGGGCTTGGACGAGGACGATGATGGTGATGAAGGTGATGATGATGGAACGTTGCGAGATCGTTCGTTTATTCGGGATAGTGTGTGCGTTTTTTCACAAAAGCCAAACCACAACTTTCCGTTTCCCAGGTGACTTTTTCTTGCGTCTCTCTGTGTTTGCTCAACCTTCCATAAGCGACAAACAGCAGACCAACAGAGACCGACCAGAGAAGGGGGAAAAACACAACGCCAATAGAACACTCAATGGAAAAACAAAAGGAAAAAAAAAAAAAAAGGAAAAAAAAAAGGAAAAAAACAAAAAAAAAAAAAAAAAAAAGGAATAAGCCAAAAACGATTATGGAAGGAGGATGGATTATTTTATTATTTTATTATTTTTTCTTTTGTTTGCAGTCCACAAAATCGCATTCAAAACAGACAAAATGATTCTGCTCGAGTTCCAGAACCGCATCATCAAGGAGGCCCTCCTCGCCCGCGTCGGCGTGTACGTCTGTCTCATGTCTACGTTGCTGTCCTCTGCGCTGCGCACCACTCTAGGCAGGATTGCCATCGCGAAGGGATTGGTTGAAAAGCGCTTTCCACACCAAAAAAAAAAAAAAAAAAAAATTCTCGCTTTTTTTTTTTATCCAACCCGACGTTGTTGCCGTTCCGCTCTTGTCGCTCTGCTCTACACGGAGCCTGCTACACCATCCAGCGCTCTCGCTCCTGCGTCTTCGTTGCGGCTGTCTGGGGTGTCTGAGCGTCGATGGCAGCGTGAAATCGAACGGCACAACCGAAAAAAAAATATGAATGAAAAAAACCCCTCAACCACATCAAAAAGCTGGTCATTCTTGATCGCGATTTCGGCGATCCAGACAGCGGACGTCACTGGCTGTCGTGCGTGGCGGTTTGAGCAAAGTCATCCATCGCTCGCATCCGCTGGCGCGTGTCCGTCGGCCCTCGTCTGCCGCTGAAATCTGCAACGATTTCCATCCTTCAATTGAAAAATACTTGGATCGCTGTTTTTTTTTTTTTTCCATTGCCGTTTTATTTTCAAGGTTTTTGTGTGCGTTTGCGAGCGATGCTGCCGCGACTGCCATCAGGTGCTGCCTGTCATGGTTGTCTCGCCACCTGCGGCATCTGTTTGACGTTTGACGCGAGCAGAACCATCCCTTTGAGCAGCTGATTTCCATGACTTTTTTTATTTTTTATTTTATTTTTTATTTTTTGATTTTTTATTTCCATTTTGTTTTTCTTCGTTCCTTTTTTTTTTTTTCCACTCTCGCGGCATCTCGTCGTCCTCCACTGAATCACTCACTCGCTTGAAAATTTTGCCTTTGTTTGATCCGTGCGTAGTGACAAGCCCGATTCGATCGACCTCACGGTCGCAGATTTTGACGGTGTTACCTTCCACATCTCGTCGACTGGCGAGAACAAGTCGGTCGTTCAGGTCTCGATCAGCATCCGCTGCTTCGCCGAGCTCCAGGCTCACGGCGCCGACGAGTACCTCAAGAAGGTCTACGGCTCGAACGTTGCCCCCACCGAGAACGGCTACAGCTTCACTATTGCCCTTGATTTCGACAAGCTCCCCGCCAACAAGGGTAAGTTTTTTTTTCCGTGCTTTGGAGACGCTGTTTGCTGATCTGGGGGTGGATGGGTGTTGGAGAATTGGAAACTACTCGGCTTTTGATTCATTCTCTGCTGGTTTGAGTGCTGACTTTTTTTGGTGTCCATCACTCTATTCTTTGACTCAACAGACGAGGTCATTAACGATTTTGCTCTGCTCAAGCGTCACTGCCTCGCTGCTCCTATTGGCAAGTATTTCGACTTGTGCGACAAGGGCGGCGCTGGTGGCGACAAGACTGCTGTTATTTCATACCGCGAGGACGAGAAGATCTACCTGAACGCAGAGAAGGACCGTGTTACTGTTGTCTTTTCGGTTCGTTTCCGCGATGCGGACGATGTTGTTCTCGGCAAGGTCTTCCTGGCCGAGTTTGTTGATGCCCGCAAGCGCCTCAACCAAGCACCCCAAGTGCTTTTCAGCAAGGAGCCCCCGCGTGAAATTGCCGGCGCTGGCGCATCCGTTGCCGACAACATGAGCTACGTCACCTTTGTGCTCTTCACCCGCCACGTCAAGGGCGCCGAGCGCGAGAACTCGATCTCGCTCGTCCAGACTTTCCGCGACTATCTCCACTATCACATCAAGTGCTCGAAGGCCTACCTGCACTCGCGTATGCGCGCTCGTGTCACCTCGCTGCTCAAGATTCTCAACCGCGCTCGCCCTGAGCCTGTCGTGGTAGAGCGAAAGACTGCAACGTACGTAACAACTGGATGGTTGTGTTTTTGGTGTTTTGCGCTTTGTTGTGTTTTCAATTTTTGCTCACATTGCGCGACCCGCATTGACTCACTCTTGCACATTTTCACAGTGGCAAGACCTTCGCCAAGAAGTAAGCGAAAGTTGGCCGCTGGACCGATCTCCTTTTGTCTTTTTTTGCTTGAACGCGGTTTGGTTGTCGGAAAAAAAAAAGAAAGAAAAGCTCATTGCTGCTTCACCAACCGTGTTTGTTTCTTGAGTCGTTTGTTTGTGTCTACTCCCTCTCCTCCTCCTCCCCCCAAATGTCGTGTTGTGCACCTACCCTTATGTGTATTGTGCGTTCTCCTGTACGACCATTTTTGAACAGTACATGTCTCTCATTTTTTTTCCCCCCGTCCAGTCGCATGTGTTCTCGATCTGTTTTTCTTTTCTCGTGCATGTAAAACCAAGCATCCAATCTGACCCAGCAACAAAAAGAAGAGGCGAATGGACGTGTAGTTGGGTTGGCAAAGATCGATCGAATCCACACTTTCTTCCTTCCTCCTTTGGTTTTGAAATCTCCCGAACGCCCGAGCACATGTTCAGATTTTCAACAAACTCAAAGCCACGCGACGTATTCGCCATCGCAGTTTGATCAAACATGCAAAAAGGCGCACATCCATCAACAAACCCAGCCTAAGTCAAACAGAAGGGCGAAAAACAAGAACGCCAACGTTCACTTTTCCTACCTGTCCGAAAAGAATCCTTTATTCGGAATAAATCCAGGAGCTGCTCACTCCTTCCACGCAGTCCTACCATTTGCTCCTAGTACTTTAAAGTAGGATAGAGCGAGATTGAAAACGACCGTCTCTGACAGCTATGGTGGCATTATCTGGTGTATCTCGTCGAAAGCGGCTCGCGTTATTGTGCACCGCAGGGTTTCTGATCTCCCTCGTGCTGAGCTATCTGTTCGCCATTCGCTACATTGAAAACCAACGGCGTGCAGAGAAAGAGGCACTGCACGAACGTGTGATTGAGCAGTTTAGTCATGTTCCGACTGCCCAGTGCGCCATGCTCCGTTCCAATGCATCGGAGAATGCACATCCTGACGCTGGCAACGCGCAAGCGGCGCCGCTCGTTCCCGGCACAGATCAACTTCGACCCGGCAATCGTTTGCTCACCTATAACGCTGCGTGTCCTGTGCCAAAACACACGCTGAACATTGGACTCGTTGTCACTGTCACTGGCCGCTACATGCAGTTCTTCAAGCGCTTTTCGACCTCTGCCGGCAGCTTTTTCTTCCCGAATCACAACGTGACCATCTTTGTCTTCACGGATCAGCCCCTTCCCCCACTAGATTGGGGCGAAATCTCGCCGACCGTCAAGGCCATCCCAAAGACCCGGTTGCCCTGGCCGTACGACTCGCTCATGCGATTTGGCACGCTTCTCCAGCACGCCAAAGAGTTTGAAGGCATGGACTACCTTTACGCCCTCGATGTCGACTTTGCCTTTAATACGTACGTCTGCGAGGACTTTCTCGCAGACCTCGTCGGTGTTCAGAATGGCTACCACCCTGGCACAAAAGGCACGCCAGACCACAATCCAGCGTCGACTGCGTTCATCGCGCCAGGGACGAACACGCACTACTATGCGGGCGGCGTCTATGGCGGCAAGCATGGGCGCGTCTTCCAGGTGGCCGAGGCTGTGCACAGCAACATCATGACCGACATGCGCAATCGCGTGATGGCACTGTGGCACGACGAAAGCCATCTCAATCGGTACTTTGTCGACCACCCGCCATCCATCACGCTGAGCGCAGAGTACTGCTACATGCCATACACCAAGTGGGTGCCGCTTGTGCACTCTTACGCCGAGCTCGGAGTGGTTGTGCCGCGCATTGTGCACTACGAGTATCTGAAGGCGGATCTTCGCGAGGAGTATGTGTGATAGCCGTCGAGACTCGGAGTGTGTGTTCGATTTCATTGTTGTTGCTGTCGTTGCTTTTGCTTAGTTTCGATTGTGAGATGGTTGTTCATACTGTAGCTTGTTGTTTTTTGTTCTGTAGCGTGTCGTTTTTGTTTCATGATTACATTCAGTGCAATTCCACACCAAAGTCTCCATTACAACAAGGCCGGCTACAGGTTGTTTCTACATTTATCCTGTGCGACCTCAATGGATCGAACTTGAACTTCCCAAGCCTCGCGCATTTCTCAGAGAATAGCGGACTTGCTGGCAAGATTGTCAGCAACTGGATGGTCGAAAAATGATTTCGATACTCGACATTACTGACTCTGCAAGCCGCTTCGATAGCAGTTCGATTTCCAATTCGCCTTCCAATGTCTGTTTTTGTTAAAGTTGGTTTTGTTGTGTTTCTCAGTCACTTTTACTTTGTTTTCACAACAGAATGGCAACAACTTCAGCCAAATACGCCAATTTGTCAGGATTGGTACGATTTTGCCCCAGTTCCAACGCACTCCTCCTCCACCACCAATTCCAATTTGCATTGCATCTCAACAGTACCCACGTCCCCGCGTCCATCGATCCTTGCGAAAGGGCAATGATGAGACCAACAATCGCTGTTGAATGGATTCCAGCAATCCTTCCCTTCCCTTCCTCCCCATGACTCGCTCTCCCTTCGCCATCAGAGCACTCACTGAATGGGCCTTGCTTCACTCCATCACTGACCCCCTCCCTTCCTCCCTGTTGTGTGACTCTGTTGCTCCCGTTCCTCGCTTCTTCATCATAGGACACTGGCCCTGAAATTTACGAGATCGTCGCCAAACCTGCGGCGTCCAAGCAGCAGCAGTCTGCGACGGCCGCCTCGGCAGTGTCGGCTGCATCATCGCCCACGGCCACTGCCACTGCGAGTGGACTGCCTGGCGGCTCGGGCGCCCAGCGGCTGGACGAGACCGAGAGCCTCGATGTGGCGGCCGCGTTCAAGCGATTCCAGCAATCCTCACAGAGCCAGGCGCAAGCTCAGGCCCACCAGGGCGGCTCCAGTCAGTTTGTTGACTCGCTGCGTTCTGCAGGTGCTTCTGCGAGCGAGCGTCTCCAGCGGCTGCAAGCAGAGACACAGGCGCTGCTGGCCGACCTCGCCGCGATCGACGCCGAGCAGAAGGCATTCCAGGCAGCGCCCAAGCCAGACGCGCAATCAGAGCAAGCACCGCTGCTCGCACAAGCACGCGCGCTGCAACAGCAGCTCGACCATGTCCGTCTGAGCAAGACGCTGGGCACCATGGCGGCGGAAACGTCCGACGCCGAACGGATTGTCAAGCAGCTCACATCGCTCAAGCCGAACGCCGCAGCAGCCGCAGCCAATGCGCCAGCAGATGCTACCGGCAACAATAACGGAGTCGTCTACGAGCTATACTACTCACAGCCCCTGGCCGAGTTGCAAAAGGCTTCCAAGAGCCACGAGCTCGAGCGCCGACTCGCCGCCTTGGAAGCGACGCTTGGCAACCAGGCCAAGACTCTTGTGGTCAGTGTTTGATTTTAAGATGTTGGTTGGTGATTCCAGCGGAATGAAGGGGAGGGCGAACCTTGTGGATTGACTGATTGGTTGAAAAACAAAATGGGTTTCAATCCTCGCGTTTGATCTTCTGCTCACTGTTTCAACACCCCCCCCCACACACACATTCTGCCACTGACGTAGAGCTCTGCCGCCGTTGATGTCGGACTGGATGCCACTGCGTCACTGCCCACGTTGATCGCTGGCCTCGCACGCAGGGTCGCCCTTCTCGACCCGGCTCGCCTCGAGCAGGCCGAGCGCAAAGGCGCATCTCTCCTCCAAGTGCTCGAGACGGCTGCCAGCAAGAAGCAGTCGCTGGAAGATGCCGACAAGAACAACAAGGTTTGTTGTTTGTTTGGGCCTTGTCATTTCATTTTAGGTCGACACGGCGCTTGAACCATATGGCTGAACGAACCATCTCTGCCATCTCTTGAACAGATTCACGAGCTGTATCAGACAGTCATGAAGTGGGATTCTGTCGTGGACTCGGTTCCTTCAGTGGTCGAGCGTTTGCGCGCTTTGCGGACTCTGCACGAGCAATGCGCGTCGTTCAGCCAATCGTTGATTCAGTTGCAAGCGTCCGATTTGGACATTGGCAAGCAACTAACTTCTCAACAAGCGGCACTGGCCAAGGTAGGGTCCTCCGGCATGTTTATTGTTTGGTTGCTTTTCTGGATGGATTGATAACGTTTTTGTCTCTTGTGCCAGCTTGACACGGCCTTCGCCGAGAACATGAACATTGTACAGGAAAACAGCGCCGCGCTCGTTCAACGCATCCAATCTCTCAACGACCGTATCAGCAAACTGTCTCCCTAAAAGGCCGGCACGTTTGTGCAAGCGCTGGTTTTATAATTTTTGTGTTGGAGGTTTTTGTTGCAATATACAGTGAATACATGCTCGTCTTTCTTTCCTCCATTCTTGAAAGTGAGTGCTATGACAAAGTCAAGGCTGAAGGCTGACTACAACTACACCAAAAATCTCATTGTACAAGGAGGAAGCAGTTGACAAAAAACGGATGCACGGAAGCCGCGCCCAGCACAGCATTCACAAGATGTTCGATATAATTCATAAAGAGCGTGGTTCGAATGGCCGAGTCTGCAATTTTACCAAAGGCATTCGACAATGCAGCCACCGCTGAAGCCAGGCGAGCAGGATCCAACTCGCCATTTAGCACGTCAGGTGAGCTCAGGCCGGTGTCCCACTCGAGCAGCTGACGATACAGCAGTGTGGCGGAGGTTTGTATGTGACTGGCGGTCAGCACTGAGGCGCATGTGCCCTCCACTTGAGAATAAAGGGTCGCATTCTGTAGCATTTCGCCGCTCGCATAGAGACGCCGGTAGCGCTGCTCGACAAGCATTGCCATGAATCGGGCAACCGGGGCGGCCGTGTCAGCAGCAGGCGCGGGCGCAAACCAATGTAGGCTGTGCTGGGCGTGGACGTCCTCGACCAGCTTGCTGATCAGCAGCATTGCGGCAAAGACGGTGCCAGTTTGCGACCAATGGCTCTCGAACGGGACAGGCATGCTGTAGACATCGAGCATGACGCTGTACTCTGGTGCGTCCGACCACGCATTCACAGACAAGCTGTCCGGCTCGAGTGTTTCGACCTGGTGAAACCAGAACGGCGGCAGGTAGAGCATATCACCGGGGCCCAACTCGGCAGTGTAGACTTCCGCTCGTGCAAAGCCCGGGAAATTCACCAATTCCGCCTGCGGATTCAGCGAACTGATATTCACTTGCGCGTGTCCATAGTGCGGATGCAAGCACGGATACAGGTACATGGACGTGGAGGGAGGCAGCAGCGTAAAGCGTTTGCGTCCGCGGAGTTGCACGAAAAAGTTGAATGTGGCATCGTAGTGTGTTGATGTGACAATGCCTCGTCGACCAATCCACAGGTTGCTAACGCGGCCTTCGTCCGAAACCTGCAGCTGTTCCAGACCTTGCAGATCGCGCAGCAGCGTCTCCCGTTCCTTGAGCAAGTCGATTGCCGACGTAAAGTACAAGAAGACGCCATCCGTGTTGTCCTTGAGCACCACCGATGGAGCCACGGCAACTAAAGGGAGGGTACACCAAGCACAACGGAAAAAACGAAGGATTTAAGACAACAGACCAACCTGAAAGAACTTGCTGCAATAATACACCAAATCACATGTGAGCATGCCAAAATGGCACTCACCTTGTGCATTGTAGTCCTGCCACCGCTTGGTCGCCAGCAGCGGCTCCATTGGCTTGTTGTCATGGAACGTTGTAAAGAAGCGCCGGTTCTGAGATTGTCGGTAGACTTTGACCTGTTTGAGCGTCTTGGTCAGGTTGCCGCTCCTGAGATCCCATTCCTTGCGCGCCGTCCACTGATCAGCAAGCGTCTCGTTCATTAGGACTGGCATGCGTTGTGTTCGGGCGAGTTGAGCATACGCACTACGACTCTGCGTTTCAGACGTTTCAGGCGGTGAGGACGGAAGGACGCTCTTGGCGCGGACGACGGACAGCTGGCGGAATCGCGTGTGGATTGGCAACGGCATCGGGACAATCAGCTGGTTGTCCGACAGTGTAATATGCGAGGGGAAGGTGCCTCGGTGGAAGGCGTCCTTGGAGGCGATGTGGGAGGAGCTCGAGCCGCCACTGCCGCCGCGACCAAGCAGCCAAGCAGCGACGACAGCGAGGCATCCGAGCAGTTGGATGATCTTGAGGCGATTTGGCACGATTCCAGCCGGAGGAGCGTTGTTGCCACGACTGGAGGTGGTGGTTGGAGTGGGAACTGACTCGCGTTGCTGTTTGGGCGGCATCGAGTTTTACATGTACGGATGGGGATGATACAAACCAAAAAGCAAAGAGTGATCCGATTGTGGACGACAAGAGGGTATTGACACTGGTTTGAAATCCACAAGTTTGTAATCATTGACCATTTCCCAATCCATCAATCCACCAAAAGCTTCAACCCCAGGCAATACAATCATGCAACCCGACGAGCTTCAACAACCCTCTCACTTTCTCACTTGGGTTGAACGTCGGCGTCTGTGATGCGTCGAATAAAGATGGCATCATTTGGCATGCTATGGATGACACGGAAAGGAAAGGAAAGGTGAGAGCCCAAATATTACGCATCCAAGCTCAAAACCAACGACAGCAAACTCACTCTTTTTCACCCTCTTCAAAGGTGTAGGAGGATGCAATCGCTAGCAAGCTTCCGTCATGGTTGAACGCCAGTGAGGCAATGCTTGTTGGATAGGGACGCAGTTGGCAAATACGCCGCTTGTTCAGTCCATCCCAAATTGAAACAATACCATCGCCGCCGCCAGAAGCGAACGTGTTGTATCTACCATCAAAACAAAAAGAAGACGAGGAAAACAATGGAGGTGGGTGATGCGATCGGCCAACGTGAAACCAATCGTGCTCGCCAAAAAAAAAAAAAAAATGACTGGTATTGACGGGGCGTATGATCACCGCCGAGCACAGGGCTCTGGCTACTTACAGTGGATGGAAGGAGATGGAGTTGACAGGGTAGATTGTGTTGACGCCGTTGATGGGGACGCGATGGCACTTGAAGGCATACTTTTTCTGTTGCACTGCCGGGCTGGGATCAATGTACTCGACAGCAATGCGACCTTCAATGGACCCAAGAACGTAGCCTGTCAAGCGTAGCAAGCCGTACCAAAACACGCAAAGGAAGCGTAGACACATGAGGGCACAGGCAATTTTCCACACGCACACTCAAAACAAAAAAACCCAATTGCACCCAGCCTTAAACCTCTCTTCCCTCCTTACCATGCCCGTTGGAAAAGGGCTGAATGCATCGCGTCTGGAACTTGAGCGAGGACTCGCGCCGTTGCAAAACCGATTCCATCTTCCGCAAGTCCCAAATCAGAATGTGACGGTCGGCCGTGCCAACAATGAGCTTGCTGTCGCTGGTGCATGCCATGGCAAAGACCTTGGCAGATTGCTGGTGGGTACTGACGCAACGCGCTGTGCGCGCATCCCAGAGCTTGACGCTTTCATCCCAACTGCCCGTCACCACGAGCCCTGTTGCCGGGTCAAATTTAACGCAGCGGATGCCTTGCGCGTGCCCTCCGAGCGTGGACTGTGCGCCTGTCGTAATGTCACACCTATTTTTGACGCAGGAGCATTTTCGCGAAATGTTATTGGAGTGGATGGAGTGGATGGGTTGTTGAGAATCGCAGTGAGGTCAGATTGCCCCCGTCTGACAGCAACAAAACAAGCCAAGCTGTTCTACGTACGATGATAACGAGCCATCCACAGCTCCACTATAGCATACTCGTCCTTCTGGCCCGAACGTGCTGTCGAGCACTGCGCTTGCATGAGCAAAGTTGGCCAGCAGCGTGTTTGTCGCAGCATTGTACAGCCGCAGCGTCTGTCCAAGTGGGGCCCCACACATTCAGCACAAACAAAAGTAATCAGGGATGGGGTTTCACGAGTGAGCATAGGTTCACAGACTGCAGGCCTGTCGGGAGAGGGGTGAAGTTCAGTTTTTGGCGCGCGTTTCAAACTCCAAACAGTCGGAAGAGAGATTGGTTGGCTGGCTGGGGGTGGGGTTGAGCTCGAGCTGTACCGAGTCCCAGCACGAAGCGAGAAGCATGTCCGTGTTCAACGAGCCAGCGGGGGCGAAGGTGACGCTCGAGATGCCGTCGCTGGGCGGCGATGCGAGCTGGAACTCTGCCGGAGAGGACATGACGATGATGACGATACGAGACGAGAGAAGAGTGAGGATTACAAAAATAGTGCAACAAAAGGACCACGAAAAAAAAAAGCAGCATTCTTGGAGAAAGCGAGAGAGAGAGAGAGGGAGGGAGGAGAGACACACAAGGAGAAGAAAGAGCGACAGCGATGAAAAGTGTCAAAGAGCTGTCAAAAAACAATTACAAGCAGCACGTCACTCACCAGCCCTCGTCCGGCTTCGAATCCATCCATAACCAAGAGTCGTTTTGAATGCAGGGATGCATTCGATCGGCTGACTACCGTTTGATCCTTTGATCCTCTTTCAGCTGAATCCAGTCTCAGTTCTCTTTTTTTTTTTCCCACTTTGGCTCGTTTGGTAAGCGATCGCTCGTTCTAGGGAGGCCGCAGGCGCCGGGGGGCTTGATGACACTGTGATTCCAATCGAGACCATTCCACTGAATCAATGGATTGGCGATGCCCGAGCCGATGAGTGATGGCGGGGAGGGGCTGGAAGAAGCAGAACAGCTGTTCCTGCTCGACGCCTGACGCACGGCCTTTCGATGCTGACGCCATGGCAGATGAACAGTGTGACGCCTAGTTAGCTCCAGCGGGATGGGCAGCAGCAGCGGAAGCCCAGAGAGCCGAGCGAGGGGAGGAAGAAGAGGGCGGGAAAGGGGGACGGCTGTATGTTTTTATTTTTTTATTTTTTTATTTTTTATTTTTTATTTTTTTCGATTGCGGTTGGCTTTGAAGCGGAACACTCTGCACTTTTGACGCGACGTGAGGACAACCACATCATCAGCACTCAAAGCGTTATTCGCACAAGAGTCGCATGACAGAGCAATGAGTGGAGTGGCATCAGGAAACGGGGCCGCGATACAGCGCGCGAGAGAGAAGGCAGCACGCGCGCGAGAGAGCGAGAGAGCGAGAGTGAAGATAAATAATGGAAAAAATAATAGAAAAATAATGAAAAATAAAAATTTCTCAAAATAGCCAACCCACACCCTTTGAGGCGTTGGCATCGGCCCACAGCAACCACCTGCGAGTGCCCCAGTTGCAAGGAGATGGGGACATCAAGAGGGATGCAGATGGAGTGGAGACTGAGAGCAGAGACACGCGAGCATCGACTGTTGCTCGCAAAATCGAGGATTGCCGCAAAATCTGCTCGTCTGTTCGAGCAACCGGTCGTCGCTGTGCTCTGTCGTCCGTTTTGGGAGGTGGATTTGATCATTCCCGACATCTCCAATCTTCTTCATCTCTTGTCTGTTTGGGGCGGCTTTGCCTGCTCTGGAGACAGCGAAATCGAAAACAAAACCAAACAAAAATCCAGTAAAAATCCTAAAAAAAAATAAAAAAAATAATCATAAAAAAATAAAACTCACGAAAAACAAACAAACGCAACAGTACAAACATCCCATCAGAAACCAACACCACCAATGAAACACACTTGTTTGCCTGCGATTGCGAGTTGAAGGGTCGAATAGGGGAGGGGGGGGGGCCAAGGGCTTGTGAAGCAGGAAGAAGTGGCGGCAGACGAACGGAACACGCACAAAATAATGTCACAGTGCGGAACGAGGTTTTTTTTTTTTTTTTATTTGATTTCCTCCGTTCCTGCTCTTGTCTCTGCTCTGCTGGCTCTTGTCTCTTCCACTCACTTTGATCTGTCCTGTGTGCTTTTGCTCGATGAATGACCACATCCACAGAGGTAGCAGCAGCAGCAACAGCAGCAGCAACCACATTTGAGCCAAACAAGCGACGCGCTGGTTGTTTCGCTTTTTACTTTTCTTTTGTGTTTTCATTTTCCCTTCATCCACAAAACTCGCATAATAACCAACTCCCCCCTCCTTCGACTCCTTCATCAGCCATAAAAACAAGCAAGATCGGTCCAACCAGCACAGCAGCAATAGCCTTCCCCCCCCTCCCAAGCAGCAGTCACACACAAAAATGGTCGACACGGACAAGCCCGAGGACGCCGTCTTTGACGACATGGTTGAGATTGGCGACCTGCACGAGCTTTCCATCCTCGCTAACCTCCAGCGGCGGTTTGAGCGCGACATTATCTACACGTACATTGGTAAGGCCCTCAAGTTTTGTTCTTCGCCAGTTGTTTTTCTTGTCGCCTCGGTTGGACCACCATGTGTCGTCACAAAACCGCAACTTTGTGGTTGTTGATTGTTGATTGTTTCACTTTTGGTTTTGTTCCGCTGTCAATCTCCTCACACCACGCTTCTTGGTTGTTGTTGTTGTTGTTGTTGCTGTTGTCGTTGTTGTTGTCAACCCCTCCCCCGCTCAATCAACACCAGGCAAAATCGTACTCGTCGCAGTCAACCCGTACAAGCAGCTGTCGGTCGCGCCACCACAAAACTCGATCAACCCGTTCGCCAAGCTCTCGCTGCATGGCGCCGAGTTGGCCAACACGTACCGCATGAAGCGCGCCGGCGAGCTTCCGCCGCACATTTTTGCTACTGCCCAGGAGGCGTACCACCACATGATGCGCGATCGCAAGAGCCAGTGCGTTGTTGTGAGCGGCGAGAGCGGCGCAGGCAAGACCTTTTCGACGCAGCTCATTCTCAACTACCTCGCGAACGCTTCGGCTGCGGCGGCAGACAAGTTTGGCAGCGTCCCTGGCCTTCCCACCAGCACCAGCACCAGCACTAGCACCAGCACCAGCACGACGACAGCTGCTGCATCTGTGCAGACTGCCGGGGCCCTCACCATGAAGGACTCGATCGGCAAGCGCTTGCTCGCTGCTGGGCCCGTGCTGCAGGCGTTTGGCAACGCCACCACCGTGTACAACCCCAATTCCAGTCGCTTTGGCAACTACATTCAGATTGTGTTTGACAGCAACGGCCGAATTCAAGGCGCCAACATTCAGCAGTACCTCTTGGAAAAGTCGCGCATCATCCAGCAAGCAGATCGCGAGCGAAACTACCACGTCTTTTACAACTTGTTGACCTTTGAGGACCTTGTCGCCGAGCTCCAGATGGGGCCGCCGTCCAACTATGCCTATTTGATTCCGCACATTCCTGCGGCGCCCAACGCAGCAGGAGCAGCGCCCCACCTGTCTGCCATGCCTAAGAGCTCGAGCCAGAGCAACTTTTTGAACGTGAACAGCGGACAGCCAGCCCCAAACCGCAGGAGCAGCATGCGTCGCACGTCCGACGCAGGTCCGTTGATTGACGATGTCGGCGACGGCATCAAGCTGCGCGCCTCGCTCAAAACACTCGAGTTCACCAACGAGGAGGTCAGCGACCTCTTCCGAGTGGTCTTTGGCGTGCTTCTGATTGGCAATGTGAATCTGGTTGCGGGCGAGTCCTCCAACATGGAGAGCACGGCCATTCGCAACCCCGTCCTGCTGGACATGATCTCGAAGGTTCTCGGTCTCAGCCAGGCGCATCTCAAGGCGCTCATGACAGAGCAGGTCTCGCGGTTTTCCACTGGCGAAGTCGTGACGCGCACCATGTCTGTGCAGCAGGCGCTGACGACCCGCGACAGTATCGCTAAAGCCCTGTACGCATGCATCTTCCACTGGGTTGCCAACCGCATCAACCGCGTGATCAAAGGCGCACTGGGCACCGACCGTCCCGGCGGCAACAGCAGCAGCAGCACCAGCGCTGCAGAGTTGGATGTGAATGCGCTCCCCGCTGGCTGCACTGCCATCAACGTGCTGGACATTTTCGGCTTTGAGAATTTCGCCCACAACTCGTTCGAGCAGCTCTGCATCAACTTTGCCAATGAGCAACTGCACCAATTCTTCTCGACCTACATGTTCAAGGTCGAACAGGCCGTCTATGTCGAGGAGCAGATCAACTGGGAGCAAATGTCCTTCCCAGACAACCAGCCGTGCTTGGACCTCATTGGGCATGCCAAGCTCTCCATCTTGTCGCTGGCCGACGAGGAGTGCATCATGCCCAAGGCCACAGACCTGACGCTCATGGAGAAGATTACCAAACACAACTCGACCCATCCCTTCTTCAAGGCCAAGGCCAACAAGCTGTTTGGAGTACGGCACTATGCCGGCCTTGTGTTTTACGATCCGCAGGGCATCCTCGTCAAGAATAACGACTCGCTTGGCGAAGAGGCCCTCAACTTGTTGCGCCAAAGCAAAAAGCCGCTCATTGGCGACATGATCAACCTGTACTACGGGCCCGGCAAGTCGTCGACGGCTGGCAAGCGCAAGACCATCGGCACGCAGTTCCGCGACTCGCTCAAGCAGCTCATGACGAGCTTGTCGGCCTGCAACCCGTTCTTTGTGCGATGCATCAAGCCCAACATTTCCATCACACCGGGCTTGTTTGAGGAGGCGATTGTGCTCGAGCAACTCAAGTATCTCGGCCTGCTGGAGACGGTCAAGATTCGCAAGCACGGCTTCCCCTTCCGCTACAAGTTTGACGAGTTTGTCGCCCGCTACAGGATTCTGCTTCCGCGGCCTCCCAAGCCTGCGACGTCGGCCACGTACGGGCTTGGCCGCACCGCAACCAAAGCTCCGTCCACGCCGGCTCCAAAGCCACTGGACAGCCGCACTCTCACCCAGCAGCTGCTCGATTCGCTCGGCAAGACTGTGCCCAGCAAGTCCAAAGGAGGCGCCGCGGCGGCGCCCCAGTCGCTCTACAAGATGGGCAAGACTCGCGTGTTTTTGCCCCTCGAGTACGAAATGAACTTGGAGCAGCTGCTGGAACTGGCCAAGGTGACGTGCGCGCGACGCATCCAACGCACCTTCCGCAAGTGGTTCCACACCCGCAAGCTCAACGTCAAGGCGCGTGCCATCCAGCGCTTCTACCGCACCTATCGCGCCCGCAGGTACTTCCTCAAGGCGCGCGCCATCGCCAAAGCTCTCCAGCCGGTCGCGCGCGGCTACATTGCACGCGTTGATGCAAACAAGCTTCGAACGGCCAAGCGCATCGAGCGTGAGGAACGTCTGCGCCGCGAGCGCGAGGAGGAGGAACGTCGAAAGGCTGAGCTTGCCGCTCTCGAGCGCGAGACCAAGGAGCGCCAGGAAGCCGAGCGTCGCCGCATTGCCGAGGAAGAAGCCGAGCGCCAACGAGTCGAGGCCGAGCGTCTGGCTGAAGAGCGCCGCCTGCGCGAGCAGGAGGAAGAAAAGGAGCGCCTGGAGCGAATGCGCATTGCCGTGGAGCAAGCCGAGCGCGAGCGCATTGAGCGCGAAAAGATTGACATGCTTGCGGCCAAGGAGCGACACCAGCAGTCCAACGCGACGGCGTCCATGGCGGCCCGCTCGTTCCAAGACTTGTCCAAGGAGGTCGACAACGACGCTCGCGCCAATCCGAACGACGAGGAGGCCCCATTGACCAGCGGCAACGACGGTGCATCGAGTGGCGACCTTCTGTCCCCGTCATCGTTGGCTGCGGCCGCTGCTGCTGCCGCGACCTCTCGCATGCTCGCCTCGCCCGTGCACGCCCTGCCGCCCGTGCTGGAGTCCTGCGCTGGGTACCAGATCGAAGGACCGTCCTTGGTTCGTGCGCGTCGTGGGGCTGCTTTCATCGAGGTCACCCGTGACAACCGCTGGTGGAAGCACTTTTTCTACCAAAAGGAGCACATTACGGTGGCTGCCAAACACGAGTCCCTGGGCACCGTGCTGGTGTCGATCGTCGCGCGCTCTGCAGAAGACATTGTCTCGACTGCCGCGACCGATCCCGCCACGTACCGCGCGATTGTCTGGACCAAGCTCGGCTTTGGTCTTGCCAGCTTCTCTCCTCCCGACCAAGACTACTCTGAGGCCGCCGGAGAAATCGTCAAGGGCAAGAAGAAGCAGTACCGCGCTCACGAGCTGATGGACATGGCTGTGGATCGCTTTGGCCACACGCTGGGCGACAAGTGGAAGCTCCGCGAGAACTGCTTCCAGGTGCGCAACTCGGACTGCGACGACAAGCTCTTGCGTCTGGAAGAGGACAACCACAAGTTCTACTACCCCCAGCACTACAAGTTTGGCGTGCTGCTGATGCGCGAAGGCCAGACGGACGAAACGCTCTTGTTCTCCAACTGCAACGATGGGCGTGCGGGCGAGCCTCCACGCTGCCCTTCGTTCGACGCCTTCCTTGATCTGATTGGCACCAAGGTCCGCCTACAAGGCTTTGACAAGTTCCGCGGCGGTTTGGATGTCAAGACCGACCTCACCGGCACGCACTCGTACGCTGCCACGCGTGATGCTGGGCCATCGACGGATGAAATCATGTTCCACGTCTCCTCCATGCTTCCGTTTGCCCGCGACCAGCCCCAGCAGCCCGAGCGCAAGCGACACATTGGCAACGACGTCTGTCTTGTCGTGTTCAACGACGGCACCACGCCATACGCGCCCCAGACCGTCAAGTCGCACTTTATCCACGTGCTGATTGTCGTGCACTTGGTTTCTGCAGCCTCCGAGGACGGCAGCGTGCCTGCACAGTACCGCGTCGGCGTCGCGTACAAGGACACGGTGAGCGAGTTTTCGCCTCCCATCACGCACGAGCTCTGGGCGCACGGACCTGAGCTGCGCGAGTTTTTGATCAACAAGCTGATCAACGGCCAGCGCGCCGCGCTCAAGTGCGAGTCCTTCCAAGAGCCCTTCCGCAAGTACCGCTCGTCCGTACTGGACCAGCTGTACCATGTTGCCGCCGAGCAGCGCGGCGAGAAGGCCTGGCGATCGCGCGCGAGCAAGCAGACGGTCAAGACGCATCTCGGTTCGATTCGCAAGTTCAACTCGATGGACAGCGACGACCTCCACGCACTCCGCCTCTTGCGCTACGAGCAGGACGAGCGCAAGGCTGCGGAGAAGGATTTCGCCGAGGCTGCCAAGAAAGCCAAGGGCGGCAGTCTGTTCCTGAGTGGCAAGCGGTCCAGCTCGGCGACCAAACTCCAACTCGAAAACCGCTTTTCGTCCGTCACGGAGGCCACCACCAGCAGTGCTCCCTCGTCTCCCGTCGCCGTGCCGCGTCGTGGCCGCGCGACCACCATGGTGGGCGCTCCTTCGCCGCTCGCGCTCGAGGGAGGCCCGATCAGCCCGACCAGCCCGACTTCTCCCCAGAGCGAGAAGAAGCGGTGGCGCTTGCTGACATCGTTGCGCGGCACTCCCAAGAGTCCCGACGGCTCGTCTCCCGTTGAGCCCCTGTCTCCTGTCGACACCAACTTTCCCGATGCCAACACGACCCTGTCTTCTTCCCCGCCCATCGTGAACAAGCAAGTTGCGCAGCTTCGGCAGCAGGAGGACATGTGATGAGCGAGGGGTTTGAGTGTCACTTGCTCCTCCTCCAGACAACGGATTGTTTTTGCTGCTCGATGCAGCCGTTCGTGTTTGGGGGGGGGTGTGTGTTTTGTTTCTTCCCACTTTTTGTGTCTGTGTGTTTGTCTGTGTGTGTTTTTGTGTGAATTTGTGTTTTTTTCGTCTGGCTGTACAAATTTGAACAAAATTTCCCCAAATCACCGCCCACCACCAAAAATGCAAGATCTTCTTCTATTGCCAGACACTCGACGACAGAGGTGTGGGGGCGGGGGTGGGGGTGGGGAGGCTTTGCGCGTGCTGATGAAAGGGGGGAGAAGCAGCTTTGGTCAGCCTTCGCCTGTTTCAGCAGCCAATCCAGCTATGCTCCTGTCGGAATAGTACTAGCATGCTTCTGATGGAATGGGTGCTCGGTCGCGGGACGTGGGGGTGATGCAAAAACCAGTGGATTCAGTCTCAAATTTTGAGATCAGTGGACGTTGTCATGAGCCAATTCTCTTCCCTCCTTCCCTCTTCTCCAGAGCTGGCTGCAAGGTCACAGGTAATCGTGGATAGTGTAATTACTGCCCTGCTACAAAAGAAACGCTCTTCCGTATCAGTTTGCCAATAAAAAAGCTCGCTTTTGGTTGGTTTTGGTTACATTTCAATTCACCCACTTCGAAGCTCATGAATCCAACTACAAAATCAGGATAATCAGAACAAACTCAATGCAGTACAAATGAAGATGTGCAACGTCACAGCTCACTCTTTCTGCAGTGTTGTGACGTAGGTTTGGTTTGTTCACAACATCTCAAAACGAAACAAAACAACCAATCTCGTTCAATCTCGTTCAAGATCAGCCGTTGCTTGCTTCTGAGGGCCGCTGTTGGGCTGTCGTCCCAACAACTTTGGAGGGCAGCTGGTGGACTGTCGGTTCACCAAACGCGAAGCTGAGGTGGGGAGAGGACGGGAGGGAGGGAGGACTGTCCGATTGTAATGCGTGAAGCTTGTGACTTCCAAACAGCATCAACAAACGGATCAAACAGCTTGTGCCTTGGGGCATGGTGGGGCATGGCTGCTGCTGCTGCGGATGGTGGAGTGACAAATAGAATCGTCTGCAAAGTTGCTCAGTGCAGCAGCAGCGATCAGAGACTGATGAGCAGGGTCGAAAACACTCAGAGAATCCTCTCATATGTTGTGATTGTTGTGTTCAGGTTTGCCATGTCACTGGATTACGAGGCGATGACGCCAGAACAGCGGAAGTTGTTTGAGCAAGTCAAGAATGCGAGTGGTGAGCTCTAGTAAGAAAGCAAAGACAAAAGACGAAAGTGCTGAATTATGACACTGACATGCGGCGACAGTTTCCGTTACCGTCACATTGGTGATGTTGAAGCGCAAGCAATCGCTGAAGCACTCAAGGGGAACACAAAGCTCACCAAGCTCACCAAGCTCCAGTAAGTTGCTTGATCAGCCAGATTCAGACGAGTTCTTTCACTCCATGTCTCGACAGTTTGGGCCGGAATAGGGTTGGTGACGCTGGCGCTCTTTCTATTTCAGCAGCACTCCAAGAAAATACGACTTTGCAATATCTCATGTAAGCGTTTTCAGTGTTGAGTGCCCACCAACTGCGCAACTCACTGGGAAATCGTTAGTCTGTGTTTGAATCAGATCGGAGACGCTGGGGCTCTTTCCATCTCAGAAGCACTTCAAAAGAATACGACTTTGCAAAATCTAGAGTAAGCGTTTTCAATGTTGAATGCCCAACCGCAGCATTACTCACAGATCAATCGGTAGTTTGACGTACAATCAGATCGGTTATGTGGAGGAAACGGTACTGCGCCACAGTATCCATCCAACCTTGAAATTGTAAGTTTTCTGCTTCGTCCGAGATGTTCATTAGCGACTCCATTTGAGCCTCACTTTCCTTCCACTTTCAGACACATTGCGAATCAGCATCGATCCGGTTCTGTTCGATGCCAGGAAGTTCGCGTGGTCGTGCTTGGCGATCCTTCAGTCGGCAAGACCTCGCTTGTTAGGGGAATCGCCGACGGTTACGTGCGACAGACGTTCTCCAACTGGCTCAACATTGCCAATTCCACCGATGGTATTGATATTTCAACAGTCGTTCTGCGTGAAAAAGGCGAATCCATGATTTTGATCGTTTGGGATTTCGCCGGTCAAGAAGTCTACCTGGTTTCGCACCAGTTCTTTCTTCGTGAACGAACAGTCTACCTGGTCTTGTTTGACGTGCGTGAAGACTTGTCACTCAATTCGCGCCTTGCCTTTTGGCTCCGCAGCTTGCACGCTTGCGTTCCAAACGCCGATATCATTCTTGTTGGAACACACATTGATGATCCGTCATACACTTCGGAGCGGCAGCAAGAGCAAAAACAAAATCTTGCCAATCTGCTCAGCACCCTGAAAGAATCAAGTGTTTCGTTTAACGTGCGTTCGACCTTCTACATCAACGCGCGGAACTCTACGGGGGCCCCGAGCATGCTGGAACTCAAGACTGCATTGTTTCAAGCCGGACAAAAGATGCCGTTTACAATCAACTGTTGGATGGCCGATATCTTCAGTTCAGAGACTCGCTACAGAAGCAAGCTAACGAGTTGGCCGCCCAGAACAAACCACCCCTCTGTCGATGGCATGAAATGGTCGAGCTTGGCCAGTCACTGCGTCTCAGCGGGCGAGCAATCGATGAATTCATGCAGCTCATGCGTTTTCAAGGCTGGGTCGTTTTCCATCGTCTCGCCAATTCAGCGACCCCAGACACGTCCAGTGTTCCCGCGCTGCAACCTGCAACTCTCCTTGCTTCGTTGGACGACATTGTCATCTTGAACCCTCAATGGTTCACGAAAACAGTCCTGACTGGAGTGATTACGCAGAAACCTCAAGATCGATGGGTCAAGGATGGCATTGTGACTCGCAAGGATCTGCATCGAAACGCTTGGAAGGGCATCGATTCTGCGATCTGTGATCAGTTTGTGCTGCTCCTTCAGCGATACGAGCTCTTGTACAAGATGAGCGATGGCGATCAGCCTGGAACCGATTCTTCAAGCGCAGGCACTCGCTATGTCATCCCTTCGTACCTGCCAGCCTACAAATCCGACCCTAGTAAATGGTCTCTGAAGCATGAAGTTGCCATTGTGATGGAGACAAAGTTTTTGCTGGAGGGATTTTTCTCGAGGCTGGTTGTGCGCTTTCACGAGCGGAAATTCCACTTGACGGCGTGGCGAGATGCTGTTCTGGTCAATTACGACGGTCCTCGAGCACTACTCCGTGTTCATCGCAACGCTTCCAGTGTGCGCCTCGAGTTTACCGCTCGCGGGAAGCATCCAGAGAGGCTGCTTCCAACTCTGATTGAGATATTGGACAGGCTCAGCTCGGATTGGTATCCTGGAATCTCGTGGAAAACCTACCTGCGCTGCCCCATGCACGAGCCTAATGACAAACCATGCCTGTGGACACTACGACCTCAAGTTCGCGATGCAGTAATCAACAATGAGCAACCTTTATCTTGTTCGCACACGCACATCGCGTTTTCAAAGGAGGAATGGCTTCCAGTTCTCAGCTCGCTTTTGCAGCGTCGCTTGAAGGCGGTTTCGCAACCCACACCGGAGGATATCGAAGCGCTACGGCAACTCGAACCGCAACCGGCACCGGCGAGCGAGATCCAAACAGCAGCCGCGGAAGCTGCATCACTTGTTGCAGCACAACTGATTGCATCTGGAAAGCAAACATTGCAGGAAGTTGGTGCGGCGGCCATCCATTCTGTTCGCGAAGTCGAGAAGCAAGTGACTTCCTCTGGAGTGCAGCAGCTTCAAAATATTGCCGCTCAGTCAGCGCAGGACTTGCAGCGTTTCAATAGGGCTTTGGATGGCATCATTGGATCGATTCCAAATGCGGTCAAAACTGATCCTGTCGAGTTTGATCGGCTGATCCAGTCTACAGTTTTGAAGCGCATCGATGAGCTTGCCAAAGCTTTGGATTCGCGGTTCGATGCGGCAGAATCCCTGCACCAGGAGCAGAGAAACGAAATCGCTCGTTTTTTCACGAGTCAAGTCCAAATGCAGCTGGACTTGCTGGACAAACCATGCCCGTTGTTGTTTGTCGTGGTACCGCCGACCAAGAAGTGGCATTCCAAACTCATGGATCTTTACAAATCAAGCCACACTGCGCACCTGCTATGCGCCCACATGGGTACCAACAGCCAGCCCGAGTGGCATCGTATCGACAGTCATCCCGGCTACGAAATTGCCAAGTTTTCAAAGTGGCTGAAAAAGTATGGTTCTCGTGTTCGCAGCCTGCTTGAGTTTGTGCGTCCGTTCCTGAAAGCAGCCAGTTTGGCTCCTGGTGGACCAGATGTAACGGATGCGGTTGATTCTGCCATTACTGCTTTGGAAGACCCGCTCGAGGCTCTGCCGTACTTGCAAAGATTGCTCGACCACGCTGATCAGCAAAAGGGGTTCCAGCGCGAAAGGAAAGCAACCAGCGCCCGCATCTGCTGCTTCCTCAGAAGTCACACACTCGTCCCAAGAGGCAGCACGGGAATGGGCTGCTTTCCTATCCAAGAAAGACGAGTACAAGTCCTTTGCCGGTTTGGAGCGAGCTGTTGTGCTCAGCACGGGCGAGGTTCGTTGGGTCTGTCCGAAGCATGCGCAAGCGCCCATCTATCGCACCAGCTCCATTTCGAGCAGCTCGTCCGCCGGCTCCTCTAGCAATGCGCCAAGCAGCTCTTCCAGTGGCAACGTTGCTAGCAGCTCTTCCGCGCCATCCACTTCAACACCGTGATGCAGGCACGTCGTGTTTTGTCTTCACTCGCCGTCAAGATTGTGCTTTTATGTCTGATTCTTTTATTGTGTGCATGCGTTGATGTTCAATATTTCCGAATTCGATGCCAAATTCGAACAACACAACATTCAGTCCTTAATTTTGAACTTCGTGAGTTGGTATATTCTTTTTGTTTCATTTAAAAGCTGCCCATTTTATACTCTTTTCATACTGTTTTTTTTTTCTTCTTCTTAATTTCGTTACTGATGATCCAACGGGCATTTGTCTGAACTGGCTCTTTGCTGAGCCAGCGATGACGCTAAAACACCGGCTACCACAAAGATAGCACGCATTATGGGTTTGCATGGCCTGTCCTCTCCGGAGGGCTGGCGGGCAGAGTGACTGGGCGTCTTGCCTTGGTCCAATGCTGCCCGTCTCGTTTGCCGTGCGAGCTCGCGTGCGCCCCTTCTGAAACCCTTCTCCTTCTCCTTCTCCTTCTCCTTCTTGTTCTCGTTCTGTGACGTTGTTCATTGTCATCGTTCTCGTCGTTGCTCACTCTCCTCTCCTTTGATCTCCAATAGAACAAAAGCAGTCAAAAACACATGGTCGACCGCGTGGTTTGACTTTTTTTCTTTTTTTCTTTCGTCTTTCTTTGATTTCCAAGATTCCCATCCCAGACGACGAGATCCAAATCCAGATCCAGACTGCTGTCCGCGTCATGTCATCATGGAGGCGTGAGGGCAATGGTTGGATTCCGACGAAGCTCGCTTTCGTGGATTCCATCCGATCCAGCTGCTCGATGCACTGCCCCACACGTCTGATGTAGTCGGAAAGCTGAGCTTCTTGCTGCTTACGGCACAAAAGTCGACTTCCTAGCGGGGGGAGGGGGAGGGGGCTGGCGGGCGTTCAAGGAGGCTTTAAACGGTAAGTTGCCGCTTTGTACAAGCCAAAAGATCATCCAGTGCATGATCTCTGCAATGACAATGGCAGCGTTGCGTTCCGTCTCCAGAGTTGTCGAGTACACGGTAGTATTTCGAACAGTGCTGGCCTGGCTTGATTGGCAGATTGGCAGCAATTCTCCAGTACTTGGTTCTGATCCAAATACACTCGCTTATTGTCATTCATCCCTTGATTCAATACCATTGTAATTTCAAGTCATGCACACTCCTCTTCCTTTCTTCATACTACAGTACTGTCAACGTTGACATCACTTTGTTGGTTTTGGAAAGCAAAATGGCTGCAGCGTCACCACGCGAGACGACCTTCAAGCTGCTGCTTGTCGGCGAATCCAACACTGGCAAATCGAGCTTGATAATGCGCTTCACTGACAATGTGTTTGACGAGGACTTGAGTGCCACCATCGGTAGGTCTCCAGCCGGTTGTGCTTCGGAGCGTCATCAGTTCAAAGCTGCAATGGGGTTTCTCCCCCCCCCCCCGTCATCCAGTTGGACACTCCCCCGCTCCTTCAATAGCATAGCGTCTGTGTCATTGCAGTGAAGTGCTTCTTGGTCTTCCGTGGAAGGCCAGAGTGAAGTTTGAGAGAGAGTCGATCAGCTCGTCCTCTACGCTGCATCACTTCACTCTTACAGCACTATCACCGCACCCTATCACAGTCCTCGCTTATACTTGAACCGAATGTTCATTCACTCGACGGCGCCCCTGCTGGCAAACAACCGCGGACTTGCGCTTTGTTCCACTGTTTTCCACCAACTACTCGCTCATACGCGTCCCCGCTTTGTCGTTTGCTCATAGGCGTCGATTTCAAGGTCAAGCAAATGTTTCTCAATGACACCACCATCAAGCTAACCATCTGGGTATGGTCTCGTTTTTGTTATCACGAAAGCGAAACATTTGTTTGTTCGATTCACAACTCACACTCTTTGTACAATGTTCATGCTGTGATCAGGATACGGCTGGACAAGAGCGGTTCCGCACTCTGACAAGCAGCTTCTATCGCGGTGCTCACGGTGTTATTTTCGGTGCGTGCATGTTATCTCAACGCAGTCAAATGCAACGAATGATTTTTTTTTTGGGCGTTTTTTTTTTTCCCGTTCGCTCACACTGCTCCTATCTTGATCTTTCCCGTTCCTTGGAGCAGTCTACGACGTAACCCGCCGCGAAACATTTGACACGGCGCTGGATACATGGCTCACAGAGGTCGACACGTACGCGACAAACGATGTCGTGAAAATGCTCATTGGCAACAAGATTGATCAGGTATCGCACCGACTTCTTCACTCTGCTGTGCCACTCGTTGTGGAATTTGATTTCTCACCCACCACCCTTCCCCTCCCCAACACCCATCTTCAGACCGAGGAGCGTCAAGTGTCGCGCGCAGAGGGACTGGCGTTTGCTCAGCGACATTCAATGCTCTTTATCGAATGCAGCGCCCGAACGCGTGTCGGTGTCGAGCAGGCATTTGAGGAGCTGGTCCAGAAGATGTACGACACACCTGCATTGTGGCGCACCGGCCCAACAAACAATGTGCAGCTGGGAGGCGCAGAAGAAGCTCCCGCCCTGGACCAAGGCTGCGGTTATTGCTAGAAGTTTTCCACGATTTTCAAATTGCATGGTCTTCTGTTTTGTATTATTACAAGTGCTTGGATATTGTTTCCGACGGCCGTACACGTTCCCCAAGACAAATTCCAATTCAGACAAGCCAAAAACAACCATTTTTTTACATTCAACATTTCAACACCTTTATTGGCACCAGCTCACTGAACGTAACCATGCAAACGCGCAGCCAACATAGTGCACATTTCACTCAATGTTTGCAACTGAAGGCGAAGCATCTGTTGGAGGCGAATGACCTGATACCGACAAAACAAAAAGTGACAACCAAAAACAACAACAACAAAAAAAAAATCCCACACAGGCTATCAGCTCCACACTCCAAACACCACAGCCCCCTCGCGAACGGTACACACACGAGCTTAAAGCGTAAGCTCGGTGCCACCGCCAATTCGACCACGGAAGTTCTTGGATATCAACTCTGGTTGGTGCTCGAGGTAGGCGTCAATCAACTTGTCGGCATTTCGCCCCGAAAGCATGCCGTACCAGTCTCCTGGCGGATAGACGACAACGACGCCCGCATACTTGTGGCCGCCGAGATGCGAGCTGCCGCGCACAGCGATCGTGTCGTCGCCAATGGATCGCTCGGCCATCAGCTCGGCCAGCTTGTCCATCACCTGGGGACCAGAGCGTCCGCATCGTGCGTCGCGCGTGCCGTGTGTGCAAACCAGCACGAGATAGCGCTTGTCCACGGGTTCGTGGGGAATGTTCTGCGCAACCACACCGCGAACCACCTGGTACTCGACAAATTCGGGAATCTGCTCAATCGTGACTCCAAGGTACCGTATCCCTTCCGGATAGACAATGACATCCGTGCCAAAGTCGCCCTTTGTGAGCTCGCTGCACGCAGTGACGAGCGGCACGCTCTGGCGGCCCTCCGACGATGCATCGGCAGTGACGTTCGCGGTGGTGCTTGTTGTCGTCGATGATGCGGTGGAGATGGTGGACGTCGACTGGGTCACGTCATCCGCCTGAGCAGACTTGGTCGATGCACTAGCATTCAATGGCAAGCCGACTGCGTCACCATCGCTGCCTGGTGCTGATTGAGGTGGTGCTGGTGCCGCTGCGATTGCGCCGCTTTGCTTTGCTGCTGACACGTCTGCCGACGAGCTCGACTTGGACGCGGCTGCCTCGCCTGCGCCGGCCTTGGCCTGCTTCTTCTCTTGCTTGGCGAGCTTCTTGGCGGCCTCGCGCGCGAGCTCGACCAGGCCCGGTTTGGCCAAGTCGTCCGAGCGCTTGGAAATCTCCGCGTCGAGCGCCTGAGCAAAGCTGCCGCTCTGCTTGTGGATCTTGGAGACCCAGTCGAGCTGGCCGTCGCACAGAATGATGTGGCGATGGTAGGTCTTGATCGACGAGAGCAGCTTTGGGTTGTACTCGAGCTCGGGCTTTGGCTCGACGCAGCCGCCTTCCGCCGCAGTCTTGCCGCACTCGCACGTCTCCTCGACCGGCGGGCGCGGCGACTGCTCTTCTGAGGACAGTGTGCCACCCATGCCAGCGTCAAAATGACAACGAGATATGCAGTTCTAAAAAATGAAAGTGAAGAAAAGCCTCCGAGTTAAGTTCCACTAGGATTGAAGTGGATTGCGTGGACGGTTTCAAATTGGAAACTGACTGAGTTTGCGTTTTTTTTTTTGCTCGGAGTGGAAATAATCAAAGTCCAAAAGAATCATGAGCATGAGCAGCACGAGTTGACAATCGCCGATCTGGAGTATGAAAAAGAACGTGTGGATTGCGAAGGGAACAAACTCAAAAAGTAGACTCAAAAGAACAATGCATGCAACGCTCAAAGCAAAACAACAAAACGGATCAGACAACAGCCAGTACGTTAGGAATACTGGGACATAATGATGCCAAACATGTTGGCAGTTTCCTTAGCGATACCCTTCTCAAGAGCTACGATTGAACAAACAACAAACAACAAACGCGCGACCACCGTCAGATCATCACGCAGACACGAATACGTTCTCTTGTACGAGCACAAAACTTACCCTCTACATCCAGGTCGTCGGTGTCCAAGCCCAAGGACTCCATGAAAACGACCAAAGCACCCCAATTTTCACGAAAATCGATCGGGAAGGAGGGACTCCTGTTATACTTTGGTGCTGCCATGCCCGAAGCGTTCTAAACAGGAAACAAAAAACCCCAAACAGAGCAAAAGGGGTGAGCACAAAAAGAATGTCGAGCGCAGAAAACACACACAAACCACAACAAGAAAGCCGCACCTCTAGAGCCTGCAGCATGACAACGCCGTTTGCAATGGTAGAGTAGAGGTTTGAAATCGGAGCAGCGCTTGGGCAGTGCTTGATGAGCCAGTTGATGTAGCGTTGTTGCTATCAGGCACCCCCCAAATACAAACAAATCAGCAAAAGAACGCCATGAGTGAACAGGTGCACTTTTGTGCAAAAAAATCGCACAATCCTCAAAAGCATCAAAAACCAATTCTTTACCGCTTGTGCAGCATCATTGCCACCACCAGCAGTCTTGTAGCGGGCTGCGGCGGCGCGATTGGGCGGAGGAGACTGCGGGGGAGAGGTGGGAGGCGAGGTGGCGGGTTGGGTCTGCGGCTGCGCAGCCGTCGCACCGCCCTTGTTCATTCCGCCCATGATTGCAGAGGCAAGAGCTGCATTCTGAGCACTCGCTGCACCATGCCGAGCACGACTGGGCGGCGACGTTGGTGCCGGAGGAGTCGGTTTGGCAGCCTTCGGCGGCAGCGTTGGCGGAGCATCCTCGGCAGCGGCAGGAGGACGCGGGCCAACGGTATCATAAATGCTCGCGGCTTCTGGCGAAGGGAGCATGGGCTTGCGCGCTCCAGGTTTGGGAGGGAGGATTGGCGGCGGGGCTTCCGCATTGGCCGGCCTTGGCAGCACAGAGTACATGTTGCTTTCGTCGTCTTGTGGCGCAGTGTTTTTCAGAGGTCTGGCAGGCAACTCGGGAGTATCTGAATGGTCCGTCGCAGGCTTGGGAGCACTCATGCCGGACATTCCGGGCAACGCAAACTTGGGCACAGCCTTTGGCTTGGGTGGAGCCGCTTCGCTCGAGAACGCGTTCGCGCCGCTGGGGCCGAGGCCAGCAGGAAGCGAGTGATCATAGTCGCTCGAACCGAGAGCTAGGTTGGAATCCAGCGAGTTTTTGCGCTTGACGGCAACGTCCGAGTCAAGACCAACAGTCCTCAACTCGTCCATGGATCCGAGGCGGCTGGAGCTGATGCTTCCAGCGCTTGCCGGTGCTACAGGAGCCGGCTTTTTCGCAGGGCCAAGCATGGCGAGCATATCGGCTGGCAGAGCGTTCGACTCGGAGGACTAAGAGGGCAAAACCTCGCCAAGTGAGAAAACGAATGTTTCCACCAGTTCTCCCCGTCGTCTCTTATGCTACATACCGTCGCCAGATTCAGAGATGAAAAGTTTGCTTGGATGGCGTCATCAAACTGCGGCAGAGGAGAGCGGAGGAGCAGTCAGACGAAGGCAGTCACGAAAATTCTAACCCCCCCCAAAAAAAAACAGGCTACCATGACCTTACCCGAGCAACGCGAATGGCTGCCATCCACAGATTGAAGCTCTCTTCAGTGTCAAAGCAAATGCTCTTCACGTCATCGAGCGACCGGTACTCTCCAGCAGGCCTCAAGCACAGACAATAGTCCGTCGGTGCTTTCAAGAACTTGCGGTGGTTGTTGCCCACGCACAGCTCGTGATCGACAAATGACACAAAGCTCGTCAAATCGCGCGAAGTCTGCAAGAGGAAATGAGGAAGAGGTGAACAAAAAAAGGAACAAAAGCGTCATGAGAACACAGACTGTACCAGCACATTCGATGTTCTATTCACCCCCAATCTTACCTTGGAGTCGCTCTTGCGAACGTAAATGCCAGAAAGGCGAAGCACCACAGACTTTTTCTTCCAGCCTTGAAACTGGTCCTTGAGTTTGCCCAGATTGAGGCTTTTGGCGGAAATGGCCGACGAGCTTTTGCGAACGTTCAAAATGGCCTCTAGTTCAATGACAGGTGGTGCCCAGCTCTATCACCACCGTCAAGCACAAATGATTCCGACAAGGATGGACAATGTAAGTTCACAGCATTGCACAAGCATCCATCATCCAGCCGCTCGGAGCAAAAAAAACAAAAAACCAAACTCACCGTCATCGGCGAAATAATGCGATACTTGTCAGGAATGTTGCGCAAGACCCAAATGTTGTCCGACTCTCGTCCCCACTTCTGTTGCACTTCAATGACCTTCTCGTGGTCTTCCAGCATTCGATCCAAGTGCAGCTTGGGGGTGTTTTCGACAAGGCTCCAAGTAGCGCTCTCCTCGAGTCGGTTCTTTTGGACAATAATCTGACACACTTGCCGAGCAGTCATGGTCGAATCGACGGCCACAGTCTTTGCGTTGCCACCGTCCATGTAGACTTTGATAACGAGCTGCGCGCGTTCAAGCGACAATCAGAGTGAATGGTCATGGTAGAAGCACACCGCAAGACCAATTCCACAAGAGACCAAGACGAATGATTGCGTCGTTGCACTCATGCAAGCAACACCAAACAAAATGCACACTCGTGCCTACCTTGACAATGCTGGCCTCAGCCATCTTTTGCATGGCAATCTTGATCTTTTCTTCCTTTCGCACCCGTGCCTCCTCCGCGGTCAGTTCCATCGTGGCTCGGCGTCGCCACGCAGCATCAGGAGACATGTCGACTGGAGAGGCGACGGCTAGCTTGCTGGCCACACTTCCGGATTGCGCTGCGGCAGCTGCTGGCTTGGAAGGCGTGTAGCCAATGTCGAGGTCTTCCAGCAGAGCGTCGAGGTCGTTGTCAGTCGTGTCTTCCAAAATAGACGCCGCCTGCGTCTTTGCAATCCGCACGTTCTCAGGGTCGGTGGGCAACGCAAACGACGAGGCAAATGTGGAAACCGGCCTCGCGGGACCGAGCCCAAACATGGTATCCAAATTATCCAGGTCGGTTGTGAAGGCAGAGTTTGATTCGTCTTCATCCGCCAAGGGCGACTGGACAACGGGAATAGCTTTGGGGGGAATGGACGGGGCGCTGCTGATCTTGAACTCCACGTCCTATCACAACCACAACCACAAAACCAAGCACAGTTAAAAATAAAAAAAAATAAAAAAAAACGAGCAAAACACGAACGAGCAATCGGGTGAATCAAGTGGCGAACGTACCGATTGAAGTGCGTCAAGATCCTCAAGCATGTTTCCAAGCATGTCGTCAAGCATGCCGAATCCAACGGATTGCCGCACAGCTGGCGCTTTTGGAGCCGAAATAGCTTTTGGGGCAGGAGCTTGCTCTACAGCAGGCTTAGGAGTGGGCTTGGCGGCAGCAGGAACGGCTGCTGCGGCTTGGGGACGGGGACCCAGGGCTGGTGCGGCACCGGGCTTTGGACCGAGTGCGGGCGCAGGCGAGGTCTCAGCCTTGGCGGCAAATGCACCAGTCAGCAGATCGTCAACGTCAATGGACGGCATGTACGATGGCGGCTGCGGGGGAGGCCTTGCCACGGGTGCAGGGGTGAAATCGTCGTCTTCATCATCGCTTGGCGTGAAAGTGGCGCCTGCCAATAGCTCGTCCAGCGTGGGCAATGCCGTAGCTCCTTTGGGCGAAAGAGCAGGTTCCGGGCTCGGAATGTCGGGCTTGGGAACCGCAACCTCGACAACGGGCGCGGCCTGCACTTTTGGTTTCGCTTCTGCAGCCGACTTTGGCATGGGCGGAGGCGCCGTTCCAAAGATTTTGGCCGCATTGATTTTGCCAGGCGCTGCAGCAGGAGCAGGGGCCGGGGAGACAGCAGCAGTAGAAGCAGCAGCAGCCGGAGATTCTTGTGCCACCTGCTTTGGAGCAGGCGCAGCCGCAGTCTCGGGCTTTGGAGCTCCTGGGGTTGGCTTCAGTGGCTTTGGCGTTAGCGCTGGGGCTGCGGCAGAATCGGTCGGCGGCGATGTTGGTTTGGCAACGGGTGTTGGTTTCAATGCGCCGAATGGTTTCGGGGTGGCAGCAGGAGTAGCAGCAGCAGCAGCAGCAGCAGCAGCGCTGGGCTTGGGCTTGATTGGAATGGCAGCTTCAGATGCCGTTGTTGCAGCTGCAGCGGGCTTCGGTTTGATCGGAATGCCGGGTTCGGTGGCTGGCTTTGGCGCACCAGGTTTCGGGGCGGCAGCTGGCTTCGGGGCGACAGCACCCGCTGGCTTGGGAGCCACGGGTTTCGGTGTCGAGGCGTCGCCGGTTGTGTCGGGGGTTGAGGGCGATTCAGCGCTGGACGGCGGCGAAGTCGGCGGTTTCTTGGTTGCGACTGTGGGTTTTGGTGCAGCCGCAGCGCCTGGTGCTGGCTTGGGCGCGACGGGTTTGGGTGCTGCAGCAACAGCAGCCGCCTCTGGTTTGGGTGTCGCTGCTTCTGGTTTGGGAGGGGCAGGAGCAGGAGCAGGAGCAGGAGCAGGAGCAGGAGCAGGAGCAGGAGCAGAGGCAGGAGCAGGAGCAGGGGCAGCGGGCATTGTTGCGTCGCCGCCAGTCGCCGCATTCTGGAGGGAGAGCAGCAGCTTCTTCTTGTGGCCGGGCAGGGTGATGCCAATGTCGTCGAGGTCCTCCGGGCTCATGCTACTGAGGAAGGACATGTCGTCGTAGCCATTATCCACGAAATTGGACAGGTACTTTTCGAGCTTGAGGCCCTTCAGCCACTCCTCGACTGCAGACGCCATTTGGACGACGGACGGACGGGGCGACGGAGAATGTTGACCGCTGCTACGAACAAAAGGGGAGTAAGCAAAGAAAAATAACACAAGGAAACAGTGAGCTTGCTGTTGGTGATCAGTGCTGGTTGAATGAATGAATGAAAAAAAAAAAAAAAAAAAAAAAAGACAAGAATTATAAAAATAAAAAAGGCGATGAAACGTTGTTGCGCCCTGTTGCTGGAGTGCGCAGCTGATCACGAGCACGCAGCGTGTGAAATCGCAGTGACTGGTCACACGCTCAGCTGACGGCTGTAGGGGAAGGGAAGGGAAGGGAAGGCGAAATTGCGCGGTTTGATGAAGCGATGGGTTTCGCCTTCCAAATCCGCCAATTTTTTTTTTTTTTTTTTTTTTTTTTAGCTGCTGCCTTCAACGCGGACAGTTAGCGCGGCGAAGAGCGTTGCAGGCGCATTCAAGTAGGAAGTGCAAGCGATGGCTGTCTCTCGTGAAATGGAGGCAAGTCGGGGGGAACAAGCTCAGAAGGGCGATGACAGTGGATTGACTACAGTGAGCATTGTGGCACACTGTAAGCAGCTGCTTCACTCTTGCCCACGCAGCGTCTGCGCAGGTCTCATTCACAAGTTCGGGGGTGGGCAATGATAAAGGCGTAGAACCACAATAAGGAGCAACCAGATGGACGAAGCAAGCGACGCAAAATCGCAGCAAGATGAAAACTCGCTGTTTCCAACCATCATACTTTGGGGGAAAGATGGACTGACTGATGGCTTGACTCAAAGGGGGTCAGGCAGTTCAGTCAAACAGTGGCTTCAGTGGTAAGCCATCAACCCGAGGCACTGACGCTGAACACGCGTGGAGATCGCGAACAAAATAATACAAAATCAAAATAAAACAAAAAACAAACAAACAAACAAACATAAAAAAAAAAAAACAAACATAAAAACATAAAAATTGTCACGAAAAAAAAAAAAAAAAAAAAAAAAGCTCCGCTGCAACAAACAAACATTGCAAAAACGATCACAGCAAACAAGAACAGGAAAATACGTTGATAGCAACTCTAGACAAGAAGAAGAGAAAGCACAAAAGCAGCTAGTTCAGAAGGCGGCGAACTTCAAGATGAACAATCACCTCGAGAAGATTGTTGCCGGCCTTCTGATCGACCTGCGTGTGTGCGTTGGCGTTGCTCAGCACCATCGAGAACGGCGTGTCAAAGTCGACAGAGCGACTGGCAACGCTCGTGTTGGAGCGCAGCGTGAATTTGTCGTCCGACTCGTGATCGAGCAGCATGACACCGGATTGCAGGTCGATTGGCTTTGCGCCTCGCAAGTACTGGCCCACAACAGAGCGCACACCTTGCACGCCCTTTGAAACATAGGTGCCGACGTCTTCGGCATGCTCGGGCGCAACAAAACCAGTGCCGAACGCGCTGGCTTTCTGCAACAAGCCATCCATGTACAGCAAGTGCTTGCGTTTCAGCACGGTGGCGCTCGCATTGAACGGCAGACCCTCGCCCCAGGGGCCAAGGTACAGCACCTTGTTGTCAATGCCAAACACGTCGCCCGCGCGGGCTTTGCCGTTCAGCAGCGGCGCTTCGAAGTCATACGTGCTGCTCAGCTTGCCTGCGCCGAACGTCACATCAAACGCTGCAAGCGTGGGTGTCGGAGGTGGGGGAGGGGAGGGGGAGAGAGAGAGAGACGCACAAAACAAACAAACAAACAATCACAACAGTCAGTGCCCTTGCTCTTGCAATCTACTCATCAGTCTCCACGAATTCACGTACAAAGGATTTGGTTTTGCTTGTTCGCCAAGGGCTTGCGCAGTCCGGGCAGGTTGAGCTGGATGGCCGAGAGAACAATCGCAACGGTGAAGGGCGGTCGGGAGCTGCGAGGGAGCCTTTCGAGCTTGAGGGTGACTTGGATGTCAAAGTCAGCGTCGGGCGAGAAGAGATCCTTCGAAGCCAAGTCTTCTGACGACATGCTCTTTTGCAACTTTGGGGTCACGGCCTTGGGCGACTGGACCATGGTCGAGAAGCGACTCACATGGTGGTCTCCTTCGTGCACCAGAATGCCCGAGCTGTCAAACTCACCCAAAGCACCGTCGAATCTGATTGTGCGACGTGTCAAGAGCGGCGGAGAACGAGTGAGCGACAAGCAAACAAACACTGCCAATGAACATGAAAATCGAGCCACCAAGCAAGCGGCCAAATTTACCGGAGCTCCAGATCATCCAGGACAAGACCGGCAAGATTCTCTGCCAGCGCCGTCGCTACGTCAAAGCCGCGCGAGATCTGGGAGCCGACACCTGGCACGATGCTGCCGACTGCACCCAAGCCCTGAAACATGGTTTTGCTGGCCTCGAGCGCCTTTTGCGCAATTTCCGAGTCAGTCTCCATCACAATGACCTGCCATTGCAAATCAAGTGAGTGCACACTTAATGGCAAAGAAGCTGGCCATGACACGAAGCAGCAGCAACAGCAACAACCACCAGAAAACCGCATCCAAACAAAAAGCAAAAAGTCCCCGCCTACAAAACTCTGCTTACTTTGGTTGGCAAGGGGTTGTTCTTGCCCAGACGACCAAAGTACAATATTTGGGGGTGGCGGAACACTTCAGAGTCTTGCTTGATGAACTTGCGCCAGCCAATGGTCTGCTCCTGGCCGTTGATGGACGTGACAATGACACCGCTGCGTCGACCAGGCACTCGGACGACCGAGGTCGAGTACAGGCGGTTGAGCTTGACGCTGGTCAGCGACACAATCACAATGTCGTTCATGTCAATGGCCGGGCGCGACAGCGGACGATGGATGCGCACGTAGGCGTCGTTGACAATCGAGTCTGTCGTTGCGCCCTTGAGCAGAGACGACGACGAGCGCCGCGCAGCCTTTTCGTTTGTGATGATTGCTTGGCTTCCGGTTGGGGATAACGACATGGTTGTTTTGTTTTTTTGAGGTCAAAGGTTTGTTTCTCGAGCTGGGATTGACGATGCTTTGGCGGTTTGCGACGGGAACAATCTGTGCAATGGAATTGTGCGAGAAAGCAAGAAATGATCAAGCAGTGAGAGGTGGAGGGTGATTTGTGATTTATTATAGGAGTTGAGACATGAGTATCCGACGGCTCGCGCGCAAGTCAGATTCTCAGACATTTACTAGTTTTCGATGTGTGCGATGAAGCGTTCGTCTGATGGCTGCGGCGTTTTTTGTGCATCGCAAAGACAACGACATCCGTGACTCGTTTACAAGGCTCAGCCAACCCTCAGCGCCCAAACCATCCGTTCGTTCAGCCAAAAGCTAAAAGAACGAACGAATTTTAAAATTTAAACATAAAAAAAATTCAACTTGAAGAAAATCCCGCCGAACCGACTTTGTTGTTCGCACTCACGACGCTGCACACTCACAGCCACACTCAGTCGCACTGCGCCACAGTGGCAGCAACAGCGAGATAGAAAGAGAGAGAGAGAGAGAGAGATAGAAAGAGCGAGCGAGAGAGAGAGAACGAGCGGCGATTGGGGTTTTAGCGGTGGTTTTGTTTGGTTTTGGTTTTGGTTTTGGGTCAAAACGAACCCAACGGAACGACGACGACGACGACGACGACGACGACGACGACGCAAGCAAGCAAAGAGCAACCCGCAGAAGTGGGAGTGACAATGCCAGAGACTGAGAGACTGAGAGAGGCTGAGAGAGAGAGAAAGAGAGCAGGAAAGTGGAACGGCGGATTGCTTTTGTTGTGGTTTGTGTTGTTGTTGCTTGTTGTTGTGGGTCGTTCGACCAAACGCAGACCAACAATCACAATCTCAACAGTAATGATGATGATCGACTTACAATTACAACAATGACAAAAGAAAAAAAAATGAGGAGTGAGTGAGTGATGAAAAATCATATTGCGATTGGCAGTCTCACTTTCTGATCACAGTAGACCCCAAACCACACCAAAATGGTCGGACTGGCGCGATGGTGGCCGCCGACAGCAATGACAGCAACGACAGCAACGACAGGCACGTTTAACGCAGCCCACTGCGACATGCTGGCATTCCATCCGACGCTGCACGACGCGCGTGCTTGGCTGCCCGGGCGGTGTCGGCTGTCGTCGCGCGCGATTGCTCAGCTGTGGTCATCAGCTGCGGCTGCGACGGAGCATCAGCAACTCGGCTCGCTGCCAGACAGCCCTGTCGTCGCTGAACCAGCTACCGCCGATGCCGTCGGCGAGGCGACCCAGGACGCCAGAGCAGGCCAGCAGCCAGTCATCAAGCATGGCGATCCAGTCCTCGTGGTGCTGCTGCGCAACCCCGACAGCGGTGCTTCTCGCCTGCAGCTCGTGCTGAGCTGTCTCGCACAGCCATTCGCTGGAACCAAGCAGCCGGCCGAGTCCGTGCAAGACGACGCCGGGCAGCAGCCGCTCGACTTTTGCGCAGATCCGACCGTCACCATGTTCTGGCCTGCTGAACCGCCCATCGTCGGAACGACTGATGATGAGATGCAAACCAATGAGAGCAGCCGCATCTCGACAATCCCGTTGATCGATGACATTCTCGCGGGGGCAGGATGCCAAGCGCAAGTCCGGACGTTCGGGCGCATTCATCCCTCAGAGTGCAGCGCCATTGAGTGCACAGTGTTTGTGCTTCCGTCGCTGATTCCGAGTCTTGCAACGCTGCCCCTCGCGCAAAGAGATCTCTTGCTCAATTATGCACGTGTTTTTGTTCGGCGATTGGGAATACCATTGGCGCCTGGCTGCGTGTTGCGACCCAACGTTGGGCAGCAACTTGTCGATCGCGGGGCGGCTCCAGCCAACTCAATTCCGGAACTGCTATTGACCCCTGAAGTCGCCATTGACTTTATCCGTGTCGACAGGATGCAATCCTTTGGGCAGAGCGCAGCGTCCGACTCTCTGACACCGATGGCTGCGGTTTTCCAGTTTGTGTCGAACGCCACACACGTCTCTGTCAACATTTCTGCACGAGTGTATGATGGTAACGCAAACTACTGCTGTCTTTTTTTTGCTTTTGCCCTCTTTTGTGAATTGGATGGGGGGGGGGAAAGTCCATTTTTTGCCTCACTTTGTCTCACTGTTAACGACGTCTTTTTTTTTTTTTTTCAGCAGGTGTCACCATACATCCCCAGACCTCGCTTCCCCTGCCGCCAGAACCGATGGCCACAGGCGGCCTAGCAGCTGCGAGGCGGGCGTTGCGGGAGATGATTCTCATGCCGTTTCGGCACAGAAGCGCGTTCATGGAGGTCGGCGTGGAAGCACCAAAAGGCATTCTGCTGCATGGCGTGCCTGGGTGCGGCAAAACGACCCTCGTGCAGCAGGTTGCAGCCGAGTGTGAAGCGCACTTGTCTGTGATTCGTGGACCTGAGCTCTTTGGCCCGTACATTGGTGAGACCGAAGAGCTTCTGCGCGCTGCGTTCGCCAATGCCCAGCGGGATGCCGCAGCCGCCGGAAAGCCATGCATTGTCTTTATTGACGAAATTGACGTCTTGTGCCCAAAGCGAGGCGAGACGTCCCAGCACGAGAATCGCATCGTGGCCCAACTGCTCACCTTGATGGATGGCATGACCTCGCGAGGCAGCACGATCGTTGTCGGTGCAACCAACCGTCCGCACTCGATCGACCCCGCGCTTCGACGACCAGGCCGATTCGACCGCGAGATTCGCGTTGATGTACCCGATCAACTCGAGCGGCTCGGCCAGTTGCAACAGCGATGCGCCGACCTGCCACTTTTGTTGCTGCCTGCTCTGGACGCGGTCGAGCTCGAAACAATTGCCGCGATGACGAACGGCTTTGTCGGCGCGGATATTGCGCATTTGGTGCGCGAGACATCGCTTCTTGCCATGCAGCGACTGTCATTGCACGACAGTTTGCTGGAACCATCGTCAGACAGCTCCAGCAGCGCCGCTCGGAAGGAGCATGCCAGTGCGGTCGAGGCGCTCAAGCTGCGACAGAGCGACTTTGTCGCTGCGCTGTCTCACGTGGTGCCATCCACCCAGCGAGGACACAAACGCCAGCTGCTCCCGACGCGATGGGAGGATATCGGCGGAATGGCCTCCGTTAAAACGGCATTGCAGCAGTGCATTGCGTGGCCACTCTTGCACGCGGAATCGTTTGCGCGAATGGGCTTGCAACCCGCGCGAGGCATTCTGCTCTACGGGCCGCCGGGCTGCTCGAAAACCACCCTTGTGCGCGCAGCGGCCAACACGAGCAACATTACGTTCTTGTCTAAAAGTGGGGCGGAAATCTACTCGCCTTTTGTCGGCGAGTCCGAGCGTAGCATTCGAGAACTCTTTCTTCTAGCGCGTCGCGGTGCGCCGTCGGTCATATTTCTGGACGAAATCGATGCGATGGTGGGCAAGCGTCGCGACGACGGCGCGGCTGGCGGCTCGCGCGATGTTGTGGCAGAACGTGTGCTTTCCACACTCTTGAACGAGATGGACGGCATCGATGCTGCGAAAAATGTGGTCGTTGTGGCGGCCACAAACCGGCCCGACATGCTCGATGCTGCCCTCATACGACCAGGGCGGTTTGATCGCGCTGTTTACGTCGGTCCGCCAGACGAAGACGCGCGAATTGCCATCTTTGAAGTGCACGCGACCAAAAAGCTTCCTGTCGATGAAACAGTTGTCCTGGCGGACCTCGCAGCGAAATCCGTGGGCTGCACTGGCGCCGACATTGAGGGAATTTGCCGTGAAGCCGCGTTTTCCGCATTGCGGCGATGGCAGCGCACGCAGTCCCCCAGTGCTGCATCAGCCGCTATGCCAGCCCACGTTCCATCCATTGAGCAGCTTTGCGTCACCAGTGCAGATTTTGAAGCGGCGTTCGCTGCTTGCCGGCCTTCGCTATCTGCTGCGCAGCTCAAGGAGTTTGAGCTTTTGCACAAGGAGTGGGGCACTGGTGCAAAGAGTTAGTCGATCCTTTTGATTATTTTGAAACTCAAAATGCTGTACATTAAAAACTAAGGGTTTGAAAAAAAACCCACACAATCTGTATTCGTGAAAGTCTTCGTCTGCACCATGATGGATGTGGCAGCAGAATCAACCTGGTTGATCTTCACGCGCTGACTGAAGGTGAGGAGAGGGTATCAGATGCATCGCAGACGTGATAGGAAGATTGAAAAGGACGCTCGGAAAATTGCTGGGGAAAAAAAAAAAAAGAGGTGGATTGCCCATGCTTCTTTTCTGGCAACGGAAGTGCATCAATAAAAGATAGTCAGCTTCGTTGCTGCTGTCGTCGTCGTCCTCGGCGTCTTCGTCGTCGACGTCGTTTTCGTCCTCGGAGGAGGAGATTGAGGAGGAAGAGTCTGGCGCCCAACGATCTTTCTCAGAAACGCAGGACTTGCGGACCTAACAACGCGGTCGCAAGCCCAGAAGCGTCACGCAAAAGCTCGGCGTACTGACGCACAGGCCCAGATTCGTTTTCCGAAGCGCTGTCGGCTCGCGACACGACCGCCGGATCTTGCACTGCGACGAGTCGTGCGAGCATGGATTGAACTTCGTCGACTCGCGGATGTGCTGGCATCCGAGCCGCAAAAAGTCTGCAAACGAAAAGCGATGTTCAATCAAACAAGATCAAGATCATGGTTTCGTTTAGCATGGAGCACTTTGAGCACTTTGAGCGCTTTGAGCAATCCAAACACGGAGAAACAGATTACTGACTCGAGGATGCCTCGAAGCTCGCCCCAGTGCCGTCCCGCGGTCGCTCCTGCGCCAAAGCCAAGGTCAAAGCCTTCCTGGCGCGCACGCTCAGTGGCTGCTTGTATGGCCTCACGGTAGCCCGTCTGCAAAAGTTCCACTCACAATGGTCAGACACGCGTCCGTCCGTCTCTCAAGCTCTCTCTCTCTCTCTCGTTCTCCCTCGCTTATCATGAGTGCTGCTCTCCGCCACAGCGTCACTGCTTCACTCTCCGTTGTTTTGTGCTATATCGGCAGCTGAACTCACATTGTGGTGGATGCTCTCGAACGCTCGACGCTCGTGCTTGACCATGTGGCTGTCATCATCCACGTCCTCCGCCCAGTCGTCGTCATCATCGTCATCATGATGCACCTCACCGGACATGTGCTTTGCAACAGCCACGCTCTTCTCGTCCAGATCTGCGCAGGATGACAATCCGCCACAATCCGCGTCCTTCCCACCACAGCAACTCATATTTGGAATCACAATAATCAAACAAGACTGACAGCAACTTCTGAGCAAAATCAAATATTCTGAGATGTTCCGCATGACAATGACAGACACAAATGTACAATGCGTTCGAACAACCAGACAAGCAAGAGGTTTGCGGCAAACAACAAAGTCGACATCACTCTCGGACTACGTCGATCTTCGTGTCAGTAGTCGGCGAGGAGGCGAGCGGCACACTAGCACTGAATGCAGACACAATAAGCCGAGGCAGCTTCCGACAAGCTAACGGCACAAGGCGTGAGAATGTTGTAAGCTTGGATTCGCAGAGCAACGAGAGCCACAGGTCGAATGGGATGTTATTCCATAGAGTGGTAACCCGCGCTGGTAGTAGCGAATGGCTTTCGGGAGCGACGGCGCCGAAGGGCGACAAACAGCGCAGCCAACAACAGGAGAGCAAACACGCCACCAATCACTCCTCCAATAATAGGCCCAGAAGATGCATCACTTGAATCCTTTGGAGCATTGGATGCAGATGCGGCAGATGCGGCAGATGTCTGCCAAACGGATGAGGCACTGGCAGCGGACGCGGACGCCTCAGTGGCCATTGACGCTGAGGACGCAGCATCGAGGGAAGCAACGGATGCCGAGACAGCGGACACAAGAGACGCAGCCGAAGCAGAAGCAATCGAAGGGAACGGAACGCAGGATCCACTCAGCATGCCGTATCCGTCATAGCACTGAGTGCAGGGATCAGATGAATTGCAGGTCAGACAATTGATCCCGCAACAAGAACTAGACCCAGCAGCAAAGCAGGTAGCACAGGCTGTATCGCACTCTGCAGAACATAGGTCAGTGAAGTGATCACAGGTACAGTCCAGTCAAGGCGGAACTTACGGTACGGTACGGATGCACTGCCGTATGTGCTGGGCGGAGCGACAGTATTCCCGCCAAAGGTAAAGTTGTTGGGGTACAATGGTTTGTAGTAATAAAAATCAGGAGCCGACAAATACAAGTTATTGGGCAAGCCCTGAAACAGACCCGGCGGCAAAGTGGTGAAGGGATTGTTATCCAAAGCCCTGCAAGTGTCGCAAAGTCAGAGGCAAATTGAATACGTGCATTAAGAGTTCTTTGCTTACAAGACTTGCAGTGTAGTCAGCTCTGTGAACGCAGAGGCGGGAATGCTGGTGATCTGGTTGTAGTTCAGCAGACTACATCAACGAGTGAGCCACTTTTTTTGTGTGACGTGTGGTCGTTTTTTTTTTCCTTTTGGCTTACAACATTGTCAGTGCGCTCAGCCCCGTGAATGCGTTTGCGGAAATGCTGGTGATCGTGTTGTTGTACACTTGCCTACAGACAGAATCACAAGAAAAAATCATCGAGCGATGCGCTTGTGATTCTGCATGGCCTCTTTGTTCGCTTACAAGACAGTCAGCGAGGGCAAGCCTGCGAATGAGTTTGCAGCAATAGTGGTGATGAGGTTGTTGTGCAGATACCTGGATATAATGTCACAAAGAGTGAGTCGATTGCGCGTGATTATGCATGTCTTTGCTTGTTTACAAGAGTTTCAGTGCATTCAAGCCTGTGAATGCGTTTGCAGAAATGGCGGTGATCTGGTTGTTGAGCAGACTCCTAAAAGTAGTGTCACAGAAAGTTAGGCGACTGGCGCGTGATTCATGTTTTTGCTTCCTTACAATTGAGTTAACGCGCTCAACCCTGTGAATGTATTTGCAGCCAGGCTGCTCATCTGGTTGAAGTACAGTCGCCTACAGACAGTGTCGAAGAAACGTGAGTGCGTGTGTGTGTGTGTCGCCCTTTGGCTTGTCTTTGCCGACTTACAAGTCTGTCAGCGAGCTCAGGTCTGCGAATGCGTTTGCGGAAATGCTGGTGATCTGATTGTAGGACAAATCCCTACAGATGGAGTTGCTAACGAGTGAGCCGTCTGGGCTTTGATGTTGCGAAATGTTTGGCTTGCTTACAGGTAAGCCAGCTTGGTAAGGCCCGTGAATGCGTTTGCAGAAATGCTGGTGATCCTGTTGCCGTATAGATACCTGGGAAAGTCGCAAAACGAGTGAGCCAGTTGCCTTGATCCTTCAGTTCATTGCTTACTTACAACTTTTGCAGCGAGCGCAGGTCTGCAAATGCGCTTGCAGAAATGCTGGTGATCTGGGTTTGATACAGAAACCTACAGATCGGGTCACCAAAAAAAGTGAGTCGTTTGAGCCATTCTTGGTGGATTTGCTTGCTTGCTTACATTTGTGTCAGCGCACTCAAGCCCGCAAATGCGTTTGCAGAAATGCTGGTGATCGGGGTGTTGTCCAGAGATCTGCGGACGAGTCGCCAAGGAGTGAGTTGCATGTCGGTGGGTTCCTTCGCGTGTGTAGCTTGCTTACAATTGTGTCAGCTTGGTAAGGTCTGTGAATGCCGAGGCGGACATGCTGGTGATCGGGTTGCTTCCCAGAGATCTTCACATCGAGCCAGTCGCAGACGAGTGAGCCACTTGTGCATGATTCTTCCTGTTGTGGCTTTGCTTACAAGAGCGTCAGCGCGCTCAGGCCTGTGAATGCGGTTGCAGGAATGCTGGTGATTTGGTTGACGTCCAGAGTTCTGCGGACGAGTCGCAGCCAACAACGAGTGAGTTGCTTGAATGCGATTCCTCGCGTCGTTTCTTGCTTACAAGATCGTCAGCCGAGTCAGGCTTGCGAATGCGTTTGCAGGAATGCTGGTGATATTGTTGGTGTACAGAAGCCTAGCGAGAGAGTCGCCAATGAGGAGAGCGACGCTTCCAATCTCTAGAATTTACTGCAGTTGACAACTTACAGCTGCGTCGTGGCGGTTGGGATTCCGCCTGGAATAGCTGTGAGAGAGTTTCCGTGGCAATCGACAGTAGTTCCTGAGCAACCGCACACCGCGCCAATGCCGCAAGCGTTGGCTGCCTGAGCCAACTGGACGTGATTGGCCACGCAAATTAACAGCAGAACGAGACCAAAGGCAAATCCGTTCGGTTTCATCTTGACAAAATCAATCATAAAGGGCTGTGGATCTGAGACAATTTTGTGTTTTTGACCAAAAGTGAGCTTGCGTCGTTTGGACATCCGCAACATCACAGTGCTGAGATTATGTTCTCTACATGTATGTGTCTGAGTGAGTGAGAGTGTGAGTGAGTGTGAGTGAGTGAGTGAGTGTGAGTTCTAAGTTGTTATTCTTGCACATGATCAGACCGACGCTGCAGCTCAGCGTGCAACCAGTGTGCCCTCCGCCAGCGCGCCCTTCTTTTTGGTCACTTGCACTGCCACACACTGACAGATCGCGCCTGCAAGAGTTCTGGGGAGCAAGCGAGCGGCGACGCATCTGCGCCCGTCGGCACCAAAAACCGCGCAGCCGTTGTTGATTGCGATTTTCCGTTGTTTCTTCGTGTCGCCCCGTCGTTCCTCTGCTTGACTTGATCATCGTAGTGTAGCCGAGATCATCAGAAGATTCGAGGTGAGGCGGGGTCGGAGAGACAGAGAGATCAGCGAACGAGTGCTACGGTTTGTGCATTCGACAGAGGGCCACCCCCGACCTGGTCGTTGCGCTGCTCATCGCCGAACTTTCGCAGTACGGCAGCTGTATTGCTTCAAAGTCAGCGTGAAGATCGAACTGGAATATGCGCTTGGTTTGGCTTTGGTTTGATGCTGCGCTTTTGGCTTGGAATTGTTGTTACCAATTGGCAAGGAAGCACGACTGGTCGGCCAAAACTTCAGAAGCAAAAAATCGGGCTCGTCATCAGCAATAAGTGTTGAAGTGAAAAGCTCGAACTTGCATCTTGAAGAGGGGTTATCATTGATATCGCCATGAACGTCTCAGAATTTGCGCCGTCACTCCTCATTTCGCTCGCTTCTACACTTGTTTTCCCCTTCTCCCCCCCCCTTTTTTTTCTCTTTTGATAAATATTCTGGTTTTGACGTGCTCCTGACTCTTGTTACTTGTCTTGACCCCTGGGCGACAGATGGAGCAGAGTGAGAGTGGCAATCCCACCACAGCCACTGCTCCTGCTGCAGCGGCAGCCCCGACCAGGCCGTCCATCAGCTTCAACAGCAGCACAAACAGCTACGTGCGCAACGTCGATGCTTCCGCTGATGCCGCCGATGCCGATGCCGATGCTGCAGCAGACGATCGTGGCGGTAGTGGTAGTGGTTACTCATCACGAAGCAGGCACAGGCGCAGAGACACTGGCTCGGGCTCTGCTGCTGCCGGCTCAAGATCAGGCCAAGGCGCGGGTGCTGCTGGCTCTGGAGGATTTCGCCGCGATGAGCGTGTCTCATCATCATCGTCGTCGGCGTCGTGGCACGACCGCTCGCGCAATGGCGGTGATGATCGTCGAGACTCGCATCGACGCAAGGACAGCGGCGATCACCACCACTACCATCGCAGTGGGTCGCGCTCCACGCATCACGACAGCAGGTTTGAGAGTGGGAATGGCAGTGCTCGTGGCCATGGCCATAGTGGTAACAGTCATAACAGTGGCAGCAGCGATGCTGCTCATCGCGATCGACACGACGAGCGAGACCGAGACCGAGGCCGCGAACGCGACGAACGCGACGAACGCGGCGAACGCGGCGACGACCACGACCAAAGCAGGACCTTCACCACAGCGAGCAGTGACCCTGCGGCCCACGGTGGCAGCATCAGCAGCGGCAGCAGCGGCGGCGACGGCAGCAGCAACGACATTCTCAGCCAGCAGCAGCAGCAGCAGCAGCAACGGCGCACCACCACGACGACGACGACGACTGCCGGCGCTGATCCTCTGGTGCTGCACGCCGAGCCCAGCACCCAGGATCGAAGCAAAGTCCATGGCGAGCATGCTGCCGAGGCTGCACACGACCGGCTCCAGCCGCACGACTACCACGCGCAGGTTGGCGCAAATCTGCGATCTCTCAACGACAACGACGATCGCGCTGCCGCGACTGCTCTTGGCCCGTATGGCCAACATGGTCCCTATGGCCATCATGGTGCTGATGCTGGAACTGTGTTTGCGACCGGCAGCGTCGACCCCGTCGCAGCTGCATTGGGTGTTGCTAGTATGAGCGCTGGTGCTGCAGGTTTTGGCTTTGTTGCCACCGATGCCTCGAACGACGTGGACGATGCTGTCGTTGCATTGGCAGCCGCGGCAGCCACAAACGACGTGGTGATTCCTCTGTCAGCCGTCATGCAGCACGGACAGGAGAAGCGACGCGAACGCAAGTGGAACGGAACAACAAGTGCGCCACCGCCGCCGCCACACAACCGACACGACGAGGGATTGCATCGCAAGTTCAGAGGTGGAGGTCGCGGTCGCAGCCCAGGGCGTCGACGGAGTCGCAGTCGCAGCCCGAGCCGTAGTCGTAGCCCAAGCCGTAGCCCAAGTCGGCATCATGGCCGCTCGCACAACCGTGATTACCATCGCCGGGGTCGCAGCAAAAGTCCTCGTCGAAGCCGGAGCCGCAGTCCTCGTGACCGCAGTCGTAGTCCCCATCATGCGTCCAGCCGAGGGCATCGCAGTGGTCGCGCTGCCTCGCAGTCTCCGCCACCACACACCACCAGCAGCAACAAGGGAGACGATTCAAACATGACAGCAGACCCGAACGAGAGCGTCTCTGGCGCACACCCACCATCGGCGACAACACATGCTGAACCGACAGGAGCCGCTGACAATCCCGAGAAGGACGTGCCAGCGGACTCAAAGTCAAGCTCGAAACAGCAATCTCGAGGCCTTCCCTCCCACCGTGACTCCAAAAGCTCGTCCTACAAGCGGTCTGGCGAGTCCTCTAGTCGCTTTGGCTCACGTCGAGATACATATGGCAGGAAGCGCACTCGCTCTCCCTCACGATCCCGGAGTAGATCGCCAACGTCGCGCGCGCGCTCCCATTCGCGATCGCCCTCACGCTCAAGATCACCGCATGATGACCGTAGGAGTCGCCACGGAGGAGATGACGCTGGTCGTGAACGCGCACGGCAGCGACGCGAGAAGGATGCCGAACCCGCTGCGAGCGAGCAAGAAGGCCAAGATACAGCTGCAGCTCTCCCTCGTACAGGCGAAGACGATGTCGCTGCCGCTGTCGCTGCCGACGGCGACGCAGCGTCTGCGGACATGCCTGCAGCGTCCAGCGAAGAAGCTCGTCTGCGTGATTTGGAACTGCTCGAGCTCGAGCGCGAGCGCGACCGCAAAAAGTCTCGCGACCGCCACCACGACTCGGACTCTGGCTTTAGCGATCGTCGCGGGAGCAGTCGATCCGACCGGCGGCACACTGATGATCGCCGGCGCGATGACAGCAGGTCGCACAGAGACGATGGCGGCCATCGCCGCGACTTTGAAGACCGCACCCGGTTTGGCAAAAGTGCCCGCGAGTACCGCTTTATCAGCAAGAATTCGGGCGGCAACGACGCAATGAGCCCCACTCGTCGCGGCGAGGCGGCCAGTTCCAGCGGGTCCTTCCCGCCTCCACCGGCAGGTTTTGCACACCCTCAATCTGCTGGGGGGCCCATGTACCAACCGAACGCGTTCGACAATCCCGCCGCTGCCGCCGCCGCAGCCGCCGCCTCCGCCTATGCGCAGCAGTATCAGCAGTATCAACAATACCAGCTCCAACAATTCCAATTCATGCACCAGCACCAGCAAGCCGCAATGGCGATGGCTGCCGCTGCTGCTGCGTCGGGCTCGTACGGGTTTCCCGGCGTCGGAACCGGGGGCGGCATGCCGGACGCTGCCGCACAAGCGCAGTATCAGGCACTCATGCAGTATCAATTACTTTTCCGGCAGCAGCAAATGCTGCAACAACAGCAGCAGCAGCAACAGCAGCAGCAACAACAGCAACAACCGCAACAAGAGCTTCCACCTCAGCAGCAGCAGCAATCATCCGACGCAACCAATTCAACCAACACCAATCCCGTCACTGCGACAGGCGACACTACGGCGGTACCCGCAGACGCTAGTGCTGGCGGGGCTCCAGCTAGGCGTGTATGGCAACCCGCGTTTGTGGAAGACGCATACGTCATTCTCGAGCAAGTCGGGCAAGGCGCCTATGGCAAAGTGTACAAGGCGAGCAACCGCGCGACGGGCGAGATTGTTGCGCTCAAGCGTATTCGTCTGGACCGCGAGAAGGAGGGCTTTCCCGTGTCGGCCGTTCGCGAAATCAATCTGCTTCGTCGCCTCCGTCATCCCAACATTCTGTGCTTGAAGGACATTGTGACTGAACGCTCCGATGATGCCGCGAGCAGTCCGTCCCCCAAGCCGTCCGAGTTGTCTGGAGGTGAAGGCGGCCATGCGACCTCAGCGACGGCATCCGTACGCGCCGACCCAGTCGTCGAGTGGTCGCGAAACTCGCCCACCATGCAGCGCATTTTCCAGCAATCAGGCCCTCCGCGCCCGCGCCCAAAGCTTTCCGATAGCGTCTACCTCGTGTTTGAGTACATGGACCACGATCTTTCCGGCCTGCTCCATTCAGGCCTGATGCAGTTTTCGGTCGACCAGGTGCGATCCCTCATGTACCAAATCATACAGGGCGTCAACCATTGCCATCAAAACAACATTTTCCATCGCGATCTCAAGGGAGCCAATTTGCTCGTCAACAAGCATGGCGAGGTCAAGCTGGCCGACTTTGGCCTTGCGCGCGCCTTTATTGAAGAGCGTCGCGCCTACACAAACGAAGTCATCACACTCTACTACCGGCCTCCAGAGCTCCTTCTCAAGGAGACTGAATACGGCCCGGAGGTTGATGTTTGGAGCTGCGGGTGAGTGTGTTGTTTTTGGCTTGCGTTGGTTTGAGGTTTTTTGACTTTTGGATTGCGTTTGTTTTGGGGGGGGTTGCCGGCAACGCGCCTCGATGTCTTGGATTCTCACTCGTCATCCCCTTTGTAGATGCATCCTGGCTGAAATGCTCGGAAATCAAGTCGCTTTCCCAGGTCGAACTGAGACGGAGCAACTTGATTTGATTGCGCGGGTTTGTGGCACTCCCTGCGAAGAGAATTGGCCAGGAGTGTCCAATCTGCTGCAGCAGACTACTTTCAAGCGGCAGTATCCGCGACGACTACATGAGCACTTTCACTCGTAAGCCTTTTTTGAGATCGTGTCGGGGGAGATTTTGCTCGATGGTTGTTGTCACAAGATTTTTTTGTTTGTTTTGGGGCTTTTAAGGCTAACTTGGGCGCCGTGCCTTTTCCTTAGATTCCCTCCGGATGCGCTTGATCTTTTGGACAAACTCCTCGTGTTGGATCCCAGGCGACGAATCACCGCGGCCGAGGCGTTGAATCATCCCTTCTTTACTCAGGTTGCGTTCCAAATCTACGCAACGTAAGTATCTCCGGTGTCCCTCCCTATTTCTCTCTTGGCTTGCGACACTGACGGATTATTTCATGTGTCTCACCTCAGACTGCCGACGGATTTGGATTGCCACGAGTTCGTCACGAAAAAACTCAAGCAAAAACCCAAGCCCCAATCAGAGAGCGAGCCCCAGGCAGGCGATGCTTCAAACAAGCAACCGTCTTCCTCCAAGCCATCTGGCGATGCTACTGACGCCCCTGTCTCGATGACAGTTGATCAAGATAATTCGAGTTCTGAAGCAAAGAGCATGGATTTGTCGACTTGATCTGCCAGTTTTTGGAGACGTTGTTACGTTAGTCGTTGGAAGCCGTCGTGGCTTTCTTTTTTTTATTTTTCACTCTGTTGGATGTTATTGTACTTTTATTTGTTCAACATTACAACGTGCACGCAAAGAAACGGCCTTGTCTATGTCAATTTTCAAAACCTTCTCATTCAGCCTTGGTGGATTTGCGTCCTTTTCGTTGACGAAGTTCGCCTGCATCTGTTGTTGACGTTGATGGCGCGGGTGAGGATGATGTTGCGTCGCTCGGTGCAGCCGTGTCAATTGGATCGGAACCTTCGTGTTGAGCAGCTGATTCGGTTGCTGGGGTTGATTCAATAGCAGCAGCAGCAGCAGCAGTAGTTGGGGTCGTTTCGTTGCTTGGTTCGGCGTCATCGTCGTCGTCGCCGCCCTGGAATTCGTTTCGTCGCTCCGCATCAACCGGATACTTCCATCGCTGGTACAGGAAGATGAAAAAGATAATGTCTGCGCACCAAGCAACGAGCAGCGAGTGAGAGAAATCACAATGACAAAAACGCCGACCGTGGAGCGAGTCCAGCCAGAGCACTCACCATCGCGGAAGCACGCCAGACGGTGCATGGTGGGCATTTTGATGATGAATGCAAACAAATCGTCAATAAACGTGTTGAGGGCCTTGTAGGTCAGCATGCGCCAAGGAAGATGCGCGACGGACTGCAGCTTGTAGTTGATGAACAGCTGCGGAGTCATCATAATGAAGCCTGGAAAGAGTAGGAGCAAAGCGCGGGAATCAAGTGATGATGAGCATGCAGGCATGGACAAGCACGGTTTAAAAAGGAGTGGCACTTGCCGAAAGTGTAGACTGCGCCCACAAGCGATGCAATCACCCACGAATACCAGCTCTTGTGCGTCTCGTATACGAGCGAGTAAATCGAGTAGCAGGCAACAAGGGGCAACAAAAGCCAAGACAGGTAGCGGAAGGCAAGCTGATGTTCAACAACCACCACAAACCAAAAAGGAAGAAAAAAAAAGAAAAAAGGAAAAACACCAAGCAACGTTAGACTCCCAACAGCCAGCAAGAGTCGCTACTTGGCGCACATGACACTCACGTCGTCGTATTCTTTCGTCTTGGAGTTTTGGTACGACTTCTTGTGGGTGTAAGTCAACCGAGGAATAATGCTGAAAATCTTGTCTTCGCTGGGCACCAGGTTGACGGCTTTGCTGACCTTCCACACCTCAATGGCCAGACCCACGCCAGAGGAGATCAAGATCAGCCAGGAGGTATCGTTATCGAGGAGATAGAGGAAGATGATGAACTGGAATCCAATGTTCATGAAAATCGTTCGGACTGAGAGACCGGCCATCGAATCGCGCTTCTTCCAGAAGACGACGTCTGTCACCGTCAGCAACAATTCACTCTCGTGAGCACGGGGATCCAACTGTTGGGCTCGGTTTGAGTCGGCTCCTTCCGCGAAAGTGCTTACCGTTCTTGAAGGCAAGAAAATCAAACACGCTGTGAAGCAAGGACACCACCATGGTGAGACCAAGCAGGTAAGGATTGGTGTCTGTAATCATACGCTGAGCACGCACATCATGAGTGAGCAACATTTCGCATCCAGCTCCGCCGGTACTACGGAGAATCGCAAACACACAAACCTTAAAGTTGTCGGCATCGTTCTCGCCCATCTGACCCCAGCTGTGCTGCATTTCAAACGACTGCTCCATTTGAATCAAAAGGGTCCACTTCCATAGCGACTGAAGGCTGAAGGATATTTCAAGCGGGAGCTCACTGCAGCGGGGGAGTTAGGAGCAAACGCAAACCACAAAACCCAGTTCGTGGGCGCACAATTGCAACACTTTTGCATCCACGCAGTACAGCTTGGCGCTTACGTGGTAGTCTCGTTGATGGGGTACAGATCATCGCGCATCATCCAGAAATCATTGAAATCGAGGATGGGAAAGTAGTTGCCGGTGGTCTCCTCAAACGTGAGGTCTAGGCAAACAACAGTGAGCAACCATGCAGGGGTGAAAGTTTACTCGCGACCACAATGACGCTACTTACAGTCTTTGATCTGGGGTGGCACGCTGTTGCGGTTGAAAGCAGACTGATCCTCGACCAGATCAATCACCAGTTGGTTGCTCCAGTAAGAAATGTACACTGGCGAAAGCTTCTCGGCAAGTGCTGCAGCCCGCTGTCGCTCTTCCTCTGCGTCGTCCATGTCAGACACGAGCAGCTTTTTGAATTGCTGGTGAAGCCGCGGGCGGAAGCGAGTAATGACTGTTCCAAAGACGAGCAGCAATAAACAAAAACAACAACAACAAAAAAAAAAAAAAAAAAAAAAAAAAAAAAAGTCAATCTCAGGCTGCAAACTCAAATAGAGGCTCAACAAACAGACACGATCTGACTCACGCTTTGACTTGCACACGACGGCCGTTGCATCGTAGGCGGGATCAAATTCGTCGAGGGGAGAGCCTGCCTTGGCGATGCAAGCGTGCGCAAACAGGGTGCCGTTCGATTGTACTCGCTGTGGACAGAGGAAATTGTCATAAGATCAGAGCTGGAGATTGCAATCTCTTCCTCCAATTCTCCAATCGGAGGATCCACCATTGAGAAACGCACCTCAGACGGATGAATGGTGGTCGTAAAGTTGGCTGAATACTTGGCGTCAGGAAGCGACGAGCCGTACACCAGGTCGGGGACGTGCCACAGCAATGTCGTCTCGTCATTGTGGAGCGGAACGAACTTGGATTGTTCTGACATGTAGACGAAAAGCTCCTAGTTTCATGGCACAAGTGAAGTGAGGCAACGCAGCAGCAAGAAGATGGAGGAGACAACCACTTGTGCTGCACATGGCACAAAGCATCGTCCACGAGCCAAAGCCACACAAACGCACAATGGGTTGGTTTGGTTTGAATAGGTTGCGACCAATCATGGCCGGGTCGGACGGAGTTGCTGGTGCGGAACCTGTCGTTCAAGGCGGAACAAAGAGAGGCGGTCAAAAAACAGAGGGAAGTGAGTGTTGCATGATGAGCGCGAGCCGATGCTTCAAGCAAGCAGTCGCAAAACACCAGTATGAAAAGCAGAGTCTGATAGAGGCGGAACGCCGCCGCGCCCGGGGGAACAAAGGAAAGGACGCAACCCTGCTGCCTCAGCCACGACGACGACGACGACGACCCACCTTTGAAGAACAGGTTGTAGAAGGCAAACATCATCATGGCGCGATACAAAAAGTCGGAAATCGTGCTGCCCGTGCCCGCAGCTGCGCCAGGCACCGCTTCGCCGGCACGAGCGACAGCTCCACCGCCGCCCGGAGCCACGTCAGCCATTTTCTTGGAGATGTCAAAATAGGAATGAAGAAAACTCAGAAAGCAAAACAACAAAGGTTTTGCTGAACTCGAGACAGACAAACGTTTGAAACAAACTTTCATCAACGAATCGGCAAAACTTCAAAGAAAAAAAGCTCAGGTTTTTTTTTTTTTTTTTTTTTTGGTTTTTTTTTTTTTTTTGGTTTTTTTTTTTTTTTTGAGTTTCCCGCCAAATTTTTTCCAGTCTTTGTCCATTTTCTCAATCCCCGTCTTCGCGATGCCGATGCTGCGCAAGTCCGGCGGAGGCAGCCGCGGTGAGTGACGCATTATTGTCTGCGTTTTTCGTTCAGTGAAACCACCCCGGAGTGAGTGCGGGCAGCGGAGGAAGGACAAGTTCACGAAAGGACCCTGCTTGCAAGGGACAAGCAACACAAAGAAGCTTCTTGTTTCACTTTGACTTGAGCTCACCTGTGTGACTGACAACCACCGCGAGCAGAAGGCACGCCGTCCCCGAGTGGCAACGGCAGTGCGTCGCCGAGCATGCAGATGCGGCCCGTGGTGACGCTCGTCCCGTCGTCGCCGTCGAGCGGGCAGCAACGGAGCAGCGGCGCACTGCGATCCGAAACGCTGCTTCCCGCCACGACGGCGTCTTCCTTGATCCCCTCGACGAGCGCTCTTGCGGCAGCCGTTGCTGCTGCTGCAGCCAGCAGGCGCTCACCAAGCCAAGATGATGGTGCTTCCACAGCGACTGGACCCGCTGCTCCTGCTCGACTCACTCCCCCAGTGTCGTCGGCTCCCAATCCGCTCATGCCCAACGTGCACAAGGCTGCAGCTGCTGCTGCAAAGGCAAACGCTGCTGCGCCGGATGCTAGTGCACCGTCATTGCCTGCTGTTACGCCGTCCAAGTCCAAGCCGAAGGCTGCTGTGGTGGAGGTGTCGTCGTCGAGTGCAGCGCCGATCGACACGCCAACCAAGACCAAAACTGCTCCACGTCGAGCAAGTGAACAGAAGGACAAGGCAGCATCGGAATCCTCTTTTGCTCCTCTACCGAAAGAGCACGCCGATGCCGTGATGACCACCACAGCGCCAACAGCAGCTGCTGCAGCCGCGCCAGCAGCTCCGACAGCTCGTCCACCGGCGCCTCTCCAGGCTGAGGTGCCCGCGGCTGCGCTGGTTGCAGCGGCGCTGCCTGCTGCTGCTCTTGTCCAGGAACGAGTCCATGCAGCCTTGCCAAAACCAAGCGTGGCAGCAACGCGCAAGCCTGATGCGCCAGTCACTTTGGCCCCAGCGCCTCCTCCGCCTCCTATGTCTCGCCCACCTCGCGGCGGAGCTGCGCAATGGCTACCAGTCTTTTCAGCAGCTCTTGTTGAATGCGGCATTCGTTTGGAAGCTGGTCTGCCAGTCGAATTGAGTGAGTGGAACAGAAAAAAATTTGATCGACCCTCCCGAAGTGACTTTTGCTTGCTTTGCCAACGGTGCTCATGCTTTGAGTGTGAAACTGTGAATTGCCTCTCCCCCCCCCCTCCCATCAGCTGTCGATGTGTCGGACTTCAAGTCAAAACTGGCAAAGCGACTTCGGCGTGCCGATTCTGCGCCAAATGTTCTCGGCGAGTTTGTGGATGGCATGACAGATTTTCTGGCCGATCTTGGCTGTCTCCAAGCTGCCTGCATGCCCCTTCCCTCCCGCAACGGTCTAAGGTATGGAAAGTGTGAAGAAACGACATGGAGGTTTTGGCTGCCGTCTCTCACTTTTCTGACTGTTTTTTTTTTTTATTATTATTATTATTATTATTATTTTTTTGCTGGTTTGTCCGTCACAGCAGCCTCAAAGTTGCCAACGACAGTCTCGTCAGACTCATGCTCGGAGTCGAGCCAATTCAAACACACCTGCTGATCAACCTGTTGGAAAAGCTTCCAGTTGTGCAAGACGAGTATGATGTCGTTGTTGTTCTTGTTGCAAGGTTGTGTTGTTGCGCGAGCTTGCGCTGACTCCTTTCTGCATTGGGCGTCAACTGCCTCGTTCACAGCTACTCCATGTCCTCTGAGGAGATTAATCTACCGCGCTTGATTGTCGCGCAAATGCGCTGGCTCGATTTCGTTGTGGACGGACGCCAACTGGCAGACAAGTTGGTGGAGGTGCTTTCCGTCACCAACGCTGAGGTGCAACGCGAGCTGATCAGCAGTTTGCCAGATATTCTGAACGACGCCGAACATCGCCGAATGGTGGACTGCCTCTCGATGCTCGTGACCTCGGAGCCCAAGCTGATGGTGACCATTCTGGACGCGCTGTCCAACCTGACCTTACCGCCGCACCAAGTTGACGAAATCCGCGACAAGATTCTCAAGATGCTTGCTTCAGTGGACGTGAGCGACATGCCGGTGGTGGTGCGCTTCATTCAGCAGTTCATCAACGCCGACAACAGTGTGGAGGTGATTTTCAAGTTGCGCGGCGAGCTCGACTTTCAGTCTCTGGCCTCGACCACGGCCATGGCCACGACCACGACCACGTCTGGGAGTCGAGGCCAGGCAGGGCGCTCGGACCATTCAAGATCAGCCGGATTTGCAGCCACTACGTCGTCTACCGCTGTCAATGGCGAAATGCTCACGCTCGAAGCGATTCGCGCCGGACTGCGCTTCCAGCAAACGGTCGCCGATGCGTGGATCAAGGTCCTGCAGACAGTAGTGGCCCCGCAAGACCACCGGGTGATTGACATCTTTGTGTTGTTGATGCTGCTGGGGCTGGCGCCGAGCAGAAAGCTCGCCGAGACCACCCTGCGGAAGAAAATCAAGGCGCAGCAACTCTCTTCGACCCTTCTCGCGACCGTCTTTCGCAGCCACTCACAAGCGCTGTCGACCTACTTTAAAGAGCTGATGACAGTTGCCGAGATGCTGCTTCGTTCTGCCGAGCATGTGGCCCAGACGTTCGCCGCGGACATTTACCGAAATGTCTTTCTGCATTTTGACGGCTTTTGTCGACAGGAAGTTGTGGGTACATTGGTAACTCTTATTGGTGCCGGCGAGTCGTCGCGTGCGGACACGGCGCTGCAGGTGCTCTGTGACCTGTCGCGCACAGACGGGCTGCGTTTGGCCGAGTTTTCCATCTTTATCAAGAACATTCTCGACTACCTGGATACGCTGCCACTGTCGCACATTCGGATGCTGTTTTCGCTGCTCACCACGTTGCAGATGGCGCGTCGTGAGCAGCTTCGGCAGCAGCAAAACCAGACGGGTGCAGCCGAGACCCTGCGCCAGCAACCCAGTTCCACAGACCGCACCATTGCAAGTTTGATGGGCATTGGTGCTGCATCCGCCTCTTCCTCCTCTTCCTTTGACGATGCCCTTGTGGAAGACGACATTTACAACACCATCAGGAAGCAGCTGCACTCGTCCAGCGGAAAGTTCAAGCGCGTCGGCATTGTTGGTGCATTGTGCGTCATTGAGCAAGCCCTCAATCTAGACGTGCCAAACAGCGAGGTGGCCCCGCCCCTCGACATGCTGCTTGATGTGCGCGTCACGTTGGACGGCAATCCGGACGAAGGACTGGACGCGGCCAAGCGCCAGAATAAAAACAAGCGATCTGCGGCTGCGTCGTCGTCCAAGCCGCGCGACCGTGTCATTAGTGACAGCCATCTGTCTCAGGCGCACGAGCTCTTGGATATCGTGCTGAAGGCGTGTGATCTGGCATCGGACTGCTTTGGGTTCTTTTTTGACGAGCTTTCGCGGGTTGTTCGGTCTACCCGCCTCGACCCCCGCCTTCTTGCGACCCTGATCAATACGCTTCACTTGGATTCGTACATTTTTGATCTGGAAAACCGCGAGAGCGAGTGTCAGGCGCTGACACAGGCCCTGCACCGACTCGGCAAGAGCGAGTTTACACCCGGCCTGATGGGTCCCATCTCTGCCGCTTTGAGCTCGCAGCAGCAGGTATTGCGCCAGCAAGCCGTTCTCGACGCGCTTGCGGTTGAGGTGTCGTTCAACCTTGACGGCGACCGAACGGTGGGCCTGCTTGGTCTGTTGGGCTGCGTGCTCGACAGCAAGAAATCGCGCCACGACCTGGCCATGCTGCTGGCACCCAATTTCAAGCTCCTCCAGCTGTGCACGCGATCGACGCAAAACGGCGTGCTGGACGACATGGATGGAACGCTTGGCTTTCCGGTGCTGTTTCCACGGCCCGCGCAGATGGCGGCGAGTTTCGGTGCTTTCGCCCCTGCAGTCCGTCGCGCGTTGTGTCTGGGCATGGTTCACGTGGTCAACTGGTTTACAGAGCTGCTCAATGCATTCGCTCTGCGTCCGGGTGCAGACACGCAAATCAAACTGCTCTACCGTGTCACCGCCCTCTTTGAGTTGCTTGGCCAGCTTGGACGCCTGCTGCCCCTGACACCCGACTTTGCAGCCCCGCCCGCAACCTTTGAGCAAGCCGACGCAGCTGTGATCAAGCACCCCGAAGCCGCTCCGAAGCGTGGCACCAAGACGAAAGGCGCCGACCCTGCCAAGGGAACGAAAGGAAAGACGCCGCAGCCAAACGATGACAGCGACATTGAGCCGGCAATGATGGAGCCAACGAAGAAGGTCAAGTCCAACGCGCAGAGTTCGAGCCGCCCTCCGCCTGCTTCGGATGACGAGAATGGCGAGAATGGCGAGGTCGAAGAAGAGCACGCCGGCGACTCGGATGACGACGATGCTGTCAGTGTTGCTGAGAGTGATCTCAAGGGCGCCGGCTCCGTAGCCTCTACTGCGATGCGACGAGCTGCTAGTGGCAACTTTGATTCGTTTGCCAGGCAGCTCCTGGATCTGGCTCCCTTCCGAGCCTGCTTCCGTGAGATGGACTTGGAAGTCTTTTCCCTCTTGGCCACTGGACGGCGCTTTACTCGGCACCTGCTCAGCGGGGATGAGCCTGCGCAAAACGTGCTGCTCGAGCAGAACATGGCGGGGTCGAGTACCGCTCCTGGCCTGCAGCCTCCACCTGCGCTCGAGTTCTCCATGGTGCACATGCGCTACATGCTGGATGAGATGGCGCGACAGCTCAAGTTTGGCCTAAGCCCACCGGTTTCTTCTGCAATGCCATTTCTGCAAGCTCGCGCGAGCAAACACCAGCTCCATCCGCGCGCGAGCTCGGCCCTGGAAATGCGGCGCTTTGAAGCGCTGCTGCTGGCCAAGTTTGTCGCTCTTCTGCCCCACCTCTGCTTGCATCTCGAAGACGTCGTTGGGCTGTGCTCGCGCTACTACAAGGTTCCTTCGCGAAAGGCTGTGGCGAAAGCAGCTGCGCGAGCCAAAGCCGACGCACAGATGGAGGCGGAACATGGCTTTGTGGCATCTTCCCAATCTGCGCATCCTCGCGCTGACGACGAAGACTCTGACGGAGACGATGACGGTCACGGTGAAATGCCCGCGACTGGAAGCGGTAGCGTGTCGAGCCAATTTGACGAGCCGATGAGCAAGGAATTGGCCGTTCATGCTGCTGCCTGTGTGGATCTTGTTCTCCAGTGCTTCCGAACCTTCTTGGCCTCGGGTGCAATCGCTGGCCAAAACGCTGGCCAAAACGCTGGCAGTGGCGCAAGTGGAGCCGGGCCATTGCCCGCTGCCCTGAGAAGCTTTGTGGGTGTGCTCGCGGGGCGGCGCGCCCAAATGGTGCGCGCCATCCGAACCGGGCATGACCAACGCGCCTCCGGCGCGGCGACCTGGCGTCAGTCTCGCGATCAAGCACCAAGCACCAGCGATGCAATGGATGAGCAGCATGGCTTGCGAACGCCTCTGCCTGAGCTGGCCGCGGAGGCTTTTGGCTACCTGTCCTCCATCATGGAGGCAGTCACAACGCTTCCAACTGCTGCGACATTGCTGAGCTGCTTGGAGCTGTTCATCCTTCGCACCAGGCAAGCGCACCTGTCCCCTGCGTTGTGCGAGCTGGCTGAGCATGTTTTGCGTCGAGAACGCTGGTTCCACTCGCACTGCGACACCCAAAGCCCCGCCTTTGTCTCAGCATGTCACAGCTCTTCTGCAATCACGACCGCCATGTTTGCCAGCCTGACGACGTTGCCGAGCTCTCCTACAACGACACCAGCGCCCTTGGCAGTCGATGCCGTGAGTACGGCCGTTGACATTCTGCTCAAGCACGCTGACAATCCGCTTCCGATGATTGAGACGACCATTGGCGAGGCGCTGGCGCTTGTGGCCGAACGCCACGGAGACGCTGTTCCCGGCATCAAACACGCCGAAATCAGCGTGCCCTTCCTCCCCACCCTGTCCAAGCGATCGCTGCCCGCCTTCTTCCGCGCCTCGCTGGATGGCGTTACAGGAGCGCTGCGCGAGCTTGACTCGGTGCGCGAGCTCGGTGTGCTCGTTTCCGGAGAGGGCAATGCCAACGTCCAGATGGTCAAGCTGCAATCCTGCGTGTTCAACTTTTGGCGGCTCTGCAGCTTTGTGGCCAAGTACAGCCATCGCCTTGTGCTTCTTGCCGTTGTCAAGGGCGGTCGCCAGTTTGTTGACACCTTCCTCAAGGTGGGCATGCCCTTCATTGACGTTCACTTTATCGAAATGCGCGAGCCCATGACTGAAATGTTTAAAAAGCTGCAACAAGCCACACGGTCGCTGCAGATGGTGTGTGGTCACACAAAGGTAAGCAAAAAATGCAGAGAGGTGTGTGGAGTGCTTTGGAGCTGCAATTCCCCGAAAAAAAAAAAACATTGGAAAAACAATGGGAAAAAAAAAAGTGTATTGACAATTTCAACAAAACACATCTGCACCACACACACACAGGTTGTTCGGGATGTTTCAGTACTTGCACAAGTTCCGCCATTGCGCAAGTCGCTCGAAACACTCATCTTCCGAGTCAAGGTCATGTTCGAAGTCAACGGCGTGCGCGTCGCCTTCTCCATTGGCAATCTCAAGCACAAGTCGATTCGCGGCGAGGAGGTGTCGTCCCAAGGGTATGGCGGCGACAGTGACGAAGAGGACGACACCCTGGCAAGCGTGATGGAAGGAGAAGAAGAGGACGAATCACAGCACGACTCTCCGACACCGCAACCACTGATTGCCAAGCTGCTGGGATCGACCGCTCTGACTGGTCGACTGACGCACAAGCCTCCAAAGACCAAAGACACTGACCGCGCTGGCGCCAAAGCTCGGACGAAACGGCGAGCAGAGGACGCGCTGGAGGCGGAGGGCAAAAAGCGACCGCAGCTGGAAGAATCGGCACCCGGCTCGAAGCGCAAGGCAAAGGCAGACAAGCACCAAGAACACGACCAAGAGCGCGACCACAACGACGAAGCCGGGTCTGACCGTCCAGACGAAGCAGAGAACGAGGACGAGGACGAGGACGAGGACGAGAAGGCCCGCCGAAAGAAGGCGCGTCGCGCTCGCAAGTCTGAAAAGCGTCGAAGAGCTCGAGAGACTTCAAGCGAGCCCGAGGAGGAAGAAGAAGCAGCAGTAGAAGAAGAAGAAGAAGAACAGGAGGAAGCACCCCACAATCTCCTGTCGGCTGAGGCTTCCAGCGAGGCAGAGAATGACGCTGAGGGCGCCAACAACGATGACGAAGATGGCGAGCACGATGATCATGAAAGTGGCCGTTCGTCCAAGAAGGCGCGCCATCGAAAGCACCGCCACAAAGCGAGCAAGCGGCATCGTCTGGCCCAAGTGGACAGCGAGGCTGAAGATGAGTAACTTTTTTTTGTTTTTCCAAGTGTCAAAGTGCGCGCGGCATGTCGCGGTATTTTCGTTCGTTTTCGTTTTTGTTGTCGTTATTTTGGAAAACACATGTCTGAATCGTCAGCCTTTTGAAACAACAAGTCTCCCGTGTTCTCAGAAAGGGCCCTAGAGGCTGCGCGTGCCGGTCGGATCGAGAGCAAATTCGCGTTGGAGCTGCTGCTTTTCAGCCAGGGCTTGCTCCCCACGCATGCGCTCGACCGCCGGGTGGTCGCCGATCGCCGCCATGCAATGCTTGGACAAATCGACGAGTGCACTGGCCTCGGCGTCGCTGGCAGAGTTCAAATACGAAATGAGCGTTTGAAGCGGATTGTCTGCCGTCAGGATGGCGTGCAGCGTTGTTTGTAGCGTTGGATGCGATGCAGCAAACTGGCGCAGATCGCTCGACTGGAGCAGCAGGTGCAGTGGCAAGGGCTGTTGGTTGGTACTGCTGGACTCGTGTTGGACCGGCAATGCTGATGCGTGGACTGCAGCACCGCCGCCGGATGTCAGAGGAGCACTGGTGGTGGCATCGACTACAGTCTCCGACTGGGTGGTGAGTGGTTGTTGCACTTGGCTGGCGGTCGCCGAGTCTGGTCCACGCGGGAGAGTTGTTTCAAAAGTCAATCGCTGCTGCTGCTCGCCACATGTGGCCTTGTGCAGCTTGAAGCAAGGGAGCGAGCAGTACTTGGCCAGGCATTGTGGGCACTTGTACTTGGACACTGCGACCGCGCAGACCGCGCAAGCGAGTGCTGGCGGAGGAGGCGAGGCCATGTGTGTGAGAGCCTGAGCGACACAAACCAAAATAAGAGACTGAGAACGTCCAAAAACTCAAAGAAAGGGTCAAAGTAGATGCATTTCGCTTTGTGTGTACATTTACGACTTGCCAAGAGAAAAAAAAATCAGCAACGTACAGTAACAGAGGAACAGGAGTTGAACGATGGGGCCTCTCAAAAAAATCCCCTTTTTCAACCATTCCATGACAACGGTTGACTCCGACTCCCAAGCCAGTGTACTGTAGTAGCATGTGTATTTGTTGACCACCATTTGCCTCGGAGCACATCATACTCAGATCCCATCATCCATCCTCGTTCCTTCATCAGTCACTTTTTCTCAATCCTAGAACCAAGTCCAACTTGTCCAACAACAACGACCGAGCTGTACCAGACGCCTCCGTCCGCGATCTCACTGTGCAACTTCAGAGTGTTTCAATGTAAGTGTATGCGGCCCACGGCTGGTCGTCCAGCTGCACTTGCGACGGTCAAATCCCAAAAATGCCAAGAAACCGTTTGAAACACTGACATCATTGCCTTTCCCCACCCACCCCCGGTTCGCTTCTCGCCGCAGCTCTGACGCGAACCCTGCAACCAACAATGCAAGTTCGTCTTCCACTGCCCGTCTTGTCGACCAAGGCCCCGCCGCCGCTTCGAGCGACCCGATGCAAGACTTGGCAGTTTGTCTCGGCGTCTCGGCGGTCGATTTCGATCTGGCGCGATTTTCGCCTCGTTTGCCCAACGTCAACCTGGCCACCCAGAGGTCTGGCCTCCTGGCGGCTCTGCCCGAGGCAAGTACCATCAAAGGCAACGAGCTGCCACAACCCTCACCATCACAGCGGACAAGCGCCGCAGCAGTGCTTGATGAGCTGGGGCTACGCGACACCAGCGAGTTTGTCCCGCTTGCAGTTGGTTTCATGCTGCTCAAAACCCTTCTCAATGAGCTGAAAGCCGAGGCGAAAGCCGCAGCCGCCGAGACAGCGCGCCAGGAAGCCGTGGCGAAAGCCGAGCAGGAGCGCCAGGAAGCCGTGGCAGCGCGCCAGGAAGCCGAGACCGAGAGAAACGCGCGCCTGGAAGCCGTGGCAGCTGCCGAGGCGAAAGCCGCAGCCGCCGAGACAGCGCGCCTGGAAGCCGTGGCAGCTGCCGAGGCGAAAGCCGCAGCCGCCGAGACAGCGCGCCAGGAAGCCGAGACCGAGAGAAACGCGCGCCTGGAAGCCGAGTCGAGGGCCTCCAAGTTCCTGGTCGATAAGGACATTGTCTTGCCAGCTCTTGGTGCTGCCAATCTGGGCAAATCAAGCTTGAGTGCATCCGTGCCAACAAATCACCAACCTGCCACTGCACTCCACGGCGAATTTGTCGTGCATACCGATTTGGCATACACAGCGTGTCCTGCTGATGCTGTTCTTGATGCAGCTCGGGCTGGGTATGATGGCGAGCAAGCCGTTCAGCAACTGGTATACCTCACGCTTACTGCGGTCGCCAAAGTCCTCGGACAGACACAACTGGCCGAGATTCCTGTATTCTTCAAGACCGCCGGCTCGGGAGCGAACGCGGCACAGAAGTCGGACCTCTGGTACGTATCGTGGCTCGGCATCGGACATGGTGCTATTGAGGTCAAGAAACCGTCCGCTCCGGAACCCACCAGCAGTCCGAAATACGAGGATCAACGCAAGGAACTCGCGTTAAAAGACATGAGCAATTCGTACATTCTCGGGCAGTTGTACGACTACTTGCAGGAGCTGCGCATCACCTTCAAGCCTAACGCACTGTTTGGCATCCTGACCAACTACATGTACTGGCGCATCTGCTGGCTGGACGAGCCAGAAGCAAACCGGCTTGCCGCGTGCTCCCAGGCGCTCCCTCGGCACAAGGACTCGACCATGCGCGAAGAGGACCTGCACACTTCGCTTCCCTTGCCTGAGTTCGCGGCCACCAAAGCGACCGCCACGCCGTTCCTGCCGCCAACTCAGCAGGTTCTGAAGCGCGAGCTCCGCTGCAGCCAACCCTTCTACTACCAAGACACGAATATCGTGTCCGTTCTCGCTTCCGCGATCTACAAGATGAGCCGCACTGTCCCAACGCGCGGAAGATGCCACACAGCCCTTGCCGTCACTTCGAGAAGCCAAGCATGGGAGTCGTTCAAGATGCCTCTTGACTTTAACCACATGCCGACTCTTCACAAATCGCCGGAAGAAGAGGCAAATCGCCTCTACCTGACACTCCGACTCGGCGGTGGCGGCGATGGCACGGCGTGGCTCGCATCGAACACAGCGGGCCGCGTCTGCGTCGTCAAGTTCTTCAACGAGCCCAACTTGGAGGTCATTCAAGCCGAGTGCGAACGGTGGAACGACATCTGGCATCAGCGAGACCCCCAGTTTCCCAAGGCGGTTGTCACTACTTTGCTCGAGCAGCCGGCGCTCGTCATGCCATTTGTCAAGACAAGAGAGGTTTCCAATCAAGCATCTGCTTCCAATCAAGCATCTGCTTCCAATCAAGCATTTGCTTCCAATCAAGTATCTCCGGCCGATCAAGAGGCGATTCGCGAGGCCGCGCGGACAATGGCCATGGCAGGCTACCGGCACGACGATCTCCTGATGCGTCATGTCGGCTTCTACATGAAGGTTTCCAAGAAGAAGAAGAAGAACAAGAACAAGAAGAAAACGCGGACCTTGATGGCCGTCTTTTGCGACTTGTCACGAGTCACCCGGGTGAGCTCCGACGAAGATAAGGAAGCGGCGCGCATGGCCATGCTCACCAAACTTTCGCTTGAGCCCGGCGATGTGTTGTGAGGTGTGCTTTTTTGAAACCATGGCTCCATCCGTCTGTTTCTCTGTATGCACTCCAACCCCCTTTGTGAAAATCAACCGGAATTAAAATTGTTTATTAGGCACTGCTTGGTTGTCAAGTCCCGAACGGCCCGCTAGTTCTACTCGGATTAAATTGGTCAAACTTACATTCGTCAGTCACTTTTTCTCAATCCTAGAACCAAGTCTTCAATGCAGAGCATTGCTGCGCGTTTCTTGCCATCTGTTGCGCGCCGCGTCGCCGCAGCACCGGCTGTCCACATGCCCGCCGTATGTCGCCTCGCATGTGTTTCCCCCCTCCCCTCCATCTTCACGGCAGCCCCATCAGCCATCAGCCATCAGGCCCATCTCATCCATCTTACAAAAAAAAAAGAAAAAAAATGAGATCGAAAAAAAAAAGCGAGGATCGCACTTTTTTTCTTTCTTTCTTTTTTTCGTTTCGGTGGCAATTCGCGCTGTTGTGGCTGTCTGTTTTGGCGATTTTGCTGCAGCTGGTTTGAAGCAGGGCAGACGCTGGTGAGAAGGGGGGAGAAGCGTCGGGTCGACAATCAGTCCAAAGGCGGAACGGAACGACCATTGATCCAAAGCATATGGTTTTGCTCTTCTTTTTTTTTTTTTTTCCTTTTTTCCCTTGTTTCTCCTTTCCCCCCCCCCCTTTTCCTTCCTTGGTCCTACCTTCTCCTGGACAAAAAAAGAGGTTTGAGGGTTGTTGTTGGGGGCTGTGGGGGGGCGGTGGGGGGGCTTCCCTTCTCACGACTGCATTCGATTGCGCTTCTCGGATCGTCCCTGTTCAGCTTCTTTCCCCCCCCCCTTCTCCATTGTTCAACCCTTCCTTTTCGCTACCTCCTCACTCGCACTTTTTTTTTTTTGAATTGCACTTTCGTCATCATGCATCACGATCGGCCGTCGTTGCCATGTGTCGACATCACCGTACACTCGGCCTTGGGAGACGAAACAAACCGCTTCACAAACTCACGCTTTCCTTATGATTTTTTTTTCTTTGGCTTTTTCTGGGTCGCACACAGCGCACCCTCGCCTCGCTGCAGGAGTCGCTCCGAACCACCCCGGAGACCAAGATCACGACTCTCAAGAACGGCCTGCGCGTCGCGTCGGAAAACACTGGCCACCTGTCGGCAACCGTCGGCCTGTGGATTGACACTGGCTCGCGATTCGAGACGGAGCAGAACAACGGTGTTGCCCACTTCCTCGAGCACATGTTCTTCAAGGGCACCAAGCGCCGGACGCAGCAGGGCCTTGAGGCGGAGGTTGAGTCGATTGGCGCCTCGCTGAACGCATACACGTCTCGCGAGCAGACCGTCTACTACGCCAAGGTCCTCAACAACAACGTTAACGACGCTGTCGATCTCCTTGCGGACATCTTGCAAAACTCAAAGTTCGACGCGGATGCCATCAACGCTGAGCGCGACGTCATTCTTCGCGAGATGCAGGAGGTGTCCAACCAGCGCGAGGAGGTCCTGTACGACCACTTGCACTCGGTCGCCTACCAGGGCTACCCGCTCGGCCGCACCATCCTTGGCCCCACGGAGAACATTCTGAAGCTGTCGCGCGACGACATTACCGACTATGTTCGCAAGCACTACACTGCCCCGCGTATTGTTCTCGCTGCCGCCGGTGGCATTGACCACGACGTGCTCGTCAAGCAAGCCGAGAAGCAGTTTGGCGACCTCTCGAGCACGGCCTCGAACGACCGCTCGTTCGCCAACCGCTTCACTGGCGCCGACGTCCGCGACCGCAACGACGACATTGACGTCGGCCACATTGCCCTCGCCATCGAGGGTGTCGGCTGGGCCCATGCCGACTTTATCCCTCTGCTGGTTGCCTCCACCATGATTGGCAACTGGAACCGTCTCATTCCAGGCAAGAACCTTGCCTCCAAGCTCACACAGCGCGTTGTCGCCGAGAACCTTGCCAACTCGTACCAAGCATTCAACACTGCCTACAAGGACACTGCCCTCTGGGGTGTTCAGTTTGTTGCCCCGCGCGACAAGGTCGAGGACATGACTTTTGAGGTCCAGGCTGAGCTCATGCGTCTCTGCACTAGCGCCACCGAGGCTGAGGTTGCCCGCGCCAAGAACCTGCTCCGCACCTCGCTCTTCCTCAACCTTGACGGCACCACTCTTATTGCCGAGGAGATTGGCCGCCACGTCCTCAACTTTGGTCGCCGCATCCCTATTGCCGAGATCAACGCCCGTATCGAGGCCGTCAACGCCTCCGTCATCCGCGAAGTCCTCAACAAGTACGTGTACGACAAGTGCCCCGCTGTTGCTGGTATTGGCGCCATCGAAGGTCTGCCCGACTACAACCGCATTCGTGGCGGCATGAGCTGGCTGCGTGTTTAAAAGAACAAAACTAGATGTCACTACTTGGTCAACGCCCAAAGCCAACGGGGGAAAACAACAATAAACAAATTACCGAACTCTTGGGTGGGGGCAGGTGTCTGGCGAATTTCTTGTGTGGTGTGTATTTGTGGATGTCTTTTTTTTTTTTGTTGCACAATGAAGTAACGTGTTTCCCTTGAGCTTTTTGTTTTTTCTTGTCTTTTTTGCAGTTTGGTGCATGCAATGGAGTGCTGCTTTGACAGCGGTGTTTGGGTAATGCAAGATTGTTATTGGTACAATGCAGCAGAGGCTAGAGAGTCGCTCTTTGTTGCTCGACTGCACATAAATAAGGGGGGGGAACCTGACTAGACAAGATCTGACCCACAAAGATACATGTACAAACATAAACAAAAACCGAATGTGAGCATTGATTTATCGACTCTGTACGTAGCCAACCGTAAACATACCGATGCGCATGGACTTGGACGATCTTCCAGCAGTCTCAGACACTGGGGCAGGACGCTTTGGCGCAGCGCGTGGCGCAGACATGGAGACCGCTTCGTCTTCAAAGTCGACGTCAAAGCCATTGTCAAAATCATCGTCATCGCCATGTGCTGCAGCAGAGTACTGGTGCGCAGTTGCAGCAGAAGGCGTCGTTGCAGTTGTTGAACGACCATGGGAGCTTGGCCAGGACGCGGTTTGGCGTCCAGGTTGGGTAATCTCGAGATGATCGTCACTGTCGTCTTGGTCGTCGTCGATGTGTTCAAGGGGTGTTGCTACTGTGCTCTGAGGGCGAATGCTATTTGATGGGGCAGATGTGGAACTCGAGGGCCATGCCGACCGTAGTAAAGCGGCGGGGTTTGTCGACGATGCAACGGCAGCTGCAGCTGGCACGGGTTGGGTGAGTCGGGTGGCCTGGCTGAGAGCAATCGATGCCTGAGACGAAGCTGGCGGAGCAGGTCGAGCAGCGAGAGACGGCGGAGGATCTTGTCTGAATTTTGTGGGTTTGTTTAGGTGGTTTGCAGAAAAGCATGGAGGTGAGCAAATGCTGCTTCTTGTCGGACTGGACGGGTGCAACACCAAAGCCAGAAGCTCATCTCTTTGACCCTTTACCCGATGCGACGAAACAAGATGCCGAAAAATCGTCGCTTGGACTCTTCGGCAGTCAGTAGGCCTCCGCCGAGCATTTTTGTATTGCGTGGCTCGAGGAGTAGCATCCCTCGACGGCAAGTGACATTCGAGATGAGGAGCTGTGTTGTTGAGGAGCAAACGGGGACGAAGGAGGATACAAGTCCAATAAACGAAAGGAAGCCAAAAACCAATAATGTTAGTCAGGGAGGGCCTTTCACCACCCCCACCATACAACCGACCACAAACCGGTGCGACACGCGCATGCACCGACCTTGGTGCCAATCAGGGTGTCGCAAGTGAGCGTTGGGATGGGACGGTAGGTCATCGCTCGAACCGCGCGCTGGCCGTCTGACAATTTCAGCACCAACAGGCGTGCAGCGCCCATGCCCCGCGTATGGTTGCCCTGCGCAGCCGCGACACTGTTTGCGTACATTGGATTGTTGGCACGGGTTTGATCGGACTCGTGTGATGGACCATCCTCATCATTCGCGTTGAGGGTGAGCGACGCGCCAAACAAGCCCGCGCCCTCGATCTGACGGAACGCCGAGTCGCCCACGTCGGTGATGGCCTCGATCTGCAGCGCAAGCGGGTGCGTGATGACCATGGACGTGACCTCGCGCAGCATGTCTGGGCTTGCAAACAGCTCTGGCAGGCATCCGCGGCCAATGTCGCGCAGGTTGGCGCTCAGCCACTGCTCCATGACGAGGCCATGCAGCGTCTGTGCGTCCACTGGCCCAGCCTGTGCACGATGGTTTCAAGGCAGGGGGGGGGGAATGTCAGTCGACCACGCATCACATTGGGCTTTTGTTTCAGAAGCTTTTTGGTTTTCGGCGGTTTTCCCGCCAAAAACAAAAACAGCACAAACTCACTTCTTGCTGGAGAAACGCAATGCAGTCGGACAGCCAGTCAGACAGGACGTGGATGCCTTGGTTGGCGAGCTTGGCACCAACACTGGCCGACTCCTGCTGCATCGAGGGACTGGCGTCGCAAGCCAAAAAAAAAAAAAAACAGAAAAAAAAGCACAACACTAACTCAAAAAACCCGCGCAAACAGCAACAGACAGGAGTGTGCTTGCATGATTGGGATGCTGTCGCTGGGGTGGCGTGCGTCCATGGGTCTATTCGTTACTGCTTGGATGAACGGTTGGCGGTCGCAGTGAAGTTGGCGTAGGACATTGCGTCATGATTGGAACGTACTGTATTTTTTGTTTCGTTTCCGTTACGTTTCGATTGCTGCTCGAAACTTTCCGCTCCACTCCCTGCATCCCTGTAACAGGCGAGGGTGTTTTCCCACTTTGTAATTTATCCACACGACAGTGATCAACAGTTTTGACTTCAGGGCAGAACAAACAGCGCTTTGAACCAATTTCTCGCTTCCAATCACCCATTCCCAACTACAGTATCAACACCTATTTGCACTCAACAGCTACAGCGACCATAGCAAAAAAAATTCTTCCAAAAGGTAGTTGGTGTCTAATGGACACCAGTGGAAAGAGAAAGATGAAAAAAAAAAGGAGAGAAATGTTCAAGGAACAAGCGCTTTAAGCACGCTCGCCACGGATGCGGCGGGCAAGCTGGATGTCCTTGGGCATGATGGTGACACGGCGAGCGTGGATGGCGCAGAGGTTGGTGTCCTCGAACAGGCCGACGAGGTAAGCCTCAGCAGACTCCTGGAGGGCGGAGATGGCCGACGACTGGAAGCGGAGGTCGGTCTTGAAGTCCTGAGCAATCTCGCGAACGAGGCGCTGGAAGGGGAGCTTGCGGATGAGCAGCTCGGTCGACTTCTGGTAGCGACGGATCTCGCGGAGGGCGACGGTGCCGGGGCGGTAGCGGTGGGGCTTCTTGACACCGCCAGTGGCGGGCGCGGTCTTGCGCGCGGCCTTGGTGGCGAGCTGCTTGCGGGGGGCCTTGCCACCGGTGGACTTGCGTGCGGTCTGCTTAGTACGAGCCATTGCTAGTTGTGAATAGTAAAATTCAAGAGTGACCTCGACTGCAAATGGGCGATTTGGCTTTTATAGTGGGGGGAAAATCCAAATGCGGAAGAAGTGGAGAAAACATTTTTGGCGCGAAAAAAACAAAACCCAAAAAACCCAAAAACCCAAACAACAAAAAACGACTGGCATTTGATTTTTTCAATCCAATCGCGCCTTCCAAATTAAGGATTGAGGGTTGAGTTTTTTGCTTCTCTTTTCGCCTTCCGAGTGAGATCCCGCAGCATTACAGCAATGCTTCTTGACGATTTAGAGAGAACATGCATTGGCGCACATGCTGATGTGGTAAAATGACGGAAGGTTCGTGTGGAAGTGTGAGATGATACTTTTGCAGGGCGATGCATTGGAGAAAGTCAATGGCGTTTCAAGTACCCTCGAGCTCTTTCTTGGCGATTCTGCTGCCAATTATAATGTTACTCGATGTGTTGTACACGATGGTACTTGTTTGAGGTGGCCAAGTCACAGATTCTGGCCGCTGCAGCAGAAAGTGCAAGCTGCAAATTCGTTACCCCTGTTCCAAAAAAGGAGAGCGGATTGAAATTTTCACCTCCAAACCAGCGACCCCATCATCCACCGCACACCACCCACCCAGTACCATTCAGTATGCATACAAACATCACTTCATGCACGCTGTGAGTGGTGGAGTGCGTCGGGAGGGCCGCTGGACGCGTCAGCCCCTTGCGCCGCAGCCGACCAATCAGAAAATTCAAAAATAGCTGCCCGCCTTTAAAAGCCGAAATCGATTTTGGGTTTTCAAATCACTCTTCTTTTTTTACAAGAACCTCACTCATCAAACAATGACTGGTCGTGGCAAGGGCGGCAAGGGCCTGGGCAAGGGCGGCGCAAAGCGTCACCGCAAGATTCTGCGCGATAACATCCAGGGCATCACCAAGCCCGCCATCCGCCGCCTCGCACGCCGCGGTGGTGTCAAGCGCATCTCTGGCCTCATCTACGAGGAGACCCGCGGTGTTCTGAAGGTCTTCCTTGAGAACGTCATCCGTGACGCCGTCACCTACACTGAGCACGCCAAGCGCAAGACCGTCACTGCCATGGACGTCGTCTATGCCCTCAAGCGCCAGGGCCGCACCATCTACGGTTTCGGCGGGTAAACTTGTTCAGTTTGCCTTTTCGCTTTTCTCTCTTTTCTAAAAAGCCAAAAAAACTTTCTGGTGTTCATTCAACACCAACCTTACTTTTCGAAAGAAATTTGATTTTTCGTGTAGTTCTTTGAGCAACGAAAACGACAGTCGTTGCAGTGCATGTTGTTAAGCTTTTTTTTTTTTTTTTTTTTTCTCTTGGAATGTTTGCAGTGACAGCAAGAGGTCCTTCATTGCGAAATAAGACAAAGCTGACTCGGCATCTATCACATCTTGGAACGATAAGATGTTCGTCGAATACAAGCAAGAATAGGCACTCAGTCTTTTGAAACAAAATCGTGCCAAATAACAAAAATGGTGCTCGATCAGCAGCGCACAAACCTGCGAATGCACGTCGTCCAGCGCTTCCAGTCACTCACTGCCCAGCTCAACGACGCCAACAGCCGCATCGAACAGCTCACCAGCAGGTGACGACGGTCGTGATTCGCGAGTGCCAAAAGTTGATGATGACATTCACAAAATCTTGTCAACCAAATCTCTCATGCTCTCTCTCTCTCTCTCTCACTACACACAGCCTGCAGGAAACACATGACAGTGAAGCCCGCGAACTCATCGAGACCAAGCTCAAGGAACAGACCCGTCGTCGCGCCACGTTGGAGGCCAAAATCGAGAACGACCTCGTTCCAAACGATCCGACGAACGAGCGCCTCAAGCCAGCGCGCCCAATCTTCATTTGCGATGCGTGCCGTGTGGAGCTGCCTTCTCCGTTGCGCTTCCATTGCGCCGAGTGCAACTACGATTTGTGTCTGGCGTGTGCTGGCGTCCAGGCCAAACCAGACCAACGACCCGACGATACTGACGGCCAAAACAAGCGAAACGACGACCAGCCAATTGAGAGCAAGAATGTGTCAGCTCACCACAAGGAATCGGCGACAACCGAGCAGACGCAGCCAGCCAAGACCAATAATGTTGTCGAAAACCGTGGAGAAAACCTTGACCAACGACAGCGACCGGCTACGTCGTCGTCCGATTCCGCAACAATGAAAACTGCACCCCATTCGGACAACCACTTCATGTACTTTGACCCGGAGACAGTCACAGAGACAGTGGAGCGCATCAACAAGTGCAAGTCGATTGCCGAGACATGGACCACGGCGCTCGATCTGCACAGCTGGCGCCCGTCCTTTGGGTTTCGGAGGCCGCTACCGGCATCACCAACATCTTCATCATCATCATCATCATCATCGGCCAACAACGAGCTGGAATTCGAACCCGAGTTTCGTTGGATTACCATGCGCACCTTGCACACGCTCGTTCGTCAGTTTGCGGCGGGCTTGGTCCACCTGCTCCACCCAAAGCAGCCGCCGTCGACAATGAAAACCGACGACGACGAGATTCTGCAGCACCAGACCTTCGTGGCCATCTGCGGATTCAACCGTCTCGAGTGGTTTATTGCCGACTTTGCCTGCGCCATTCTGGGCATTGTCGCCGTGCCCATTCATACGGCAATTTCCTCGCTCGCCGATCTCGCGCACATTCTCAACACATCGAACGTCGAAGCCGCTGTTTGCAGTGATCGCGTGCTTCCTGCGTTTTTGCGTGTGCAGCAGTGAGTTGACAAAGAGTTTGTTTTCCGCTGCGTGGCTCTTAATGTCGCTCACGAGCAAGTCGGTTTTGTGTGTTCACCTGTTTTGTTGTTTTGTTTTGAATTGCTTTCTTGACACGTACTTTTTCGACTCAGACAATGCCCTCAGCTCAAGTTTGTCATCCGAATGGTCGGAATCTACCCCCGAAGTGCCTTCTTGTTGTCTCAGCCGAACAGGGACGAAAACCACCCACATTCCTTCCACAAGCAGTTCACCGCTCCTGCTCAACTGACCGCTGCAGAAATCAGCCAAGTTGTTGACGTGGACATTCTTCCTGTCGAGACGAGCGCTCTGGAACCCTTCATCCAAACGCTTCAAGACGAACTTGTGGCCATGCAGGCCGCGGGAGCTGCTGTGCAAACGGCGACGCTAATCCCGTTCACGGATGTTCTCGAATGCGGTCGGCTGCATCCAAGTCCTATCTATGCCGAGCCGAGCGCTGCGCTGACTGCTCTGATTCACACGAGGTAACCAAAAACACGATGAGAAGAGCAGCAACGAGCAATTTTGGTAGCTTTTGATTGGGCTGACATTCGGTTGATCAACATTCTTGCAAACTCAAAAAAAAAAAAATCTCAGCGGAAGCACGGGCCGCCCGAAAGGTGCCATGATGACAAGCCGAATCTGGCGCGGGTTTATCGTTCACTCGAGCATTCATGGAAATGACCCTGCCGTGTCCATCACCAAAGACCCACTGTCGCACATTTCCGACAGGCAGGATGTCCACGGCGATCTTTCTCATGGCTACCGCATCGGCATTCTAAGCAGCTTGGCAAACGTGTTTGACGACATCAGGCTGCTGTCTCCAAACTACATTGCCTCAACGCCGCGCATGTGGAATGTGCTCTACTCGCAGTTTCAGCATGCGCTTGCCATTGACACGGCAATTGAGCAGACTAAACTGCAGGCTGGTGCTTCTGGTACTGCTGCTGGTACTGCACTGCCCTCCTCGCTGCCAACATCGGACATCGCGGTGGAGGTTCGCAAGCGGACTTTGGCGCGCTTCAAGCAGTCGCTTGGGCATCGACTTAATTATGCAGCCATTGGTGGTGCCCTACCCAGCGAGCGTGTGCTGGCGTGGATGCGGGAGTGCTGGGGACCCACCGTCGTGCGCACCGGGTACGGCATCACGGAAGCTGGCTCGGTGGCGGACAACGATGGCAAGCTCTATCCGCACGTGCAGTGGAAGCTCGTAGATGTGCCCGAGCTGGGTTACTTTAAAACCGACTTGCCGTTTGGCCGTGGCGAGCTTTTGGTTCAATCTACCGCCCTCATTCCGGGCTACTTTCGAAACGAAGAAGCCACAACGGCTTCGTTCGATCCCGAAGGCTGGTTCCGTACTGGCGATATCGTGGAACTCCTCGAAGAGTACCCTGCCAAGGTGCGCATTATTGACCGTCGCAAGAACTTTTTCAAGTTGTCCCAAGGCAAGTGTTTGAGAGTTAATGTTTGGAATTTGGTGTGTTTGGGGGGTTTTCGTCTCGGTGATTTTTCGTCGTGTCTGTTCTTCTGCAAGTCGCTCAATCTCTCTCTTTCGCTCTCCCTTTGAAAATTCCTCCCACAGGTGAATTCGTGTCTCCACCCAATCTGGAAAACACATTCTTGGAGAGTCGCTTTGTCAACCAGATTTTCGTGACACGGGGATCTTACTCTGACTTTGATGACCAAGTCGCTGTGGTGGCCATCGTCGTTCCGCACGTAGCGAATTGCATTGCATGGCTGCATCAGCACCCCACATCAGCTGCCGGTCAGGACCAGACGTTCTTGCTCAAGTTGCCACCTTCTGAAATGGTTGCAGCGCTTTGCCAAAACACCGAGTTTGCCGACGCAGTCATGGCCGACATTCGTGCTGTCGGAACCGCGTCCAATCTGCAGGCATTTGCCCTCCCGTCTGCCATCCATCTCGAGTCCACAGAGTTTTCCGTTGACAATGGTCTCTTGACACCGTCTGGCAAGACAGCGCGGCCCGCCCTCGAGCGCCATTACAAACCGGTTGTTGCAGAAATGCTACGCGCGCACGCCCACGTCCGCGCTGCGGATGAGTCTCGCGTCATTGAGCAACAGCTGCTTGACTTGTTCCGTGCCGCTCTTCCTCAGCAAAGTGAACAGTCGGCGGCCACGACGGCGAGTCTGCCGCCTTCCGCCACCTCGTTCACGCGTTCCGGTGGGGATTCCATGTCGGCCGTGCGCCTTGTACAATCAGTCAAGGACAAGCTGAGCATTGATCTGCCCTTGGAGCTTGTGCTGAGAAACGACTTGACCATTCCTCAACTGATTGGCATTGCCAAGAGCACCTTGCAGCAACAGCATCAGCAACCACCTAACCCCGTGCAATCGCACCGCGCTCCTATGAGCGATGGTGCCTCGTCGTCAGTCAATGCACTTCGCGAGGCGAGCATTGGCCAGATGCTGTCCGACTCGTGGCTTCCGTTCAACACAGCACCCTCGGATTTGATCTGCGCACTCACTCGGTCCTTTGAAGCCAGCGACTCGAATGTGGTAATGAAGCTCGAGCAACATGTGGCACAGGCGGGTCCAGATCCGTACAAGGACGTTCCGCTGCCGCTGACCAAGACTGGCAAGGATGACTCGGAGCAGTACCTGATCGGCCCTCGTGTGGCCGTGCTGACGGGTGCCACGGGCTTTCTCGGGGCTCATTTGCTCCACTCGCTGCTCGAGCAGCGCGAGCCTTTGACGAACGCCTTTAGCTATCGACAAGTGGTGTGCATCGTTCGCGCAGAATCGGACGCTGTGGCAGCAGAACGGGTCGAGCAAGCCTTAAAGTCCTTCTCGCTTGTGATACCTGGCAACAGTGCCGACACGCCTCTGGCATCCAGGCGGTGGCGCGCTGTTGCAGGCGATCTCGAAAAGCAGGATCTCGGGTTTGCAACGCCAAACGTCATTTCCACCATCCTTGCCGAAATACACAGTGCTGAGCATCCAGACGACCCCCTGACTGGCAGCGAGTTTGCAGAGCTGGATGCTCGTGAGCTGTGCGACAAGCCGCGCGTGAGCGACGTGTTCCACTGTGCGGCCCAAGTCAACCACGCCAAACCCTACACTGAACTGCGCCAGGCCAATGTGCTTGGCACCTGGCATTTGCTTCAGTTTGCCTTGGAGCAGAGCAAGCCTCAGATGAATGCCGCCCAGTCTGCTGCGGTCGATCAGCAGAGGGAGGAGCACGCAGGTCAAGATCCTGCTGCTTTGGCGTCCGTGCCGCTTCACGTCTTTTTGGAGCAGCAGCCGTGCTGGTGGCGTCGCCCTGTGCGCTTCCACATGGTCTCGACCGAGTCCGTCGGCGTGAGTTCTGCCACGATGGCCGATCAGCCCGTCACCAAGGCTTACAGCACGTGCCGGGACTTGCTTCCGAAGCGTCGGCGCCTCATCACAAACAAGATGATGAATCGCGGCGGCTATTCCCAGTCCAAGTTTGTGGCGGAATGCCTCTGCGCTGCGGTGCGACACTTGCTGCGTGTTTTCATTTACCGACCAGGAATGATCTCCTTCAGCACAGCCACTGGCCAACCCAACCGCAGCGACTGGTTTACGAGTTTGTTCTATGCCTGCGCAGTGGTTGACTGTGTGCCCAGAACCCTGGTCCAGATGTCTGTGATTCCCGTGGATCGAGTCAGCCAGGCCCTGGCTGCGCTCGCGCGTCACCCAGATGGCGACTTTCTGCAGTTGAATTTTGGCTCGAGCGCTGCCAGTGTCTCTGCAGCATCTTCCTCAAAAGAAGCGACGCTATCTGACGCGGCAGCCACCAGTTCGCCATCAGCAGCGATGGTGTTTGACGTAGCCGTCGCTGGCACGTCGTGCCATTTAAAGCTACCCCTCTTCACATTGGTCAGTGGAGTGACAACGCCGATGGCCACCATGCTGTCCGCCATCTGGCCCTCCGAGTCCGGAACTGGCACTTCTTGTCGCCGACCAGACCTGCCGTTGAGCGAGTGGCGTGATTTGGTGCTCGGGCGCTACTCTGAGCTGTGTTTGGCAAAAGATGCAGTCTCAGCCGTCACTGTGAAGCGAATGGCCGGAGCGCTGTTGCTGCTTGGCTCGGACGGGCTTCCAGATGACACGGACGAGATGGAGGAGGCTGCTCAGGCGGGCCAGCATCTCGCTTTGCAGCTCCGAGAAGTCGGTGCATCCGACACTGCCGGGCTCGTCACTACCGCAATTCCAGCTGCGGCATGGCAAAAGTTTGCGCAAGTGCTTTGAGCGGAAAAACTGAGGTTGACGTTTTGGATGTTCACAGCGACTCTCATTTGGGGGTTCTTTTGAAACCTTGGCAAAATCATTTCCGTTGAAATTGCTGTTGGGATGTGAAACCCTTCCTTGCCAAATTGGTCTCTATTGATCACAATGAAATACGAAGTTTTCAATTCAGTCTTTGATTTTTTTTTTTTTTTTTTCATTCTTTGGCAGTTTTTCATTTTTTCATTTTTTATTTTATTTTTTTTCCGCGAAATTTGCAACACAGCCAAACAAGCTGCACCCCGTTGCTTTCTCATCCACATCACTCTTACAACCACCACCACCACAATGCCAATTCCTGCATCAAGAAGTGGCCACGTCCACTCCCATCCAGTCGCTCAAGCGCAGCGACCGCGACAACGCCAAGCGGGTCCACGAGCTGAGGAAGTTGCCGAGTTTGCAGAATCCACGTCAGCAAACGCCGGCCACACCCGGAGCCAGTTGCACCGAGTCCCCGCCCGTCCCGCTGCCCCTGCCACTGCAAATGCGATCGAGAGCGTCGATTGCAGCACAGACCAGGTCGCCTGCGGGTCGCGCGGCACAGGCAGCCAACCGAGTGCGGAACGAGCGGTCGTGACGTCGACGATGCTGGGACGAAAAAACTCGCCAAGACGAGACGTGTCAAACGCATTGCCGACATCCCAGCCAAGCCACTCAAGCCACTCAAGCCACTCAAGCTCGTTGGCTCACCCTCCTGTGGTTGTGGCAGCACCACCGCACAGTGCCATGAGTGCCATGAGCAACGCGGAGGCTCGCAAGCACAAGCGAATTGCGAAACAGCATGTTACACGCCGCAAGCCACTTCCCACCACTACCACTCCCGCATCGCTTCCCGCATCGTCGGAAGATTGTGTCACTTTGCACGAGCGGGCCATGAACCAGCTCAACGTCGAACGCACAACCGTCGAAGGGCTGGTTCGATTGGCTTTGCGCAAAATTCTGCCGGCAATGGCTGCGCCTCTGCCTCTGCCTCTGCCTCTGCCTCTGTCAGTCCCAGCCGCATCGCCCGTGCATTCGTCGCCATCCTCGCCGTCGGCATTTGCACCACCTGCTGCTTCGGCACCTCCTGCCCCACGTCCTGCTTCAGAGGCGCCACTGCTTCGCACCGTTCTGATCAACAACTCGCTCAAGCTCGCGTGCCGACAGCGCCATGAGCTCGACCGCCGCGAGTATGATCAGCGCACTCTGTTTTTGCAGCAGTTGAGCCAGCAGCGAGCAGCATTGCTCAACCCTGGCCTCAACACGCCCGCCAGCAACAACACAAACCAAATCATTTGCTCTCCGATGATGCTCCTTGCGACGCCGCCGCCGTTGCCCTCATCCGATGGCGACTGTCTGTCCAACAGCAGCAGCAGCAGCAGCAGCAGCAGCAGCAACAACAGCGACAGCAGCGACAACGAGTTCGATGAGGTTGCCTCGACTTCGGATCAAGGCAACTCGTGCCCGCAGTCGCCATCACCACTCACTGCCATGGTCGAGGAAGGCAAGACAACCCTCGCCTCCCAGTGTCTCCTGCCTCAGCCGTCTCTCCTCAGCTCGTCCTTGACCGTGTCTGGGTTTGGCGCCATCGCATGAAAGGGAGACCACTTTCATTATTTTCAGTTTGTTGATATCCTTCACATTTAGAACATTTTTATTCATCTCGGTTTGCCATTGTATTCACTATCAATACACCATTTACCCCCATTTTATTTTCGAGCATCTTGTTGGATTTACATTCAGACCATGGTTCGTCAACTCCACCTCCCTTTCCTTTGTTTGTCGTCAGGGTCTTGCAGTCCATTTCATTCACCTTTGCTGTTGCAGCCTGTTTCTTTCTTCATCCTTTTTGTTTCTTTCATCGTTTCTGTTTCTTTCGCCTTCAGCTTTCTGTTTCATCCTCGGGTTTCCGGTCCGACTCTTCCCGACGCCTCATGTCCCAGCCAACAGCACCAACTCACAGCCCAGAACATGGCGCCTCCTCCGGGCCCGCATCAGCAGCGGCAGGCAACCAGCAGCTGCAGCTGCCTGTCGCGCAGCAGCAAAGTGGCGTTTTGCGTTCGAGAACGACGTTGCTCCCCAGCGGCACCAGCGGCTTCCTTGCGCCGTCCGTCCTGGCATCGCGAGGAAGCATGCTGGGTTCCAGACTCCTTCCGCATGCAGCTGGGCAGCCAGAAGCAGCGGGAGACGCACAAACGTCGCTTGCGAGGAATTGGCGTTCATCTGGAGTGAAACAACAGAGCGCGCCAAATTCGTCCTTCCAGTCGTCTCCCTTCTTGTCGTCCTCTCCCACCGCCGCGAGTCAGGGTGCCGCTGCATCGAGTGGTGCAGCGGCCAGTAGCGTTCTGAATGCGGATCTTGGGAGGGGCGCCAACGTCGCTGCTGCCAGGCTTCCAGCGGCGTCGAGCGGAACACTTCTCCCGCGCAATTCTGTTCTTCCTTCGGGAACACCCCATTCTGAGCCGCGGTCCTCGGAGCCGGCTTACTCCAGTCCTTCCGGGCTTTCGCGGTCCAAAGACGCAGGTAGCCCTCTGGCGCCTCAAGGCAAGTTGCTCAGGATTGCGCGCAGGGGACGATGGGTGGTGGTGGTTTGTTTCGCTTTGGCTTCAGGTTTCAGCGCCCGCTTGGTTTTTGCTGCCTCCATCTTCTCTTCTGTGCTGCTGTCGAGTCACTAAATTCTAGCTTTTTTGCAACTTTGGCAAACCCCACTTTTTGCCGTGATTTGTTGCTCTGATGGCTTGTCCCACTCCTTAGCCAGCAGCGGAGCAGCCACAATGATGCTGATGCCACCGCCACAGATCATTCCCACCGTCAACCCTGCTCGCGACCAGTACGAGCAACTGAAGGTGGCTCTGGACAAGATCAACTCGCAGAAGCGCACGTCCGAATTTCGAATGTCCCAAAATGTACGCTTGTTGGCTTCGTTGTTGAAGTGTGTGGACGGCACTAAATTTTTGGTTTTGTACTGGCAGGAGGAAGAGCTGAAAAAGTCACAGCAAACTGTGGCGCATCAGTCCAAGCTGCTGCAAGAACTGCAGGCGTCGAGCGAAAGGACGGCGTACCGGCTTGAAGACGAACGACGCAAGGGCGAGCATCTGCAGCAACGGTGTGTGCCTCTGGTGAACGAAAACCAAAAAACAAAACAAAAAAAAAAAACACGCTTGTGTCTTGTATTTCTGACCGTACTGCAACTGCCTTACCAGTATTGCGACCACTCGAGAGCTGTGCATGCAGCTTGACAACCAAGTCACCGAAGTTCAGCAGACCGTTCATCAAGGTTTGACTTGGAAAATGATTGACTTGGAAAATGCTTGATGCTTTCACCTCGCTCTTGCGTTCGTGCAACCAACTGAGCAGCTCACCACCTAGCACTTCTGAACAGCCGAAAATGACAGAAAGGTGGTTGCAGAACGCATCGTCAGCTACACTCAAGGTAGTGTTGTTGTTGTTGTTGTTGTTTCAAAGCTGCTGCTATGTTACTCATCGTCAGATCGCTGCTGTTCATTTGGTGATGGCTGTCCCTCTTAAAGAACTGCATACCGTGCGCAGCGCGCTCGAAAAGGCCACGGAGCAACTTGAGCGTGTGCACGAGATGAGTAAGAAAGCAATTTCCCCATGCACGTTGACTTGCTGCGCTCGTCGTTATCTGTTATTGTTTGTTTTTGTTTTTCTTCTGCTTGCTGACGACCTGGTGCTCACCCCCCCCCCAGACGAGCGATTGCGAGTCAACAACGATCGCTTGGAGAGTACGCTCAAGCAGGAGCAAGAATCTTGGGCGGTCAAGCTCGCCGCGTTAGAGCAGAAGATGGCTGAAAGTCAACAGGAACTTCAAGAGTCCCAAACGCTGGCAACATCCCGCGAAGTGGAGCTCACAAATGCACATTTGGCGCAAGGTATGATGGCCCCAAGATGATTTTCAGAGACCTTGACAAAAAAATGTCCACTAACCCAGCCTCAATGTATTTTGGCGGGGGACTGTAGCTGCCCAGCTCAAAGAACTTGGCCAGCAATGCCAAGCGCACAAGCAGCTGACAGAGACGCACGAGCTGTTGCAGCAGGAGCACATGGAGAAGCTGCAAGAGCTCGCGAGCATGGTGCTGACTCTTCAAGCGAACCAAACGCGCCTCGACGCAACGGAAACGGAACTCGACGAGATGAAAACTGCTCATCTTGAAACGATCAACCAGTAAGGCAGTTTGACTTTGTGCGAGAAAGTCGTTGTCTGGTGCACGAATCAACTCACCTGCGCACACAACACGTCTTGAAAGACTGGCCGGCACTCGGACAGAGCTCGCGTCTGTCACCGAAGCGCTTCAAAGTGAGAACGCCAAGCTCCAATCCCGCCTGGACACTGCTCAGCAGCGAATTGACCTTCTTCAGGTATGGTGACTGCTCCCCGTTTGCCGCAAGCGGCCAATGGTGTGGCTGCATTCCAATTGTTTTGCTCTCCCACCTCGTCATCGCAGTCGGAAGCCGGCATGGTCATGGACGCGGCTGCCACGCTGAAGCCGGGTCTTGTCGAGCTGCAGAAGCAGACTGCAGACTTTGTTGACCGCATGCACAAGCTTGATTTCATGCCAGACACGGCAGTGGCCACTTTGGAAGAGTTTCAAGACGGCAGCACCACGGATGCAACCGTCGAGCTTTTGCAAGTCAGCGTCAAGTGCATTGCCGCATGCTCTGCAATTCTTCATCCTGTCGGCGTCAGCATTGAAAGTAGCGTGATTCAGGCACGTTCTGAGAACGCAAAGTTGGTCGAGCAACACCAAACGGCGGTCGCACAAACGCAGTCAGAAGCGGCGAACGCGTTCGACTGGCAGTCTGCGGCAAAGCTGGCTCAGAGCTCTGTTGCAGAGCTCACCACGCGTCTCCAGAACAAAGAACAAGAGTTGTCCGAGAGCATGCACCGCGTCATGTCAATGGATGAACAGCTTGCCGAGAGTCAAGTCGTGCTCAATGCCGAACGACAGGAAACGGTTTGTTTTGGTTTTGGTTTTTGCTTTTGTTTGTTTCTTGTGTGCTGCTGCGGGTGCTGCTGTGCTGCCATTTGTGAGAGAAACCTGCGAACTGACAGTGTATGGGACAGGAAAAACTCAGACTGGAGCAGCAGCAGCTCGAAATGCAATGCTCAACCCTGCACGCCCGAGAACTGGAAATTGCCAAGCTGCAGAACGACCTGCGCATCGCTCGAATGCACAGCGCTGCTCCCCAACCGATGGCAGCAGCTGCGCGTCCATTCCCGAGCGACGAGCCTCAGACCTTGAATGTACGCTTACACTGTAGCAGATTTGCAGAAATTGAACCACTTCACTGACACTTTGACCTCTTGCTCCGCTAGGCATGGCTCACCGAAGCTGGGCAAAACACCCTGCCAGAGCTGGCTGCCAGTCCAGCACGAATGATGACACCTGGACGCTTTGCATCGCCTCAGCCACTGCAGCGTTCCCGGCCGAGCCAGGAGCAAAAGACACCCGTGGCCTCCCAGACTCTGTACTCGCAGGAGCGGTCCAGTGTGAAGGTACAGGTCCGGGTATTTTCTGCGTGTCAGTCAAACGCTGGAGCCCTGTCTGTGCTAAAATTTTGCACTGCTCGTGTCACGCGACGACAGCGCACACATGCGGAACCTGCCCAGCGAGGCTTTGTCGCTCCACAGGCACCAGCGCGTGGTGCTCCCGCCAAAAAGAGTCTCACGAACGACATTCTCATGAAGGAGTACTACGAATCCCGGGGCTTGCTTGCGGTATGACGACCAACCTGCCAATGTGTTCTTGTTGGTGGAAATGGAGCGTTGACAAACACTTCACCTGATCCTTGTGTTCTTCAGCCTCTCGATGTCGAAGAAGAGGAAGAAGAGGCAATCCATGCCCGACATGCTGCGGGCGTCAGATCGCAGCATGCAGATCTGCACCCACCCGCCCAGCTCTCCCAACCAAAGCATTTGGAGACACCACGACCACGCAACACGTTGCTTTCGACAAATCTCCGGCAGCCCCCTCCTGCAGCTGCCCCTCCCAAAGCCCCTGTCATGGCATTGAACGGTCGTCCGAAAGCGGTAAGTTTCGCTCAGCGAGAAGCACACAGCACAGACTTACATGATGGCGCTGCTCATGAAAATTGTCTGCGTCGACACAGATTGCCAACCGCGCCGGACCATCAGACAGGGCCAGTGTGTTCCAGCCCATCCCCACGAATGCTTTGGCCCCGGAATCGGTAAACGGGGTTGTTCCCGATGAATCGATTGTCATTGGACGATACACTGACTGCTGTGTGTCAAATTGGATGACTTGCTCACACATGCAGTCCGCCATGGCAAAGAAGCGCGCCCCTTCGGTGTCTTCTCTCTGGTTGGAAGACTCTGACGACGTGTTTGGTTTTCGCGGTACATGAGCAGTTTTTTCGTCAAATGACGCTTCCTTTGGCAGTGAACTAGATCTGCTGTACACGAAAAAAAAGAAGTTGCAATCGTGTCGTGTTCCTGTTACTGTTGCCTTTTAGTGTTAACAAACTAGCTTTTTGAAAATCAAAGTAAGTAGACAGCCAGCAAGCGG